CTTCATTTGTTATTTTAGGAACAGATAACAAAGCCTTTTATGACGTCAAATAATACTTTTTCAATTTCACCAGGAGTCTTTAAGAAAACTTAAAACTCTTCTGAATACCATAGATATTTGAGAGTTGCTATTTTCTTGAGGAAATCTTCAAGCATCAGCCTTCTTTCATCAATAAATTATTACTCCAAATTACCCTAAAGATTTTAATATAATCCAATACAAAAGCTTTTCTTGGTGGAACAGGTGGTATATAACATCCTGGCCATTTTGTCAGCAAAAAGGATCGAATTGTCTTAAAATCACTAAATCTTCTCTAAATATCAAATTATCCATTTTTATCCATTCCCTTTATGGTGTACACAATAAATTTATTTAGTCCTGCTATTATTTTTGGATCGCAAACTTGAAGAGTTATCTAAAGGAATTATTAAATATACCTCAACCTCGTCAGATTAATTCATTATATTAAATAAAGATATTTATATATATTGTGTCAGAGTGAAATCGAATAATAAATATTATTAAAAGTTCAAAAAAAAAAGGATTTATTTGTTAATCTATCTTGCTTTTTCTAGTTGATCAATTAAATTACAACCTAAATTAAATTAGAATAAACTAAAATTCTAGATTTCTTATTTTAATCTAAGCAATACATGGATATAAAATGTTGTTTAGTAAATAATTATAAATATTATCAAACATAATAGACCTTATGATTTTTTGTTTCTGATTTGTTTATAAATGAATCAAAATGCCACTTTATTTGGATTTCTCAAGTAATTAAATAAAACATGTTATGAGTCTACGTCACTCTTTAGGATTTCATTTTAACACAAAAAAAATTTAATGCACTGCATGATCAAAAAAATTTATTTAATAACAATTAATTTTTCTTGAAATTTATTTATTTTCAATCTATAAATTAAGGAAATTAAGTAGTAAATTAAATCTTTGTGTTATTTTTAAAATCCTCATAAATCATAAATTATTTAGAAAGAATTGAAAAATATTTAAATGAAAATAATAAAAGAATTGCAAGTAGTACATTAGTAATAGTTTAAATTTTAATATAATAAGAATCCTTAAAATCTTTGTGTTTTTGATTTATAAATTTAATTAATTCTATTTTCCTTCTGTTATTTTTTGATATACTATCTTAAATTGTTTACTTAAGCAGTTTTTCATTTTTTACTTCAACCATTCTTCTATTTTAGAATAAAATCAATTGATCTTTAAAGAGTTATTGTATTCTTAGTTTTTATGATTTTAATTCTTTAATAGGTTATTGTCATATTATTCTCTAAAATATATTGTAGATAATTGCGGCAAATTTAGTGAAATTAATATATACTTCATTAAGTTAGTCTTATAATTTGTAATTATTCTCTAATAAATGTATGACTTATTTTAGATTATGAAGTATGATGACTGGTTTCTGAATAAATTTTTAGTCTTTTCTTCAAAAATAAGTTTTGGTGAATTCTAACAAACTTTGCAATTTGGACTCAAAGCCTTTGGAAGGCTTTCAACTTGTTCTTTTTAAATCTTCTTTGATTCACTAAAAGTATCTTAATTAAAATATTAGCTATCTTTGATATAAAAGATTGATAATTCGAAGAGTATGAATGTTGATTTATAGACTTTGAAGTTAAAATTTGGTGATATATCTATATGAAAATAATGGCAGATTTCTAGATGTACTTTATTCTGAAAAATGCTTGAACTTATTTGAAATTCATTGATAGAAAGAGGTTATTTTAAAGTATTAGATATAAATTATTAATAAAAGAAAAAAGACCAATGCTCTCTTCTGATTTCATTAATTGGGTGTAACTTTCTCATCTTTCTTATTATCTTCCCTTTTTTCTTCGTCAATAAAAACTTGATGTTTGCTTTCTTCATCACATTTTGTATTCTTTTCTCGTGGTCTTCCTCGACTACCATAATGTTTATCACTTGGAATTTATGTACCAGTTGGAGGTTAACCTTCATGTTTAATTCTGACATCTATAAAATTAATACTTCAAATGAGTATATAATGCTGGATAACTATAATAACCACGTCCACAGCCACATTTATATGGTCGTGGATTTTCATCATGTTTAGTACATCTTCTTATGCGTTTTTTAGCACTTGGCTGATCCTATTACTAAGACATCTTTATATTATATTTAATTAATTTTATATATAAAATCTCATTATTATTTCCTTTATAAGTAACGCTCTTTGTACTATTTTAGTTTCTCCTCTTTTGTCAAACCTTCATTTTCTTATTTCTTCTATTCTTTTATTGATTAAGATCTTGATCTTGATCTAGATTTAGAGTTTGCCACTTATTCTAATTCATTTTTGTTAATAATCTTCTAATTTTTCTCTAACTCATCACTTTCTAGTTTCAATTGATTATTCTCAATATGATTTTGTGTAATTTATGAACTTACTTTTTATTTTTCTTATTCAGTGATTATTTTCTCTATAATTTTATATGAATCAACTTGGGAATGTTAATTTTCACCTTTTTTAGATTCATTATCATAAAGTGATTTATAAATTCCTAAATTATTTCTCTTTCTGCTTTCATCATTTATTTTTTCTTAAATTTATTCAATCTATTCATATCTCTTAATTTGTTCATGCTTCTATTTAAATCTAAATCTATTTTAAATTATTACGAATCTGTTATGTATACTTCTTTCCCTGATTTCAATGTCTCCTTCGCATTCATTCTTGATTATATTGCTTATCTTTCAAATTCTCTCTTTTTTGATTATTCAAGAACAGAATTTAAGTATTAAGGTAATTTTTTCTCTTTGTTAACAGACTATTTTTGTATGACAACAGCTTTTTCATTTTTATTCTTTTTTGAAACAAATCCATCATAATCATATAATGATGGATCCTCCAATAAGTTAGTCGAAACTAATTATTATGACTGGGTTTATTATGATAATTTTTAGATCTCCTTATTGACTTCATTTTTATCTCCTAAATGTACTTAATATTTATTAAACATATATAAAAATTATCACTAATTTTTCCATGCTTCTATCTCTCTAACACTAAGTCTTGAATAAAATGGTAAGGATATAGAATTTGATAATCTTACATTTAGTTATCTTAAACAACTTAAACTCATTCCTTTTTCTTATAAAATATTAGGTAACACTTCATAAGCTGCAGACAAAACATTTTATGTAATTTAATCAGAAGTTTAAGCAACTCTACCTATTTTAACAGTACTAATATAACATATGTTAATTACTATACAGGACCATTTCCTTATATAAAATAAGTATAGTTTGATAAATCGTTCAATACTTCTTAAGTAATATTTTCACAATTAATTGGAAATGGTATTCTAAATATTTAAATTATTTACTTCTTTCGATCATAAAAGATCTTTCCTAATCCTTTCGATAAATTTCCATAAACCTTCTCATCGCAAAAGAATTAATCATATTCATAAAATAATTTTCTTTTATCTGTATAAGTTGGGAATTTTTTATTTAATTTTCCATAGCCTATTACCTTTTAAATCAAAGGTATATCAAATTCACATATTTAATCTTTGAATTGTCTTTAAGGATTAGTACTAATAATACAAAACTTAGAATTCATTTCTTAATTATATATAGCATTTGGTAATTTTCTAATTTTAATTAATCACACATTTTTACATTTATACAGGTCTCAATGAATACTTTATTGGCAATTTATTTAATACTATTTCTAAATAAATAAAATCATCTTTAATATCAAGGATATTGTCAGAATGAGTAGATTCTCTGAATTTTAATAAAGCATTTATTGCTTTCTTTATTTATTTTTAATCTAAAACAACTAATTTTCTAATAGATTTGCCAATTTTAGCAATTCTATTCTTTTTAATTGTCAAAGCCTACTCTTTTGTTTATTTCTTTTCCACTTCTTCTTATTCGATATTTTTACCCATAATTTATAATTAAAATGATATAATTTGTAATAAAAAATATTGCATCATAATTTAGATTTAATTTCTTAGTTCTTTCATGATTAACCAATTTAGTGCGCACTTTGAAGATCTTATGCTGCAATTTTAATGGAAATAAGTGATGTAAATAATATGTCTGAAACAACATAATGGATTTACAAAAGCAAAGAAATATTAAAGCCAGTGTTTGAAACACAACTAGTTGGAATGTCTCGGGCTGTGATAGGATTGCCAATGGATCATATTTTTGATCGATTTAAGACTTTAATATAAGCATCATAAAATAATAGTTTCAGATAAGTATGATTGAAATCTTGAGCATAGTTGTTTCTTGAGATTTACAAAAAGAATGGTATCTTTCGTGGTATTTTTGCAGGGTTCTCTTCATAAGTTACCATTTAAATATTTAAATAGTATTATAGGTTCAAAATTTAAAATAATATCTAGATGGCCAATGATGATCTTTATTCCAAAATTTTATAAAGAATAACTACCCTAAATAACTATGGATATAGCTCCAACTTTGCATAAAGCTTTAACAGGAGTAACAATTGCATTATTTGAATCTTTTATAACTTGTCCCTTTGAAAGAGTAAAATGCTAATTAATGACTCAAACTGAGTCAAAATCTGGTATAATATTTAAATAATATTTAGTTCTAAAATATATGTGGTAGCATGATGGAGGTTTGAAAGGATTTACTAGAGATCTATTCACAGGAATGGAAATTATGATGCTCAAATAAGTAGTTTCTTGGACTAATTATCTTTATTGGGATCATAAAGTTAGATATTATTTTAAACAAAATGTTTAATCTCAACTTAAATTTGAATAAATTTTATTTTGCTCTGTATTAACAGCTATTCCTAATATATTAATTGTACAACCTTTTGATGCTGTTAAAACTTAATTTTAAATGGAGAGTAATCATGAATATAAAAATCTCTCAATATGGAATGCATTTAAAAAGGTTTATATAGAAAAAGGTATCAATGGCTTTTACGCTGGTTGGCAAATGAGATTTTATTAATTTTTATTTTAAGCCTTACTTACAACTCCTGTAATGGATTACTTAGAGAGGTAATATGGATTGCCTTTAGAAACTTTGTGACCATTATGAATATTATATATATATATATATTATTTAATTCACATTTTACTAAAATCTGGTTTCAACATCATATAACTTTATTTACTTGATGATTAATAAATTGAAGTTGGTAAACTTTTTCTCAATCCTACACTGTTTCTTTTTTTCGAAATGTATAAAGGAGTCAATTGTCTCACATAATCGATTAATTTTTATTAATCCTCTGTCACTACTGATAATGCATTTTATCTTAATTTCTTTTTTTATTAGTATGCACTTATTCCAGATTTTCCACTTTATTATAATTTGATATTCTCAATATACTAGGATACAGTCATCAATCCATCTTATCTATTTAATTTAGCTAAAGAATAATTAACAAAAACACTTTCTGGTTATTTATTAACCTTCTATATTTAAGATTAAGATTAGTTATACATAGAACTTGTTCTTATTATTTAAAGAGGAGGTTAAGTTTTTTCAACAGGATTCTTGAAATTTTAAATTGGTTCTAAATTCATAAATAAAGGATAAGTAGGTTTCATTACAGGTTTAGGAGGAACTCTTGGTTTATTTACTTCAATATATCTACTTATAGCTTCATTTTATTTAGTATTTTTTAAGTTGATATATTCTTGAAATTAATCAAATAACTTTTCAATAGAGAAATGTGGATCTTGTAATTTAGTTTAATAAGCCTCTATTAAAGAAGGAGTTGAAATAAATAAGAGATCACATTCTAATGAATAGCACTCTGCTTATTCATTTCTGTGATTAGCTTTCAAAAACAATTCCATTTCTCCAAATTATTGATCTCTTGATAGGATGTTTTAAATGACTAATTTCTTTCGAGATTTTTTGGTATTTGATATATCACCTTGAGATTATGTTTGTAATTCTACTAACTTTTTAATACATATCTCTCCTTCCAATACTAAATAGAATCCTTTTACTGGATCATTAATTTTATAAACTGGTTATGCTTTTTATAATTTAATTCGAGAGGATTCATGGATTAACATTGATATGAGAACTGATGGTTCTTATTATAAAAAGTAAACTTTGCTTAAAGATTCCAATACTTAATATTCACATAAACTATAGTAATTTTCTTGAGTTAATAAAATTTACAATACTTATTATTTATTGTATTCGTACATCTTTGATAATGGTAAGAGTACAATGAGATAATGCCAAAATTTAATAAAATTCTTTATCATTTGCTAAGAATTCTAAACCATAATAAAATGGTTAATCTGCCAACAGTTCAAATTCTTGAATTACTTATTAATTTTCAATTTATATTTTTTACAACTTAGCTTTTCCTTCAACCAAAGTAAAGTACGATCCTACATATTATCCTTTCTTTAATAATAGTTATACTCAAACCATCTTCAAATTAGTGTATAGTAAGCTTAATCACTACTGTCTGCCAACAAAGTAAACTAAAATCTAATTTCATGAATTTTTCAATATTTAGATTGGGTTTTTTTTGTAGGACTATAATTTTTGCTTACTATTATATTAAAATCAATTAAAATACTTCTATGATTATCTCTTTAGGTAACATAAACTTTATTATAAATTATAATAAAATTATTTACTATTTCTAAATTTTACTATATAATTCTACAGATTTAGTAATGCAAGATTATCATAAGAATAAATAATAATGATATTTAGATATATAGTATTATAGTTAATATCAGTTATTTAAATCATCAAAATAGGCATGCTTTAACGCTTCCTCTGCAGTGATTCTTGAATAAGGATCATAAACTATCATCTTCGAAAGAAGATCTAATCCTAATGGACATAAATTAGTAATATCTTTTCCTAAAGTGGTTGCTGGATTAGTAGGAGTTGGCCATCTTGGGAAAGTACTCTTAAAATCTGGTAGAGTGCTTACACCTGGCCAAGTAGATTCTTTTGGAGTACCCATAATCTTAAATATTTTAAATAACTAATCGATTTCTGAATCTCCACAAAATAATGGTCTTTTTTGAGCCATTTCAGCAAAGATACATCCTAATGACCATATATCAACTGGAGTGGAATATTATCTTTATCCAAGCAAAATCTCAGGTGCTCTATACCATAAAGTAATGACCTCATGAGTATAGGTTTTTAAAGGTAAACCAAATGCTCTGGCTAATCCAAAATCTGCTATTTAAGTATTTTATTGTTTTATATCTACAAGAATGTTTTATGGTTTTAAGTCTCGATGAATAACACGATTTTAATGACAATAATTTAAAGCTTATAACATTTGATTAATGAATTTCTTCACTTACATTCTATCTAATTATGGGACACTTTCCATATATTTTTTAAGATCTAAATCCACAAAATCAAATATTAAATATAATCTTGATTCATCATAAACTACATCTTTTAAGGGAACTATATTTGGGTGTTGAACCTAATATATTTTATTTATTCTTACTTCTTTCAATAATGAAATTTCTCTAATGGCAGTTGATGGAACACCTTCATCTTCATGATCCATTCTTATCTTTTTTAATGCCACAATGTCTCCAGTTTGATTATCTCTTGCTTTATAAACTAATCCATAGGTTCCTTCTCCTATTTTTTCTAATTTTTAATATCTTTCTTCACTTTGAGCAAAATCCATAACTAACAGCAATTCGTTAATTTTAATAATTATATATTCCCGTATTTATTAAACTTTTATATTAATTTATTTTATTTTTGTTAAGATAAGTATTTATAAATCAAATTAATAACAGAGATGATTAAATATAAAATTAAATAAATTAGATGATAAGAAGAAATCTGTTTTATTATTGCAAGTTTTGTAACAAAGACACAGAAGGTGAAGAACTATATACATAAAGTGAAGTGACAGGCATTTGTTATTTCTTACTATTTCTATGTTTTATAATTCCAGGTCTGATTGTGCTAACAACGAACAGTTTCAGAGATAAACGAATATTTTGCACATATTGCGGTGCATAAATAATAAAAGAGAAATATACAATATTTTGAAATTTGTTTATAAAAGGTTTTTAGATTAATAATAATAATGAAAATAGGAGTGAAGAAAAAGAGTTTTTCTATATTTTATAATATATATTTTTTTATGAATAAAATAATGGATCAAATTTAGACTATAGCATAACGATTCCGATATGATCCTCCTATTTCTAAGACTTTGGCATTTGGATTTTTAAATACTGTGGCAACATCACTAGTGATGATTCCTGTAGAAAGATCTTCAATTCCATCTCCAAAGAACTTCTTTCTGTAATAGATTTTACCATCTTCAGTGACAACTACAATACATCTATAACAACATCCAATGTGTGTAATTTTAGCTATACCTTCTGGAAGAGGAAATCTTTATAAAATAAAATAGGAATTTACCTAACTGGAGAATATTCAGCTTTACTACCAGACCAATAAACTTCATTATTATCTAAGAGTACAGCTATAAGATCTTCTCCAACTACAAAATCTATTATATTATTATTTCCAAATTTATCTTTCACAACCTGAGTTGGGAAATTTGCAGTTTCGTATATTTCAACACCAATTTCATTTTTAATTCCCATTTATCCAAAATCATTACTTCCCCATCCATATAAATTTCCATCACTCATCAATGCAATTGAATAATTGTTACAAGACTTTAATTTTACTATTGAAAGTTTCAATTCACTCTTTAAATAATCCTCAAAAAATTCATTCCTTTTTGGTAAGTTATGTGATTTATTATTTCCATCTCCAAAAACACCATAATCACCTTTACCCCATACATATAACTCATTATTTTCATTAATAGCATTTGTGAATCTTAATCCTGATTGAACATATTAAATTTTCTTAAGAGATCTTAATGCTTTTACAGGAGTAGGAGAGTATCTATTTTTTGAATCACCATGACCTAAAGCTCCAACTTATAAAAATAATAAATCCATTAAAAAATTTTATTCTTTACCACCATATCCCCAAGTCCAAACATCACCATCATGTGTTAATGCCACTGTATGATAATCTCCTAATGCTACTTATTTAACTTATAGATTATGTTTTGTAAAGAATTAAACTAATTAAGGTGTATTATAATCCTTATCTAATTTGCAATCAAATTAATACCATTGTTATGTCCTAATTATCCACTATTTCCTGATCCCCATGTATATAGCTCTCCGTTATTTGTAATTAAAGCTGAATGACTTTAACCCATTTGAACTTATGCTACATTATTATTAAATCCTTCCACTAATTAAGGCATTTAAATTCCTTTCATTTGTTATTGACTTCCTACTGCATATCCTAAACTTTAATTAGACTAACCCCAAGTAAACAAAGAACCTGTACTAAATAAGTACCTTCTTACACTATTCAACATGAATTAATTATTATTTAATTAATTATGGTGGAGTGTGAATAATTATTATAATATTAATTTTCTAAACATCTTTGTGTGATATGTTTGTATCTTATTTTATTATGATTTTAAAGGACATTAATCAATAAGTGGATATATTTAAAAATATGATAAAAATACTACAAAAATTCAATCGAACCCTCTACCAATTCTCAAAAGAAGTTTAGCTAAAGCAAAGTGAAACATAAGGCAAAGGATTTTATCAATAATAAATTTTTACAGGATGTTTGGCTGAGTATGCTTATTATATTGAATCAAACAAGGAAGCAATCATAATTGATCCTCTTAGAGACATTTAACCATATCTGTAATTATAGATTTTTATATTTAGCAATATTGCAAAGGAGAGAGGAGCTAAAATAAAATATGTTTTATTAACACATTTCCATGCAGATTTCATAGCTGGACATTTAAGTTTGTAAAGAGAAACAGATGCTTAAATAATAATGGGTCCAAAAGCTAATGCACCATTTATCAACAAAGTGTTAAATGACAATGAATATCTAAAAGTAGGAAATGTTAAGATTCAAGCTTTACATACTCCAGGACACACATAAGAATCAACATGTTTTTTATTATATGATGAAGAAGGTAAATAACATAGGTATAAAAATAATATAAATATTTATAGTGTTTATACAGGAGATACATTATTTTTGGGTGAAGTTGGGAGACCTGATTTGGCAGTTAAAAGTGATATCACTCAATATGATTTGGCATCAATGCTCTATGCTTCTCTTAGATAAAAAATATTAGGATTACCTGAAGATGTTATAGTGTTCCCTGGTCATGGTGCTGGTTCAGCATGTGGTAAAAACATTTCCTCAGGTTATAGTTGTACTATTGGAAATTAAAAGAAAAACAATTATGCTTTATAAGAAATGGATCAGGATACTTTTGTGTAATTAGTAGCGAGTGATTTACCTAAACCACCATAATATTTCTTTTATAATGCTGGATTAAATAAAACAAATCAATTTTAAGATCTCAATTTGATTTTAAAGAAAGCAAATACTAAATTAACACCTGCTAAAGTTATTTCTAGATAAGGAATTTAAATTATTGATTCTAGAAATTCTATTTCTGATGGATTTATTCCTGGATCTATCAATGTACCTCTTTAAATTCCATTTGCTCATTGGGTTGGCACATTATTACCACATGATAGAGAAATTGTTGTTGTTTGTGAACCAGGAAATGAAGAATAAACTATAATGAGATTATCTAGAATTGGATATGATAATATTGTTGGATATTTACATTTTGAAGATTGGAAATCATCAGGAAATCCAATCAGCAAACCAACAGAATTAGAAGTTTAAGATTTCTTGAAGAGAAGCAAACTTGCATAAATTGTTGATGTTAGAACTAAAGAAGAATGGGGCAAAGGTATATTAAAACATGCATAATTAATTACTCTTAGTGAATTACCTTAAAACTTAGAGAAATTAGATAAATTAAGGGATATTAGCATTTATTGTGGAACTGGATAAAGAGCTAAAATAGCACATACATTATTAATAGCTAATGGATTCACGAGAGTTCAATATTGTAAAGTGGGATATGATGATATCATTAAGTGAAGTTTAATATATTTATTATAATGATAGAATCTTTTAGTATATTTATTTTGTTTTTATATAATAATCAGTTTCAGTTCGCAAACCCTCATTATTACCTGGCCTACGCTTTTTCTGGATTATTCTACAACAAATAGTTAGCAATGAATTCAATAGGGTTAGGAGGTCTTGATTAAATTATACAATACTCACCTCACTTTAGCGACTTCTGTCATCGCTTAAAGTAGGATTGGAACAACTGTTTAATCCAGATAATTTCTAATAGGAAGCTATTGCAATTGCTTCATTCTCTAAAAGAGATATATAATCTTAATTACCTCCTCTTCGCTTGACATATATTATTTTTATTTGAAATTTAATTAATATCATTTATTTAATAAAAATGCAATTAGAAATACAACAAATCCAGCCATGGTTCCAAAGCTTGAAAAATAATACGGTAAGGCTTAAACCAAATATCTTCCATATTCATCATGTCTAAATGGTCTTACAGTTATTTTTTCAGCTATTTTTAAAAATGTATATCCAGGTTTTAAATAATTTATTTTAAATTAAAATACACCATATACATCTGGAATCTATTGTATTATAGTTTTATAATTACTTTAAAAGATAATTCATATTTAGGTCCTTATCCTTTCTTTAATGGTACTCTATAATATGGATCCAACATTACAAATTCTAATAAAACATCATTATCTGTAGAAACATAAGGAATCCATTAATCATTTTGATAATCCCATTCATAAATATCAATAGAGAAATAGCAATCTTCTCTCAATCTATAATTATAAGGTTTGATATCATCTGAATCTAATCTTCTATGTATTAAATTTTCTGCCTTTAATATTTTTGATTATCCGAAACCCCATCTAATAATCTCTTCTGCTAACATCTAATTTCCCAAATTAGAATTATTAAGAAATTCATCACTTAATATTTCCCAAGATCCTGTAGCCACAAATCTTGCATTATTTCTACCTTAAGTTGCTCCAACATATATAATATTATGACTTAAATTAGGACCTGAAAATGCTGTTTCTGATCCTCTCACTAAACCAAATACTTAAAATGTTTCATAAGGGGTCATTGATAATCCTGCTCCTTAATAAGCAATTGGTTTATCTACATTCAGAATATTCACATTACTCGTTGTTACAACATTTTAATTACCTCTAATATTATTGAAGTAATCTACTACTGATGAACCCTAATTATTCATTTTTCATTTTACATATTCATGCATATCCAATCCAAAACTATTTAAAAACTTTCTAAAATATTTAGATTAGTCTGTAGAACCCAATAATAATATATTTCTACCAGAATCATAAAAGTCCAATAATTCTTAAATGCTTACTTTTAAATCAACTGTACTGCTAAATAAAATTAGATGATCATATTGCCATTCTCCAAACAATTACAAATTGAATGTATTTGATTAGATATTTTTATAATCAACTCTATATTACTTACTCAATAAATTGAAAAACTGAGAATGGGAAACATAGACTGCTGGATTATCAGAAAGCACTAACACTTTCTTTTAATTGTAAGGAGTCCCTGCTAATACTACTCCAAGTATTAAAATTAAAAAATTTATCATAAATTAATTAAAGAACTTCATTCAATATCTTAAAGTACATTCAACTTATTTATTTCATCAAATAGTTCTTCAAATACCCAAGATTGAGATTCAGATATTGCTTTTATTGAAGATAATTATTCTTCAACTTCAACTGCTTCACTTTCCATTTACTCAACATGTTATTAATTATCTTAAAGTTTACTTTTCTATTTAGTTCTCTTTTTTTTTATGCCTTTATCTGAATTATTTTAAATGTATTTTTCTCCTACCTCACTAACAATCACTTTACGTATTTTATTGCATAAATTCTCTATCGAATTAGAGGATTCTTCTTGATTTTATTATGAGACTTTCCTTTTAGATAGCATCTTACTTATATTAATTATAAATTAATAAATTACATAGATTATTAATTTCCCCAAATCGACTATATGGATTTTTAAATTATTTTAAATCATATAAAATTTAATCACAGAAGAAACAATCCTCAATAAATCTGCAATATCTTTGAATAATTATTTAGTATATCTACACTACTCTAAGAAAATTGAACTTCCTTCTTACAAATTTTTACTCCCTAAGAGATTGGATATTTAAGCATAGTCTCGTTGAATTCTTTAATTTTTGTACTATAATATTTTGAACTTAATTTTACATTGCTAATGTCTATTCCATACATTTTTTTTATTCAATCAAATTTAAAATCTAGTAGAAAACTATCTTTATCAAATGTACCTACTTATTTTCCAATAAACATTTTGATAATTCTGATACATTTATATTTATTAACATAGAATTAATTTCATTTAATGAAATTTAATCTTACTTCATTAGTGCATAAGTTAATTAGAATATCTCAATTAATTAAAATCTATATAAGTATTAATATTATTTATAATTCTTTGCTAAACTCTTTATTTTTGGATGCAAAGTTTCTAAATTTCTTCCTACATTCTATTTTTTATCTAAATTAGTGCCTAATTTCTATATACAATATTAATTGGCTATGAAATTTGATATAATCAAAGCAAACTAAGTTTCGTGATATAAATAGATAGCTGTAATTATCTATTATTCTTAATTTTAATTTAATAGTAATCTGATATAATTGCTCATCTCATCTAATTTCAATAAAATTGATGTTTAACAATCCTAAATTTAATATATTGTTGAAGCTAAAGACAATAATTATTATAGATCTTTCAATACCATATGTAAATTCTTCTCAAAATGCTAACTAATCATTTCATTTGTAATTTTAATTAATTCATCAACTCCAAAAATATTCTCTAAATTTTCTTTTATGGCTTTATCACTCAAAACTTAAGCTACATGATTACTTCTTTATAATAGACTTGCAATTTATTCATAATTATATTCAGAAATACTTAATATCAAACATGAAATAAGAGGATATTTATTCTAAGTATAATTCACTAGATTATCAATTATCCATTTATTTTATTTCTCATTTTCTAAATTATTTTCTGATTTAATGTTTAAATTTGAAATAACAGTATTTAAAATGAAATATTCAACCTATGAAAGACAAGAATTCTGGATTTTGTATAATTCATTCAAAATGTAATCATATCTTTACAAAAAGATATTTGTTCTCAAACATACAGAAGTCTAAGGAATTACTTCATGTAATTCTGCTAAAGTCCAATGAGGGAAAGATTTTTTTGATTCATATTCGTGTTTATCATAATTTACAAATTTTTCAGAAACATGAGTTGTTTTCATAATCAACCAAAAAAAAAAGTCTTTATCTTTTTGAAATTAGGTTTCTTCAAATATATCATATGCTTCACTTACATCCATTAATAACCAATAACATTATTATAAAATGATATCGCAGCATTATTATTTATATTGTTCTTCAACATCATTTTAATTAATAATTTTTTTTTGTTAAATTACATTATTTACCAAATCGAAAAAGCTTAAAAATTATTAAGCAATATTTTAATCGTTATATATTAGTGTATGGAGTATTTTCTCTGCTTCACTAACTTTTCCAATTCTCATTAATACAAGGAGAATTCCACTTGGATAAAATTATCCTTGTTAATAGATTCTAATGTCATTTAATTATGGTAGATAATATTCTTTAAATTTTCTATTCAAATTTTGTAAGTCTATGTGTCCAATTTATTTTAGCATATCATTTTCTATATGAATGACAGTATTTCTGATAATTTATTCACTTATATAATAATAATTAAATTATTACCAGATAGCTTCATGGGATTAATTATTTGTTATATCTTTGAATTAATCAGCTAACAATTTCATTTCTATTTTATGATTAGTTTCAAAAGTTTCCATTGTTCTAAAAAGTTTCTCATATATTAATGGATTTTTCTTATTTTTTAGAAATTCTTAAAGAACTTAATATAAATGATGATCAATAAATAGTTTTTCTAAGATTATTTCATTATATTAATTAAGTTAAAGTTCATGAGTTACTAGTTTTTCTATTCTATGAGATGTTGTTAAGATATCTGATAATTTACTCTTTTATCTAACAATGCTTTTTTATTCAATATTACTAAATGAATTAAAAATCTATTAGATAATGCAAAGAAATTACTTGCTTATTTTAGAAATGCTCAATAGATAAATTTGAATAGTTTTTGTAATCTTCAATTTTAATATTCGAATGATATTAAGATTGCTGTTTTTTAATATCATTATTAACTTTTTCAGTTAATCTTTTGATATGATCACTCATATAATTCACATTATTAGTTGTCAAATTGAATTTCTTAAATAAATAATCTATTTTTGCTCCCATGTCATCAATTATATAGCCTATGTAGTAAAATGGTGCAAATTACATTAAGTCTTTTTAATAGGAATAAGGCAATCAAATCTTTTGTTAATTCTGTTTAACATGTAATTAGTTTAGATTGATATTGTTAGAATTGTATTTTCAATTATCTGTTTTTAATTTTCTGCCTCAACACCTTCTTGGTAAATTTATTTAATTTTCAAAGGATCAGATCCAACATTAATAGATGTGTTTTTGATTTGAATTCCATCTCGATAACTATTTTACAGCATTTATTATTATTTTTTTAATTAATCAAATTATTGTCATTATTTAATTATTTTGTTTAACATTTAATAATTAAGTGCATAATTTAATAATTTAATTAATTTATATGCATTCATAAATCACTTTATCAGAAATGTTCAGAAGCTATGAGCAAGACTATAAGACTCACATGGAATCTGTAATGTATGACCTATTAAAAATGAGTAAAGAGAGAAGAGAAGATGCAGATAAAAGTTTTTCTAAAGTTTCAGATGAGCTTCAATAAACAGAACAATGTGTAATTGATTTCTATATAATTTTTAGATAAAATAAATGGAGTTAGAAGCTTCTACTTTACCTAGTAGTTATAAAAAAGAATTAATGGAAACTATAAAATAATATAAAAGAGATATGGCTAAAGTGGAAAAGGACTTAAAATAATTATAATTAGATTAATAGGAAGATTCAAGCAGAGAAAAATTATTTAATGACAGATAAATTAATTAAGCCTTATTAAAATAAGAAGATCGTTATATTAGACAAACATTAGAATTGGAAGCAGCCAAAAGAACTGCTTATTTAACAGAATAATAAGCAAATTAAATATCAATTAATTTACATTCTTAATCAATGACATTAGATAATTCAATTAGAAAGACTTAATACATTAGAGAAGACTTGGGAGAATCAAATAGTTTAGTGAACATTATGAAAAACAGAATAATGAAAAGAAAATTTATAGTCTATGGGGTTTTTGGTTTTCTTGCTCTTTGTTTAACTATTGCAATAATGAGTTGGTTTTTTTGATTAAGAATTCAGTTTTAATGTTTAATTATTATTATTAATTGAAAACTAAATGGCGGAAATTTTAGGGGATTTGTTAAAACAGAAAAGAGACAACTTTAGAGTTGAATTAAGGAGAAAGGCAACAGAAGAGCTTTTCAAATAAAAAAGAAGAATATTTACTAACAATGAATAAACTTAGTTTACAGAAGAGAAAATTCATATTTGGTACATGAATTTAGTTAACTAAAACTATCAGGAAACTTTAGAAGAAATAAAACAATATTTATCAAATAAAAATGTTGAAGTAATAGGAGATATCTAATTATTAGCTTAATTTTTTAACATTAATTAATAAACATGAAGTATACTAATAATTACTAAATATTTGGAATAAGCAAGAATTAGATTATAAGATCATTTAATAATTGCTTTATATATTTGCAAATTTGCATTCTTACAATGTGTTTGATGATTTAAAATTATTGTAAAATGAATAATTAATGGGAAAATTGTTCGATTTATTATAAATGACTTCTTATAAAGAAATTCAATCTTAAATATTCTTTTTATTAGCAAATCTTTTAGGTATGGATAATGGAGTCAAAGCTAGAAAGTTGGCAGATTACGGATTTTGCACATTAATCAAAAATATGTGGATGAATAATCTAATTTACTTCGAAGTATATATATATGAATTAAAATTGAGATTGAAAATATTATAGACTTTTGCTGGTTTTTGAGTAACTTTTTTCATTATAATTAAAATAATGTTGCTGGTTTTACATTAAGTGAAGTATGTTATTTACGATAATAAAGGTCAAAGCAGTGTTGCCAATTATATTAGAATGCATTACATAAAATGAAAAAGATATTAAATTATATTCATTAATAACTCTAAAGAGTATGTGTTTAGCTAAAGAAGAAGTATTTGGTATAATAATAAATAAACTCAAAATCTTTAATGATTTAATGAATATGTAAAGAGTAAGTAATGATGAAGAAATTTCATTATAAATACTAGAAATTATTGCATCTTTTGCATTGGCAGATGATTAAATAACTACTTAATTAATCAATGAATTCAAAATCCTTGATTTCTTTTTATAAATTTATATCTAGCCAGGCAGAAATAAATAAAAGGAATTCAAAAAAATGATATTATGGGGATTAAATAATTTGTGTTGTAATGATAATTTTCAAATATTACAAACAATAATTAAACATGATCTTATTAAATTTATTTAAAAAGATGAAAATGAAACTGAAATCGTTAAGGATATATTAGAAGTTATAAGAAGTCTTTCATAATTAAAAAATACAGATTTACTAAAGTATGTATTGATGAGTAGAAATGTTGTGGATATAGTCATGAACTAACTAAAACTGAAAACAACAAAAGCAATAGTTTTGACATGTTTGAACATTGTACATAACTTTGCATATCAAATTGGTAAACATTCCCAAAGTGATATAAATATGGCAATAGAGATGTTCATTTCTAAAGGATTCGATAAAATACTTAATTAGTTAGAGTTTGATCCTGATCATGATATTAATATTGAAGCTTAAAGGTTGACAGAAGCTTTTCTTTAGTGAATTGATATAATTAATTAATTAATATTAATAATTTTATTTATAAAAATCAAAGTCATTTCTTTTTTTAATACTATTGCTGGAAATACAACAAAAAATTAGTTATTCCAGTTATTAAATCATATTATTAAATTCTTTTAAATAATTTTTATCCATATTTTGATGTAATAAAATTGATATATCTGTTATTAATTATTTAATTTATTTATATAAATGCTTTTGAATCCTTTAATTAAATTGGAATAATATGATTCTCTTCAAAATTATTATGAATAAGAATATTGATAAAAACATTATATATAAATACATCATAAGATTGATTATAAATAATGTATTTGATGTAAATGCTTATTTTTAATTTCTATAAAAGGCATTTGCTTAATTTTGATTCATAAACAATCAGATGAATAAAATTTAAGAACCCTTGAAGTGATTTTTGATAATAAGTAATTAATAAAAAAAATAAATTAATTTTTAAAAACATGATGAAAGTATAAATAAAAACCTATAGTAGATAGAAGAAGTGAAATCAACAACAAAAACTCAGAGAATAGCTCATCATAGTCATATTAAAGGATTGGGATTATCAGAAGATGGCACAGCTTTAGAAAATGCATCAGGAATGGTTGGGTAATAAATTGCCAGAGAAGTAAAAAAAATAGTATTAATATTTAATAGGCAGCAGGAATATTTGTAGATTTAGTGAAATCTAAAAAGTTAGCAGGAAGAGCATTATTAATGGCTGGACCACCAGGAACAGGAAAGACAGCAATAGCATTGGCGGTAGCATAAGAATTAGGATCAAAAGTTCCATTCTATCCAATGGTTGGTTCAGAAGTTTATTCAGCTGAAGTGAAAAAGACAGAAATATTAATGGAGAATTTTAGAAGAGCAATAGGTTTAAGAATAAAAGAAACAAAAGAAGTTTGGGAAGGTGAAGTTACAGATTTAAAAACAGAAGAAAAAGACGATTAAACAGGGTATATAGATTAAGTTAAATTAGATATGGGAAAGTAGTATCAGCTGTAGTAATAACATTAAAAACATCTAAAGGATCTAAAACATTGAAATTAGATCCATCAATTCATGAAAACTTAACAAGAGAAAAAGTAGCAATAGGAGATGTTATATATATTGAAGCAAATAGTGGTAATGTAAAAAGAGTTGGGAGATGTGATATTTATAATAGTGAATATGATTTAGAAGCAGAAGAATATGTTCCATTACCAAAAGGAGATGTTCATAAAAAGAAAGAAATCGTTTAAGATGTTACTTTACATGATTTAGATGTAGCAAATGCTAAACCTTAAGGAGGTCATGATTTTGTCTCTTTAATGAATTAATTAAATAAGAAAAAGAAGACAGATATTACAGATAAGTTAAGAGGAGAAATAAATAAAGTAGTCAGCAAATACATAGATTAAGGAGTTGCAGAATTAGTACCAGGAGTATTATTTATTGATGAATGTCACATGTTAGATATTGAAGCATTCACATTTTTAAATAGAGCATTAGAATCTACTCTGGCTCCTATTGTTATTTTAGCTACAAATAGAGGTTATTCTTAAATTAGAGGAACAGACATTGTCAGTCCTCATGGATTACCAGTTGATTTATTAGATAGGTATTATAAATGGTTATATACTCTTTAGATTGTTAATCATTAGAACTACGCCTTATAATTTAGAGGATATCATTAAAATATTAGCTATTAGAGCTTAAACAGAAAGCTTGAAAATCTCAGAAGAAGCATTGTAAGATCTCAGCTAAATTGGAAATGAAGCTTCATTGAGGTATCTCTTTTATTTTTAATATCAGATTTGCTATTCTTCTACTTACACCTGCAAATATACTTGCTTAAACTTCAGGAAGAGATGAAATTGCCAAATAAGATATTCAAGAAGTTCATGAATTATTTTTACATGCTAAATAAAGCTCAAAAGTGCTTGAATAACAAGCTGATAAATACATTAGTTGATGAGTATTATATAATCACACAATATACCAATTTAAGCTTACTTAATTCTCTATTTTTATAAATAAATACATCTATTTTTTTAGTGTTTATATTTGTATAATTATGGAAATGCAAAATTAAATCACAAATATTTGCTTAATCCCAATTAATCTTTTAGGCTTAAGTATTCGTTTCTTATATTCACTCCAATTTGTCCTATTGTACTCTATGTACCATTATACAGTGCACAATTATCAAATACTTATAACATGTCTGAATGAAACTCTCTGCAAGATTTGTAAGCATTTACATTCAATTTATTCTATTTTATTGTAGAACTTGATCATTACTTTTATTGTTCCAAAATCCATTGGTCTCTTAACAATTTCAAAATAATCATTTATATGATATTCTTTTTAATCAACTGGCTTATGAAAGAAATATGCCCCCTTTGATTTCCATATTTAAGCTATATTTATATTTCATTTATTTATATATACCTATCAATCTTTTTGCTAATTTTTCCCATGTCTCATCTTCTTTACATTAATTTATCATATTATCATCAATTATATCATCAGCATTTAATATTAATTAAGCTATTTCTGGATATTATCTTTGAAATTTTGAAAAATCTTCATTTGTTAATTCTCTTTATTGTCCTTTATCATCCGTATGTAAAATTTTATATTATTATTTTGGTACATCTTTTTATTTTTTTCTGATTTGCTTTTATTATTCAATTACTTTAACAACTTCTTCCTTTTTTTAATGTGTATCCTCTTTTTATTTTACCATATTTGCAGTTATTAAATCAATAACTTCTTTTTTCTAAGATTATTTTGCAAAATAAAGAGCAGTTTTTTTTTTATTATCTTAATGATTTACTGGGCATCCAGCCTACATTTTTTTAAATTATCATACCTCTATCAATAATCTACATGCTTCAAAATTTCCCTTACTAGCTGCATAAAATAAAGCTGTCTAACAAGATAATGTGTCTAAATGAGCAACATCAACACCAAATCTTATTAATCTTAAAATATTAATCTTTAAATTTACTTTTAAATTATATCTATTCTATTCTCTCTTGATGCATAAAATAATGGAGTTTGACCATAAGAATCAGGGTCAGATATATTTATTGATTATGTAATTAGATAATCAAATAATTTTGTTTTACCATCTCTACATATATAAAATAAGATAGATTATTTAAGATTATCTTTATAATTTACATTTGCTCCTAGGTCACATAAAATCTTCAGTAACTAAAGTGAAACTTCTTCATCAGATCCTTAAATTGCTATAAATGTTGAAATTTATCTTGTTTATGGATCTATTCTGTTTACTAGATCCACTTCTTTTTAATATTTATCTAAGATTTAATATTTAATTGTTTACTTAATATATGCTTTACTTTTTCAATATGCTATAAATGTAATGCTTACTTAAATTCTCCATAAATTGCATAAATTTATTCAGATGTCAATTTATCAATCGGAATTTCATATTCAACCGGTTAAAGTAATTATTGGAACTAATTAATATCTATATAGTTAAGCATCTCACCTATTTCAGATTTGATTTAAGAGACTATTGAGTGGATCTATGAGTCATTATAATTTAAACTTTGCAAAATGTTTTCTACTTATATTGAATTTACTCTTTCATTAATTGCCGCCATTCTGAATCTATTTAGAGCAGTTTATAGAAAATTTTATGAAATCATAATTATTAAATTAAATATTAAAAGAAATTCTTATCTAAATCAACTTATATTATAAGTATTTGATGGTTAACTAATAAAATATTTTGCCATTTCAATCAAATCAATTAAAAAATGACATTTAGATATATATTTATTTTTCAATAAATTATACTAATCAATGTTTTTTAGCATATTTTAATGTATATTCTCTTGCTTTTATTAAAGCCTATGCTTCATTTTATTTCCATAAATTAGCAGCTTCATTATTTAATGGATCATCCTTAAATTATTTATGACTAATCATACTGGATTTGGTGAGCTCAACAACACCTAGATTGATAATAAAATAGATCTTATTTATAAAGCTGGTGACCATTTATCTTTTAATACATCCAAACAAATTCTTCCCAAATTATCAATATTTGGATGATAGATCTTAGTATTGAAAACGCATTTAGGTGGGGACTACAACATTAATCTCTGTAAAATTACCATAGGATAATCATCAGGTAGTAGTAATTCAATATCAAATACACCTCCTTCGTATGGTGTATTAGGAGGACCTGCTATTATTACAAAAAAATGTTTGAAGTTTTAAGGATCTGGAGTCACATCTATTCCTTGTACTTTATCTTTGGCTAAATTCTATGTCTCCTTTATAATTCTTGGAGTTGGTTAAGCCATAAATTGTTGAAATTATATTTTTATTAATATTTAATATTTTTATATAAATAATATTTATACTCAATTTCAATTATCTTATACAAAAATTAAATCAAATGGTTTCAGAATTTTTGTATCAAGAATATAATTTATTATTTTTAATACTTTAAGCATGTATTTCTTAACGAAATTTAAATATTAATTGTTTCTTAATAAAGTTTAGTTTTTCAATATTAGCATCTAATTATTTCTTATTTTTAAACCTTATCCTTATTTACCAGAAATTAATACATTAGCAAAAAAACCCAGCAGTAAAGTTATGTCTTTTAGATCCACCAGTTATTAAATTTATAATAGTAATTGTAGCTTAAGTTGTTCCATATTATAATTAATTTTGAGGCTACTCAGCATATTTTAATAATTCAATCATTTCATCCTTTAAAGCATCTAATTTTAATGTCTCTATAATCTTGGATTAGTACGATTCGAATCNATCAACTTATATTATAAGTATTTGATGGTTAACTAATAAAATATTTTGCCATTTCAATCAAATCAATTAAAAAATGACATTTAGATATATATTTATTTTTCAATAAATTATACTAATCAATGTTTTTTAGCATATTTTAATGTATATTCTCTTGCTTTTATTAAAGCCTATGCTTCATTTTATTTCCATAAATTAGCAGCTTCATTATTTAATGGATCATCCTTAAATTATTTATGACTAATCATACTGGATTTGGTGAGCTCAACAACACCTAGATTGATAATAAAATAGATCTTATTTATAAAGCTGGTGACCATTTATCTTTTAATACATCCAAACAAATTCTTCCCAAATTATCAATATTTGGATGATAGATCTTAGTATTGAAAACGCATTTAGGTGGGGACTACAACATTAATCTCTGTAAAATTACCATAGGATAATCATCAGGTAGTAGTAATTCAATATCAAATACACCTCCTTCGTATGGTGTATTAGGAGGACCTGCTATTATTACAAAAAAATGTTTGAAGTTTTAAGGATCTGGAGTCACATCTATTCCTTGTACTTTATCTTTGGCTAAATTCTATGTCTCCTTTATAATTCTTGGAGTTGGTTAAGCCATAAATTGTTGAAATTATATTTTTATTAATATTTAATATTTTTATATAAATAATATTTATACTCAATTTCAATTATCTTATACAAAAATTAAATCAAATGGTTTCAGAATTTTTGTATCAAGAATATAATTTATTATTTTTAATACTTTAAGCATGTATTTCTTAACGAAATTTAAATATTAATTGTTTCTTAATAAAGTTTAGTTTTTCAATATTAGCATCTAATTATTTCTTATTTTTAAACCTTATCCTTATTTACCAGAAATTAATACATTAGCAAAAAAACCCAGCAGTAAAGTTATGTCTTTTAGATCCACCAGTTATTAAATTTATAATAGTAATTGTAGCTTAAGTTGTTCCATATTATAATTAATTTTGAGGCTACTCAGCATATTTTAATAATTCAATCATTTCATCCTTTAAAGCATCTAATTTTAATGTCTCTATAATCTTGGATTAGTACGATTCGAATCATACAAGAATACATTCCTTTATTTGCTTTATACTGATAAATATCTTATCAAAATACATAATCAACATTTCCTGAAAATAGAATATATGAATTAATCCAAAATTGGTAATATTGTATCTAATCATCTTACTAATCATGGCATATGTATGAAATTTCATCAGGTGTTTAAAATTATTCTACTCATAAATTGTATCTTTTTCAGATGTTTTTTTTACTTTATGATGAAAAATTAATTTTTGATTAAACTTTCCTGATCATAATTACTATAATAAATTGATTCAATAACAATTTCTCGTTAACTTTACCCTTTGGATTAAATAAAAAATTTTCGAAGTTTTTCAGCATTTATTTAAAGGCTAAATTCTTAATCTATACATAATGAATCATTAAAAGCAATTAATGTGTAAAAGTAGTAGCAATAAAACATCTATAGCATTTATGATCATTATTGAGATTTGATTTTATTATTTTACCTTTTAATAATTCTCTTAAATAGCGATTATTATTTTCAATCCTTAGGTTCTAGCAATTATATTCTAGCTTTGGATGTAATATTAATTAATTATATCTTTATCTTAACTATTATTATTTAGATAAAATTCAATTATTTTTTAAAAAAACCCAATCAATTTAAATTTTACTTTTTGGTAATAATTAACAAGAATTTTTCATGATTTAATTGATTTACTTTATTATAGTTTATAAAATTTGGTTTAAAATTTTCATGTCTTTATTAGTTTTACTTGATTATCACACCCCCTTTCAAAAAAGCTCATTTTATATAAATTTTATTATTAACTTTTTCTGAATAAAATTTGTAAAAAGGTCTATTTGAATGTTAAAATTAGATGTTTTGAAAATTTTAGTGAATTTAAACTTTAAGTTTATAATATATAAATAAAAATGACTTTAAATATATTATATTATTAAATTTATTATTCAATTAAAATGTTTAATAATTAAATGTAACAACCTAACACACCATATGGACCTGCGACAACTTAAATACCTTAAAATTAAAATCGAAATCTATAATAGCCCTCTTAAATTCCAAATCAGAAATAAATATACCCACAAATGGTATATTAAATTTTATTAATGTAATAGATTCCTCAATTATAAACATAAACAATTACTCAAACTCCAAACAATATTCCTCCTCAGGGTAATTAAAGTTAGTAATAAATAAGACCAAATATGATTTCAAACAGAATCGTACCCTAATAAGTAAATGTTAATCTTAGATAAACTAGGAACCTCTTGGATCAATAAGAAATTAAGTTCAACCATTTAAATCATCTCCATAAAAATACATGAAAGTTGATGTTCCATAATCTATTCGAAGCTAAAATAATTCATCCCCTTAAGGTCCAGCATCATATAAAAGTAATACTAACCTCTCAGGTTAAAAACCTGCATTTGTTGAGTATCTACCTCCTGTTTATGTTCCTCATATTGAACCAATGATTACATAGACTTTGGTCGATAATCCAATAAAAGTAGTGGACTTAAACAAATTTGAAGAAATGTGGAAGAAGAGGATGCAAGGAATTGAAGACTTATTAGCAACAAAATAAATACCAGTTGAAGCTGAAACAATAGAATTAAGGGCTGCATAAAATGACGATAGTGAAAAAGTTATTGAACTTTAAAATGAACTATTTCTAATAAGATAATAGCTCGAAGATAGAGATAAAGAAATTATGGATCTCAAATCTTAATTATAATCTGCCATTGAACAATTAGATTTTGAAAATTGTAAATATTATCATATTATATTAGAATAAAGTAAGAATTCGGCTTCTGTATAGATTTCAGAATTATAAATGAAGATTACTACTCTCTAGTCAAGTATTGTTAATCTTAAACTTGAACTTTAATAATCTGATTAAAATTTGGAAAAATATTAACAAGACAATTTTACATTGAGAAATGACATCCAAAATTATATTATGCAATGCTAAATAAAGGATGAAACAATTATAAAATTGAATCAGTAAATAAAATAATTAACTTTGGACTTTTGTATATTATTTTTCTTTATATTTTTAGAATAAAATAAAAATGGATCTAACATTCAAGTGAATGAATTATCAATATAAATAACTACTTTCCAATAAACAATTTCTAATTTAAAAAATGAATTGTTATAAAATTCTTAATTAATAGAAAGATTATAATTAGAAAATGTATAATTAAGAAAAGAAATATAAAATTATATTGATTAATGTAATGAAAAGGATGATTTAATTTAAAAATTGGATTAAGAAATATCAGAATTAAATTAACATGTAGAATAATTAACTGAAGAAATTACAACAACACAATCTATTAAAACTTATGAAGAAGAAGCTAAAATTTGGAAAAAAAAGTTTAAAGAACTTAATGATGTTTATCATTCATGTTAGGAGAAATTGATGGTAAAAGAAGCAGAATACGAATCATTGTAGAAATAATAAAGCTCCTAAAGAATAGTAACTTAGACAACTGTTGTACAATAAAATAGTTCTAGGTTTGCCAAAAATGTAAATTTAAATAATCAATTTTAAAGGATTCCGATTATGTTTCAAGTAGTCTTACTTAAAATGATATTGAGAAATTACAAAGTTTGTAAAAGCCGCTATAATTATGATATTGAATAAATATGTCTTAAAATAATAAATTTATTTGATTTAATTTTCAATTATTGTAGAAAACTAAAAATAAAATTTTATTCTATTATGATATTCTATTTAATAATAAAACCATATAAGATATCATAGCATAGATTAAATTGTGTTATATATCTCATAATGCTTTAAGTTTGGCATCCAAATCGTCCAAATGTTCTTGTTGAGGATTTTATTATTATTACTACTGGATTGGTTGATTCAAGTTAATTATTTTTTATCCTCCTCCACTATTACCAGATCCAGCTAATTTAGATTCAACTTCTTGAATGTATTTATCAGCATTCTCATCATTATATTCATCTGCTTCTTCATTCATAATTTCCCCAATTTACTCTATTAAATATATCTAAAGTTTACCTTGTAAGAAATTTTGTTTTTCAGTCTCATTTGAAAATACCTCAATAACTTATTAAATATTTTTGACATCAATAGCCTAATTTGCTTACTTCATCATCTTTGACATTCCTGTCATTACTTATACTAATGTTTCTGTTGTTGCTGCTGAATTTAAACTATATAAATATTAAATGTTTAATGATTACGTGAACATAACATCATTCATTTAGGCATCGAGTCTTTAATATTTTTGAATATATTGCTAATTCCGTAATACATGCGCTGCAAGCATTCTTTATGTTGCCTAAAAAATAATAAAAATGAATTACCTTTGGCTCTTTAGCTTTAATAGCTTTTTCTAAATCAGTTTTGAGTTTTTTACTTTACATTTCCATTCTCATAATCTCTTTATTAAAATCTCTCTGTAATTTCCTTATTGTTCTAGAGAATTCTTTAACCATGTCTAATTGATATATATAAATTGATACCTTTAACAGTTTTTGGTGGTGGAGGGGGAGGAGGTGGTTTGTTGCCCATTTAAAATTTATATTAAAAAATATGAAAATCTTGCGATTATTATTTTTTTAAATTAACTTTAATACGTTATAATTATGAAATTAATATGGAAATTGTTAATAATTTATAGAACAATTTATGTTAATAACTATTAATAATGAATCTAAATTAATAGCCATTATAACTATAACATTCATTATTGTATCCCAAGAGCAGAACAAACTAGCACAAGTATTGACTATCACATATTTTCTCAGATGGTAAATAAAATCTAACTCAAAAATATTAAGGGTGAACAAGACTAGTAGAAAAATTAGGTCATCAAAGAAAAAAAGGTATATGATTAGTAAAAGTAGAGCTCTTGCCAATAGATTTTCTATTGGAGGGAAAAATAAAGAAAGGAGCCTTTTAGCCTAGAAAAAAAATAATTGTGATTCAAAATATTTGGAATCTTATTATTCTTATTTTATTAATACTATTTTATTTGGTAATATAGCTGATCCAACCAAAACACCTATTATTGTTTAATGTTGAGATTTATAATAGTGATAATTCTAATAATATATTAATTATAAAATTTAATTTCAAAAATAAAACTAATTAGAATGAGAATTGTCTAGCCTGATATTACTCAAAATAGAACATTGATTCTTTAAATAAAAAATAATGGTTTGTTCTTGAATTTAATACCTTATCAAAGGAATTAAGTTGACTTCAGATTTTAGATTTCTCTATAATCACTTTCATTGTATTTATAAATGATGTATATCCTCATTTATTTCTTCTTTTCGATAAATCCGAAAATTTAATAGAATCTAGAAACTACTAAATAATAATTGAATTTTAAGAATCTTATCCCTTAATAACAAAAGAAGAAAAGAATTTAAACAATTTTTATAAAATATATGTTAAATGGACCAGTTTACAATCATATTTAATTTTCATCAAAGAATTGTCTAAGTCTTGATAATAAGTCCTCTTTAACTTTATTAGGAATTGTTGCTTATCCTCTTACATATAACATATCTGTCAATTCCTCTATAGTTATTTTTTCTAGTCCTTTTTATCTGATTACTTCTTTACAATAATCCTTAAGATCATCTCTCCATCTACATTCAATCAATTTTTATCTCAAATATTCCTCTAATCTTAATTTATTAAAATTTTCAATACCTGGAATCTTCCCCTGTTTCTCTGAGTTTCTAGGCTAATAAATTAGTTCTTTAATTGATAAAATCACCAGCCAATCTTGATTATTGATTCATTAGTAATTAATAATAAATTATAATTAAATGAATACTGTATTAAAGGGAGATTAACCATATTTGGAATAACAGCGAAAATCCACTATAAGTCCAGAAACTGGAAAGCATATTTAAAATACACTTCACAGAAGAATCAATTTTTCATAGGCTGATTTGATTACTCCTATTGCTGTTAAATAAAATCATAAAAAATAAGCAATAAGTCAAGGATTACAATAATTACTTAAATAAAGCCCTTATTCAAAGTTAGTATCATAAAAATCATAACTATAATTATAATATCAAGATAGTTTTTCATAATAGTATCTAAATGGTTATACTCCAAATCAACAATAATCATAGTTACTGTTTAAACCTGATATTAAAACACCCTCTTTAAATTCTACTACTTCAAGCAGCATAAAACCAAGAATGCGTAACCAAGCTAAAGATTCTTTATAAAAAAAATCTTTTGATTCTTACAATGCTATGTCATTTAGAGAAAAAGACAAATAAACTATTTCTCAACTCTAAAATATAATATCGAGAACTTCTATATTATTATTATCATATAAAGAAGAATTATAAAAAAATATAATAGAGAAATAGGATTTGATTAAACAGATCGAGAAATTAGAACAAAATAAAATCAAATAATGATTATAATTTATTAATTTTTCTATTTTCAGCAAATATATAATACTTAATATTTATTTTTATTAGTTTTTTATTTTGAAACTTTAAATTCCATCTTCTTTCGATTATGTAGAAAAATAAAATAATTTATTAAGAATTAAATTTTATCTTAAATATTGAAATATAATACTCTCTATAGAGACCATCTAAAGTTTGTTAGATTAGTTAAAATATTATATATATATATAAGTATAGTCATTGCTCTACTTCACAAGAAGTGAAAATCTGTAAAGAATTTTCCAAAATTGTGTTGTCTTATCGGCGTAGTTCAGCAAAGTATGAGTTTATTTTAGTTTTGGCACTTTCAGGTTCAATCGCTTAAGAGCAATCCTTTAAAACCTTTACTTTATAACCTAATTTGATAGCATCAATAACTGTAAAAAGAACACAATAATCTAAGGCTAGTCCACCAACATAAATTGTATTCACATTCAAGTTTTGAAGCTAAATAATTTAAATAATAAATACAATTTGATGTAAGTTTGTCTTATCTTCTTTGCATCCAAATCCACTATAGCTATCATATTTTGAATTTTTTCCTTTTAGAACAATTATGTCACCATTTTCTATTTATATATCTTTGTGTAATTCTGATCCATAAGTATTTTAAACACAATGAACAGGCCAGAGATTTTAAACTTCATCTTTAGTCAGTTCATTCAAATTTGGATGATTTATTTTGAAAGAGACATGATCTTCTGGATGCCAATCTTTCGTGAAAATAACATTTTTGAAGTATTTTCTAACTTTATTAATTTTTGGAATGATTTCAGAAGCTTTTTATACAGGAACAGATCCTTCTTCGCAAAAATCATTTTGAACATCAACGATGATGAGAGCAGAGTTTTCCATTTTATGAATTTCTATAACAATTTATTGAAAAAATATTTTATTTAATATCAGAATTTCTTAAAAGTATAGTTAAAAATACCTAAATAATACATATTAAAATTCATTAGATAAGCGTCAGAATTAATATCAATTTATGTCGTTTTTATCAGAATTTTTTAAATAAAATGAAATATAATATATATAAAAACCATATTGTAATTTATGGAACAAGTTTTTCTATATTTTTTTTTCTTTCAATTTTCATTAATTTTAATTGAGTTCTTAATTTTTAATAAAGTCTCTAGAGTAAAAGTGTTAAAAATGTAGATAAACATAGGTTTGACCTAAATTAAATATAAAGAAAAAAATGATGAGTATAGTTTGAGAATGTTTAGAAATTAAGTTAAATTAATATCATTTCAAGATAAATTTTTTCGTATATATTGAAAGAAATCACAGCAATAATATTTAGATTTAATTATAGTAGGGGGTTTTGTTTTAGAAAATTAAAAAAAAATATTATTAGAATGAATATCTAATTGATTTTTACCATCAATGTTTTTAGTTATAAAAGCATAATGATAAAAACTCATTTTTAATATCTACAATATTTATAACATAAATATAATAAAATATAAATATAATGTAGATTCCAAATTATGATAGAGATTCTGTGTGCTCATTTTTCAAGAAGCTTACAGGAGATATTTTGTTTTATTTAGATGAAATGAAATCTGATTTTGCTAAAAATCCTCCTTAAACAAACATAAAAGATAGAGTTTTAGTATCTATGTTATTAAAATTAGTTATGGAAAGATAAATATTAATAATCTCTTAATTAATGCATAATGACTTATATTATGAAAACAGAATAAGTGGATGTGTCATAATTCTAATTTAAAGAATTCTTAGATAAGGTGACTGATGAATATTAAAATGATCAAGAGTTTATGGATTTATTGAAGTAGTGTAATTAGAGCATAGAAAATTTAAAGGATTTCATAAGAACAAATTTGGCTAAGGATCCTTCAATATATGTAATAAAGGATATTTGATTTGATGCTAATTTGTATTTATAATTGAAATAAAAATAAGAAAGAATAGTAAATGGAATTATATATTGTATAATTTATAAACCATTATGTAAGTCACAATGATTCTAATGAACTTTTTGCTTAGTATTTGACTTCTGCATCTTAATCATCACTAAGAGTTTATAAAATTTTTTTCATAGGATCTACAACATTACCTCCTTTTTCTTTAGCTAATTGAATGGAAGTTCTACAAACATTGCTTCTTATATTAGCAACCGAATCTTTGGCCATGGATTATAAAATAGGTACAATAGTTCTTAAGACATAATCATTGTTTAATTAAGAAGTAATATGCTAAAATATGAAGATTAAATACATTGATTGTAAATAGAACAGTTAATCTATGAAGATAATTTTAAATAGACTGAAATGCCCAAATTTTAGTTAATAAATTTTTATCAGCCCAAGGGAGTCCAAGAATAGAGATCAATTAGGCAGTTTATTAGATGGCAGTTTATCTAACTGAGAAGACTTTATCACCCATCCAATCTAATAGTAATTTCAAGACTTTATCAGATAAGAACTCTGGACCAATAGCTCTTGCAAAGAAACTCAAGACTTCAATGGTTGAAGCTCTTATTCTCCAATTTTTATCTTATGCTAATTCTGTTAATGCTGGGATAACACTTTAAGATAAGGAATCAACACCAAGAACATTTGTAATAAGACTTAATTTTTTAAAGAGGGTTATTCTGACTTCAGAATCTTAGTCTTTTAGTAATGTTAAAAAGATTGGTAAGATTTATTCACTTGTATTTTTCTTACCAATAATAGGACATAATGCTAAGACTGAGGAAGCTAGTGCATCTTAGTTTTATAAATCTGAATTAATTACTTCTAACAAAAGCATTAGTGTCAGATTGTATAGATTTCAAAAGAGGTATTAATTTATTTAAAATATCTTCTGGATCCATTAAACTACTTACTCTTTCTATTTTTAATGCAGCAATAGATTTCATTTCAGGTTCTGTATCTTGTAAGAATTTAAGGTGGTACATTTAGAAATTCTTACGATAACCATCTTTGCTTACAGCTTCACCTATCTTTTGATATTTAATAATGTTACTTCACCCAATTTATCACATAAATAATATCTGACTCTCCATGATTAATCTTCAGCTAATTATTTAAACATATTTAGAATAAAGTTTTATTATTTTTAGAAAAAAGGAGTTTTACTTGTTTGTATTAGTGAATCTACAATGTACATTCTAATAAAGTCTTATTCATCTTTAATAAAAGAATTTAGGATGTTCTAAATAAAAGCTTCATTTACTAATGGGAAATGTTTAACCAAATCCTAATTTTTGAAAATTTAATACTTAGAAATGCATAGATGCGAATTTTCTCACTTAAGGAATTTGATCCTAAGACATTTTTAGAGTTATATTTATTAAGTCATTCTAATTATTCTATGAAACTTAATTAAAGATTGCTGGTATTAAAATTGCTACTGCATTCTTAGCCATGTAATAATCGCTATCATTTAATCTCTTTATTATTCCCATAGCTAATTCTTCGACTTTCTTTTACTCTGGAATTTAAGTTAGGCATTTTTTGATTTGATTTGCAGCCTTATTTATAATTTATTTTACTTTTTCTCTTACTGAAGCATCCTCTACTCTGCATAATACTTCAAATGTAGGTAGTAGAACTTATACTTATCCTCCTACAAGCTCTACAAAATTTCTTGATAGTGAATCCACTAATTCTATCAATACTTCATCATCATCATCCAACAATTCTAAATTATATATTTATATACCTTAAATGAACGGGATGAGTTCATTTTTTGTTCTGTCCGGACCAATTGTACTAGCTATCAAATCTAGGTGTTTAACTGAATGAATTCTTTTCCTTATATCATCACTTTTGAGTTCGTCTATAATCAAATTTATTGGCATTCCTGTAGTATTTTCAATTTTGGGCATCTTTTAATTAATTTATTAAATACATTATTTTTTTCTTTCGATTTTTATTTTAAATATTAACCGTTGCTATGTAATAAGGCTAAGTCAAAGTGATTGGGAATTACAGCTACAACCTTAAGCATTGTTTAGGAGAAGGAGCTTATGGTAAAGTTTACTAAGGACTTGATACCACAGCTAATCTAAAAGTGGCTATCAAAAAACTTGATTTACGTAATTTTGAAAGAGATAATTATCTCAAATAATCAATAATCTAAGAGATTGAAATTCTCAAGAAATTTAATCATAAAAACATAGTTAAATTTATTGATTTGATTTCAACTCAAAGAAGTCTCTATATAATAACAGAGTTTTGTAAAGATGGAGACCTAAGAGAAATTATGAGTAGAAAAAAATACAATGAATAAGATGCTTGGAAAATCATGAAATAAATTATTCAAGGATTTCGTGAACTTGTATCCAACGCTATTATTCATAGAGATTTAAAACCTGCAAATATTCTTAGTCATGAAGGAGTATATAAAATTGCTGATTTTGGATTTGCTAAATATGTTGATAATTTTAGTAATTAGTTATTAAGATCATGTGTTGGATCTCCACTTTATATGGCTCCTTAAATTTTGGCTAGAAAACCATATTCTACTAAATGTGATATTTGGTCTCTTGGTGTAATATTTTATGAAATGGTTTTTTCTGATGTTCCATGGAAAGGAAGAGATGAAAGAGATTTATTAAAGAATATTTTAAGTGTTCCTGTTTCAATTAAAAAAGGATTTTTAACATCTAAATGTGAAGAATTCCTTAGAAAAACTTTAACCATTGAAGAAAATGATAGAATATCATGGGAAAAGGTTTTTGAGATGTTTGATGTTGTTAATCTTCCACCACCAGATTAGAGAATTTAAACTTCTCCAAATCTTAATATTAGAGTTAATAATCATCAAAGTTCATCTAATAATGAAAAAGAAAGAAAGAAATCTATATTTTAAGGACCATCATAATCACCAATGCATCAAGCTTCAGCTCCTGTCTAACCTATTACAGTATAACCTTAAACACCCTCTATTAAAAGTCTTAGAAATGAAATTATATTTAGAAACTTTGTTTTAACGACTGAATTATTTCCAAGATACACATCTAACAAAAATAGCATTGTTGAAAAACTTATGATTTGTTTAAGCAAAACTAATATGGCTATGTAAAATAGTCTATATACATTGGCTAATTAAATCATGGTGCCAGCTTTAAAGAAAGATTAAGATTAATATGTATCATTTCATTCCGATTTAATTGAAACATTATCAAGAAATGGCTAATTGTAACATTGCGATAGAGAACTAGATATTAATTCAAAAGAATAAAATTGTTCTGAGAGTGAATGTGAAAAGTTAAATAATATCCTAACTACATTAATTAAATAATTATGGTATTACTTATTTCATTATTTTTCAGTTAAGAAATGCTTGAAGAACATAAAAGAACTCCTTCTAGACCTATCATGTTATTATTAGACAATCTAGTCGATATCATTATTATCCATAAAAAAGTTCAAAGGTGTATTGAAATTGATTATGATTAATTGAATGCTGAAAAGGCAGAAGAAGAAGATCCAAGAAAAATTATGGATATTGTTTTAGAAAAGCTGAGATAAGCTTGATTTATTTTTTCAATATTTTTTCTAGCTAAAATCATTGATCTTAATGTAACTATTAACTTAAACTTTATAATCGTACATAATCATAATAATTATATTTTAATTTATTATAATCAAAAATATTCTCAATTTAATATTACATCAAATTTTCAAATAGTTATTTATTATGTAATTATTTTTAGGAGATAGTAATTTCATGATTCTAATTGATACTTTAAAAGAATATCATTTTTTATTTAATAAGTCTTTTTTTCAATCTTCTAACTGCATAATAATGTCATTAAAGATATAACAATATATACTTTTATTATTAATATAATAAATCTTATATGGGAAGCAATTGTTCATAAAATTACTAAGTTTCAGAAAGAAGTACAATGAACAAATAAGATTCATTTTTTTAGAATGACTAAATTGCCAAACCTTAAATAGATAGCATAATTGGTGGAAGCTAATTGACATAAATTGAAATCCCTAATGCTCAATTGAGATCCCCCACAAAACCTAGCATATCAAAACATAATGAAATTAAATCTTTAGTTAGAGTTCCATCCGAAGAAAGCTTATTTTAAAAAGAATTCTGTATAATTATAGAAGGTAAACAATAACATCATTCAAAGTTGTTAAAAACGATTCAACCTAAACTCTAAATCAATTTGCTATCTTAAAAACTAAGAATACATCGATAAAATTAATAATAAAGTCCAAAATTCTAATCATCTGTTCATTAAAAAAAGTTATAAACTTAAAGCAATTCTCATTCTCCTCTATAATATTAGCATGCCACATAAGAAAATTAAAAGAAAAGGAGAGAATCCCTAAAAAATATGCATAGGTATAATGAAAAAATAGCACCAAAAAGAAAATTTTCTGATTTGCCTGAAAAAAAAGATAAAATTTAATAAGTTAGAAGAAAAATAAGCGATATCTGTGATGATCATGCATACATAATTGGATTAGAAAGCCCTACTAAATTTAGATCATTTACTCCAAACTCAATTTTAAAACGAAAAGAATCAGAAATTGAAACAAATACTCCTTAAAAAAAGTAAGTGAGATTCAAAGACTAAAGATAAAATAATCTAATTTGTACCTGATGTAATATATATATAAATTCATTTATTATTAAATTATGTAATTTAATTAATTGTTATCTCTATATTTATTTGAACTTAATTCTCATTTTATTTATTTCTAATGTTGTATTAGTTTAGATTCTTTAAAATTTAAAACTCAAATTAACAAATATTAAAATCCATAATTATTTTTTAATTATTGAGTATAATCATAATAATTTTGATTAGTCCATTCACTCTCAGAAATTAATTATTTTATAACTACCCCAATTAATTTTTTTGCTAGTCTTCAAAATAAATTAAAGAAGTAGGTTTTTGTTAAGTTAAAAAAATCGTTGTGTTTTTCATAAGAATTTTAAATTTAGAAATTCGTTCAACTTTTTTATTAATATTATTTTAGAAAGATAGGCAACAATAAACTTAACCTTAATGATGCCTTTCTTTATATAATTATTAATAAGGGTAAATTATTTGATAGAAAAATAAATTTGATAGGAATTGAAATTCATTTCAAGATAATTTTTTTAACAAATAAATAATATAAAATAGTTAATTTTAAATTTTATATTTAACATTGACTTTGTCAGAATATTTAATTTTATTCAATATTTTGTAAGATATTGGGATAAAGTTTTTTGTGTGCATCAACAGCCCAAACATAATCTAAATGAGCATAATCATGGATCATTTAAATTTGAAGAGTTGAAGGGTCAAACAATGGAATAGTTTTTTGAAGATCTTTTTCATCAGCTATCACATCTTTGGTACCAATGTAAAAATACTTTGGTATTTTCAATTAACCAAGATTTTCTACATTATATTTTGGAGGAATTGATTAACCATAATGTAAAATATTGTTAGATTTCCCATAATCAAAATAAGAAAAGGTTCCATTTCTATAGAATTACATCCTAAAATAAATTATCATATAATTACCATTAAACCAAAGTTTTAGTAGATGTACCTCCAGGTTCATGAGATACCATAAATCCAAACTTCTTGAGATCTATTTTGTTTTATAATGGATATCCACATATTAGATTTGTTATTGTGAATAAGATTTTTCTATAGATCCAAGGAATCATATCACAAAGAGCACCTATTTTTAGATTGAAACTATCATCGAAAACAAAAAAGTAAGGGATGCCAATAATCTTTGTGAACTCAAATATCCAAGATTTAACTGCAAATTAAAGAAATAATGATTTCTATAATATAAATATACTTTTATACTGAATTTTTAACATAAATGACAGGTCCTATTGCTATAAAGCATTTTAAGTTTTCTTAGAAATCAATATGATTAGACAAATAAGCAAAGGCTTAAGTAGAGCCTTGAGAATGGCCTATATAAATTACTTTTTCCTTTTATGATGCTTACTTGACATGATTTATTATTGCTTTAAAATCATATCTTTAAATGTCATCAAAACTAAAATCCCAATATTTTTTATTATAACAAACTCCTGGGATCTTGCTGTGTCCCATAGAATATTTATTTCCTCTATTATTAGCCAGCCAAACATCATAACCTTAATCAGCTAAAATATATGGTAAGGTTTATTCATTAGTATTATTAATAAACCAAGACCAGGAACTATCAAGTAAACCATGTTGAAGTATACTAAAAATATAAATCATTATATATTTACATAGGATATTTATTTTCTTTTTTAATATTTTTGTACATTCTCCATGCTGTGAGAATGTATCCATCTTCTGTTAAGATTTAATGGATTTCTAAATTATATCCTTTTTCTGTAATCATATCAGCTTTTATCAATAAATTAAGATTAATACTTGCTGAAGTGTAAACTCCTGGATAAGGACGTAGCTCATTTACTTTTATTCTAAGATTGTTTATGAAATTTTTATTTCTTAAATCGCAATCTCTCACAAACAATGAAAGGATAAAATCAGTAAAGACGATTGTTGAATAAGTGAAATAGTACAAAAGTGATAATCCTAAGGCAAGTGATGGTTTTATAATCCAAACAAATAAGTTGAAGAATACTATTTGAATTAGATTTAAAAACATAATATTATTAAAAAAATTTAATAATAACAAATTGTTTTTAAGCATATTTTTTTATTTAAATCAATAGTAAGTATTATTATTGAACTAATTGAATTTCAAAAATAAAGAATGAGTAGACTCTTTTTTTATATAAAATATTCTCATGATAAATAAATGATTAAGAAAATTATGTTAAAATACTATTATTTAATATATGATATGATTATGTTTAACAAATCATTTTCTTAGGGCTTAGAAAATCTTTAATTTTTCTAATGGACCATGTTATTTCAATTTGTGGACGTGAGTACCATAGTATTATAATTCATCCTAATAATAATTAATTTATGGTAATACATTAGCCTTATATTTAAGATAGTCGGATCTGAAATAGTTGGTGAATCCCCATTTAGCTGAGACAACAATCTTTTATCTTCCTGGGAACTTATTCTTTCCTCTTCTTAATGCTTCCATAGCATGATTAATTGAAGCATCTTTGCATCTCAAAGAGTAAAGAATGCTACCAATTTTAACTCTGGCACATAAACCATTGGGTTTACCAAAGGCACCTCTCATACCAGTTTAAAGTCTATCTGCACCAGCACATGAAAGCATTTTATTGATTCTGAGTACGTGCCATGGGTGAACTCTACATCTAAGATGGAATGCATCTTTTCCAACTTTCTTAATCATATATTTATTGATGGCAACTCTGCATGCTTCTAAGGCTTCTGATGAAATTTATTCCTTTTCATCTGATACAATGTGAATTGTAGCCTAATTCATATTAATTATTAAGTACTGGGAATTCATCTACATTAGCCTTCTTTCTTCCAACATCATAGATCTTAATTTTAGCATCTGGAACACCTCTGTTATATCTTGACTTAGGGAATGGTTTTCCATTACTCACTCTATAGCATCTTGCTGGTCTTCTACCCATTTATTTATTTAAAATATAAAAGATTAAAAAATTTTTGAAAATCAATCAACTACTCAAACACATTTATTTTATTTAATCTGGAACTCTCAAATTTCAAAATAAACTTTTTTTATTCTCAACTTACCCAAGATTCTTTATAATATTCATTAAGAAAATCAAATTTTCTTTAAGATTTTGAATTATTAATTAGTATCCACTCTTATATTCAATAATATTTAAAAAAGAAAAATAATTTTTTGAATTTTGATTTGATGTGAAACATGAGGTATCTAAGACTTTCTTCAAACACTTCAAACCAAAACTTAAACTTAGAATTTAACTTTAAAAAATAAAAGATTTGTAAAGGTTTTTTTTAAAAACAATTACTATATTAAAGAAAAGATTTCTCATATGTTGAATACGAATGAAATAAGAAAGAAATACTAAATTTCAAACAATTTTATTGACCTCAAAGTTAAAATAAATAAACTTTTTTCTAAAGTAAAAATCTTTTAATAGAAAATTATTTTATGGGAATTATTCATAGACTCTTATTTAAATTTAACTATAAAGCTTTTAATTAAACAAGATTCAAGATTTAACAGAAAATTCTGATATAATCTAGAAAATCCTCCACTAAAAGAATTACTGGTAATTTCAAACAAATTTAGAACAAAGGTTAAGAAAAAAATATCAATAGTTATGTTCATTTTCAAAAACATTTATAAACTAAAAGGATTACTGATCAACACACAATTACAAAAATCCTAAAAATAATTTCAAGAAAGTTTATAGAGCAAAAAAATAAAAAACCGAATAAAAAAACTTAATTTCAAATAAATGGTAAATAATACATAAGCAATCTTATTTAACTTTGATTTATAAAATTCTATATTTTTTCTTTATAGAAATAAGCCTCATATATGTGAAACAGACATTTTTTGTAAATGATTTTAAGGAATCTAATCAATTTTAAATTTAAAACAACATAAATGAATTAGAAAAAAAAATAAAATAATAAATCCTAAAATAGACTAAAATGAAAGATTCTAATCACTATTAAATTATGTAATCAATTAATTTTTCTAATTAAAAATGAGCCACATTGAACTCTTTTAAATTAGGCTGTTCAGATGCATCAACTAAATATTCAAGTAAATATTTAAGTTCTACATCATCCACATTATCATTCCATTCTAAAATTGGAATTCCATTTTCTATTTGGAGACCAAAAGAATGGACTAAATTATCAACTATTAAAGTTTTATTTAAATCTAAATCTGCTACAATTCTCAAATCTTTTATAAAAAACCCATTTTTAGTTTCCATACAATTAGTTCTATGTAGGATTCCACTTATATATTATTTTTGGGGATCTAAAAAGTTTATAATTGCTGATGCATATGCCTATGAAGAGGCAGTATATATGTAGACTGTATAAAATTATGATAACTCTTATAGAAAATATTAAGTATAAGGTCTAATATTGATATTAATCTAAAACTAGATATCAAAATTACTTCATTTTAACTGCCATCATCATTTATTTAATTTATTTTAATTTAAGAGTTTTCTTTTTATAGACATGCATGAACAAATGTCTCATCAAGATCTAAAAATATAGTATTCAATCTTTGAGGATTAATTTTGGGAAGTGAAATCTTTTTTTTTTCAATAAATTAATCAGAAGGGCCTTTTAAACATCTTTTTGAATAAATTAAGCCTCTTTATGTTATTCGTAAATGTTTTTGAAATATCTCCTCTTATATAGTAGGATTGAATATTAGATGTCGAAAAGGATGATCTATTAGTTTATCTTATTTAGATTCCCCTATTTTTTAAAAATTTCTCATAGAAATAGGTTTGGATTTGATTTTATTAAGTTTTGGGCTTACTTTAATTTTTTCTTCCATTTTTTTCATTTATTCTTCTATAGTTTTTGCTTAATCATCAATTATATCAGTGTATAGAATTTAATATTATTAAATTTCTTTTTCTATTTATTCTGGCTCTTCATCTTTATCTCCTTCATTTACTGTTATTATTCTTTATGTACTAAATCTTGATAACTTTGTATCTAAAAGTATAGTTTAAATGTTTACTTCTAGTTTTTTTAACATCTACATCTTTATTTGAACTTTTAAATGTTTCTTCAATTTCAGGTGAAAAAGTTGTGGTAGTCATCCCCTATAAAGGTTTTGGTTTAGGTTTTGGAGTAAAATCAGATGATAATGCAGTCTCTCTATCATCTTCACTTTAGAAAGATAATTTTGATCCTGGTGATGATCGAAAATAAGATGATTTAGGACTAGGTTTAAAGTTTAGAGTCTAATCCATTAAAATTATAAATTATTAATTCAATAATTCATAAATATGTAAAATCAGATTTAAAATTCTGGCAAACAAAATAATACTTATATATTACATCATGAAATTAATGTTGCAAAATATTTGATATTTACAAACATATTTTTAATAATTATTTTTATAAAAATATCACAACATTTAGATATATAATATGTGTTATAAATTCTTAATCTAAATAAAGTGCTTTGAAAATTAATGAATTTTAATAAGTGATATTATTCCTTATTAAGCAATTAATATTTATAAATAGGCTAATTAATATTAATTAATTGGGTACATTATTTTATTTTTTATAAAATATAATTTTAATCTAAGAGAAATACTTGATTCTTTATCTGTTTCAAGTGAATACCATAACTTATTATTTTTGGATGTAAATTAAATTAAGCGTATATTTACACAAATTTTTTCTTGATTTCAATAGAAAATATTTTTTTAATGTTACAATAAGAAAAACTTTATATTTAATTGATATGATTTGAATTAGATTGTAAATTTTTATAGTCATTAATAAATTAATTAATTAGTGAAAATTTTTATTGAAGTGATTTTATTCAAAATAGATTAAATAATTAAACCACAAAAATGAAGCAAATTAATTAATTCAAAAAATGTTCTAAAATCCAACTTGTTTGCCCTAAAATATTTTTTCATAAGGTAGAGGTAAATTTTAGTTTTAAATATATTAAGTTCAAAGTGGTTTAAACTTAAATAGAGATTAACGAAGAAAAGCTATTGATCATTATTCATATGCAATAGATTAAGTAATTGGTTAAGGATTTAGCAGTACAGTTTATAAAGGAAGAGACGAAAAAACTTTATAAAATGTAGCTGTCAAAGTAAAAAAAATTAGTTGTTTAGGTAATTGATATGAAGAGGTTAAACAAATCAATATAAACACAATTACTAAAAAATGAAATAAATGCATTGAGATAGTTCAATCATTAGAATATTCTAAAGCTTTTTGATGTGTGTTATTCTTAAAATAATACATATATAATCACAGAATTTTGTGATTCGGTATAATCCTGATTTATGAAGGGAGATCTAGATAAATATTTAAGATAAAATTTTAATATAAAAGAACCAAAAGCTATTAGAATATTATAAGCCATAGTTAATGCAGTGAATGAAATAAATCAAAAAGGTTTTATTCATAGAGATATTAAACCAGCTAATATTCTATTAAGTGGAAACTAACCAAAATTAGCTGATTTTGGATTTGCAGTACCAATTTGGTAAGCAAGAATTTAGTAAAAAAGTATCAATGTTGGCACACCTTTGTATATGTCACCATAAGCATTAGGATAATAGAATTATTCAGAAAAAGGAGATGTTTGGGCTGTAGGAATATTATATTTTGAGATGCTTTTTGGTAAAGCATTTTTTAATTTAATAAGGTAAAACACCTTTTAATGCTAAATCAGAATCAGCTTTATTGACTAATATTTTGAGTTAATAATTAATTATACCCTTAACACCGTCAATTTCTGAATTATCTAAAGATTTTATTAAAAAATGTTTATAAATTGATGATAGCAAGAGAATCAATGTCAAAGCTATGTTTGAACATCGAATTATATAATCAAATCATTTTTGCATTTTCTTAGAATAACATCCACTCTCAGAAATTAAGACTATTACTTTACCTTCTAATAGATCAAATTTTTAAAATAATAAAAGAAGCTAAACATAAAATTCAAAAAGACACACTAAAATATATTCTTCTGCTCTTTAGAAATATTTATATGAATGCAATGAATAAAATTTTAATTAATAAAAAATAATTTAAAGATCATCCAGTTAAAATGAGATATTTTTAACACATAATCAATAAAATAAATCTAAAAATTCCTATCCTGAAAATATAAAACAAATTAAAATGCTCTCAGAATATTAATTAAATAGTGAATTTTTACCTAATAATCAAATACTTTTGTTTTACATAAACTATTGTCGATATTTATATAAGTTTTCATAATATTTAGATAATTCTAAATTTTTTTCAATAGAAACTAGGAATAAGATTATATTTATATTATCAAAATGTATAGTAATAAAAATTTGTCAAATATCCAAGATTTTGGACAAAGAAAATAATAATTATCCTTAGCTTTAGTAAATTTCTAAAAAATGCAAATAAAATGAATCATTTATTAGTATTTGCTCAGTAATTTCTGAGTATTAAATAAAATATTTGAAACATTTTTATAAAAACTTGAGATAAGCTATAAAAAATAGTAAAATAATTTCTTAAAATAAGATTTTTAGTAAGATCCAATAATTGGTTCTTCTTGTAATGAAAGTTTAATTGAAAATTACACCATTTATGATATAGCTTTACACTATTTAAATATTGGTCTTAATCAGTTAAAATTAAATTTTATATAAATAACTGTTGAAAGACTATCCTATAAAACAGAGAATGCAGAAGTAAGAATTATTTAAATTTAGTTTTAATAATTATTATTTATTGATGAGGGATTGAAAAATTGCAAAGAGCTAATCATAATGAATTAGAATTGTTAGTACAATTATTAAAAATCATAGTAGAATATACAAAATGATAAAATTAAAGAATAAAAATTAGGTTTAATTAATTGTAAGAAACAAGAAAATTAAATTTATAATTACTTTTGATTTACAATTTTTTTTATCTAGATATTTAATTTTATTTCCAAAATATAAATGTTTATCTTAAATAATAGTTTATTAAAATATATATTGTATATTTTCATCATTTTTTTTCTACAAGTTCTATTTCACTATCTTCTTCCTTTTCTGTTGGATAACTTTTGATTTAACGAAGAATTGATTTAAACTGCAAGAACTATGATTCAAATAAAAAAAATATTACTTCGTCAAAAGATGAGTAATGATTTTTTTAATCTTAACTTCGAAATAATCTAATCCAATTAAAATATTTATCATTTATGAATTAAAATAAGTATCTAATATATTTAATATAAATACGTGACTACACAACTTAAAGAGGATAGCAAAAGTGATTCAAAATATTCTTTTAAAGTAAGTTTAGATAAAGTAAAAATAAAATTACAGTGTTCTCTAAAAATAGATAATAATAAATATTTACACAACAAAATATTAAACCAAAAATATTAAAAAAATTTAAATAATTAATTTTGCTCTTTCTTTTTTGTTACTTGAAATACTAATATCTGTTTTGCGAATTTTATGAGAAATAAGCAAATTAAATATTTAAAAGTAGACAAAAATATTAAATAAAATGGTATGAGATTTTAAATTAAAATGAAAACAATTTTCGCTATTTTTCATTTGAATGTATTTATAAGTAGTAATTTAAATGGTGAATAAAACCAATAATTAATAGATTATTTACGAAAGAATATTTCTCCACATATTAGAAGTAATTAAATGATATCTTTCGTTTTACTGCCTTTCATATAACCTTCTATTAGCTAGTTCAATATAAAAATTAAGTTACGTATTTCAGTAGCATACATAAAGAAAGCTGTAAAATCAATTAAAAATGTTATCCACAACAATTAGGCTTAGTTAAACTAATGAAAAATGCTAAAGGTTTAAAGAATTGATAGAGATAATAGAAGAGTGATTTTGAATTAGATGTATTTTCTAACTGCATCAAAAATATTTCTACCCCAATAAATTGAATTGATGACAGAAGAAAAGTTATCATCTAATACAGAAACACTAACCATATGATTATATTATTGAATCATTTTAGAATTCTGACAGAATCCAACATCAGCTAGACGATAAAAGGCAGGTTCATTACTATGACTAAAGGTTCCAACAACATAATTTAATTCTTTTAATCCTTAAATCATTGCTAATTTTTGATCGAGACTTGCTCTTACTAAGACTCTTAATTCTGCAGCAATTTGGGCAAAAGAATCCATATCACCAATTTTTGGAATAATTTAACCATCTTATTTCTTGTATGTAATTCCTTTTACTAAATCATTGAAGGCCTTTCCAGTCATTACTTTTTTAGAATCTTTTTAATGTTAATAATTCATTGGTAATATTCCACACTTTTTACTCAATGATATTGAACATTCTAAACTTTCATTTGTTATCATTCTCACTATTACTCCAGCTTCTTTGCATTATTGTATAGATCTTTAAACACCTTATCTTAATTCATCTTCTAAAGCAATTAATGATACAAATATTAATTGTTTCTCTAATTATTTTTCTTATAATAATTTTATATTTAAATTCCCATCTAGAAGTTTATAAGCCAAACATATTGTTCTTAAACTTTCTTCACCAAAATTCTTTATTTAATTTTTAATTTATAATTTATTTTAATCAGTTAATCTTTAAAAATATTCATTATAAATTACTTTTAAATATCTCCTTTATTATTTATAAATTCAGAACAATTTTCTAAAATAATTTCTGGAGCTCCCTTTGTGTATAATATATATTTATTTTATAATTTAATTAGGACACTCATTATTTTTCTATCAGAGTTAAATTAAAAATATTATACAATTTAATTTTAATAATTTTTCCGTATAGATTTATAATCTTATCCTAATTCATGACAATATTCAAGCAAAGCACAATCGATTTCATTTCCAAATTTTTCAAAAACTGTAATATCATTAGATCTATATGTAATTTTAGGATTAGCAGTTGAATTTAAACAAATATTCTCTTATATTAATTAAATAGTTGAATATCTTAATTTTTTAATATTAAATTTAGATAAAAGTTATTCTTCAGCATATATTTTGATTAATCTAATATTTCCATAAGTTAAAATAGATGTTTTACTAGTACAAATATTATTAATTCTGCCAAGTATTTCACAAGAACTTGGTCTTTGAAATTTGATACGATCTCTTTTCATTCTCTTTTAATTAATTTAAAGATAAGTAGATATAAATTTGGATAAATTGTCATTCATCACCATTAAAAATAGTAGGATAGATATTTAGATTTATTTAATGATTGAATAAATAGAATCAATAAATTAGAATTAGTATTCTTATATTGCTAAATGATAACAATAATTGAAAAATTGAATGATCAACGGAACAATTGATAAAACAAAGAATAGTTTAATCAATTATTATTATAGATGATTTAATCTCTCTTGTAAAGGTGTAATGTATTCATGTTATATATTTAATTCACTTTTTCTCATATGATAAGTATTAATTCCAACAGCTAATACTAATAATTATCCATTGCCTTGTAAAACTTTAGAACCTGATCTTATAAATGGCAATTTATTAGTATTTGTATCAAAAAGTAAAGTTTCATTTGATGTATTAGATATAAGGACACCATCAACTTCAATTAATTGATCATCTTTAAAGATTAGAATATCTCCAACTACTATTTGATCGGATGATATATTAATCACTTTATTATTTCTCTTTAATTTAACTGTATGATTTGATATTTATCTTAAAGATTATAGTATTTCTTAATTGTCAGTTTTAAAAATTCTCATAAGTAATTGGAATAACGATAGAACAAGAATAAAGATTGACTCCATTCTTTCCTATAATATTTAGTTAATATACATTATCAGAATTAGTAATAAAAATGGATGATGCTAATTTAATGAGAGTGATTGCAAAAAAGATTTAATGCCACTTATTCTTAATAATTTGAATGACTAACTATTAAATTTAGACAATATTTAACTTAATATCGAATAGTTTGTGAATAATAAATTTAATGTACACCAAACCTAAGATAATTCAAAATCTTTACTGCTTCTATCGTTTTTGAATATCTAAATGATTAAAAGAGTCAAGTCCAATCTTGTAAGTAATTTAATATAAAGAATACCTGTAAATCTATATCTAACAATTTGGATAGAGAAAGTGCTGTATGTGAAGTGTTTTAAGAACTGATAATCTAGAATAAATCATTAGGAGTGATTGTAAAGTTTTGTAATAATGGTTATTTATCCATTTATTATTTTTAATGTACTTTTAATAAATTATTAATCACTTCTTCTTTCTTTCAACTCCAAGTGTTTATCCTCCTCTACCAGTGGTTTTAGTATGTTATCCTCTAACTCTTAATCCCCAATGATGTCTTAAACCACGATTACACCTATAATTAACTAATTAATTAAAATACTTGATTTTCTTCATTCTTTCTAAATCTTCTCTTAATTTGGTTTCTAATTCATTTGTTGTCACTTAATAGTTTTTGCCATCTTTGAAATCTCTTTATCTATTTAAAAACCATCTTGGAATATTATAAGCTTCTGGAGATTTTATTACTTCTGTTATTTTATGAGCTTCATCATCAGTCAATTCACCAGCTCTCTTTGAAAGATCAAGACGGAGTACCTATAATATTTTGTTGTTAACATTAAATACCTTGCAAATTTAGATTGCGAATCTTCTTCCAATACCCTTAATACTTCTAATACCATAAGCAAGTCTTTATTTTCCATCAACATTTGTATTCAATATACGAATAATGTGTCTAAATGAATCAGCCTTTTCTAACACCAAAGACATTTATTTGTATAAAAGATTTAATTTAATTTAAAATTTTTATGACTCCTCGATTCACCAAATAATACATCAAGCATCCTCTCTTTATCTACTATCTTTTTTTATTCCTTTTCAATCCTTTATACATCTCATTTATTATATTCTCTTTCTTTCTTATATACTAATTAAACAAAATAAATTTTATTTAAAAAATCATTCCTTTATCTATTCTTGAGACTTCATTTTCATTTTATAAATATACTCTAATTTATTCTTACAAATTTAACTATTCAACTCTAAAAAAGAAATTCTTTTTTTTTTAATCTTTTCTTTTAAAATATTCAAGAAAATGTCTCTATCAATTCATTAATTATAATATGTTACATTTTATATAGCGATTAATTTTTAGAATGCATTTTTGAATATAATATTCATTTTCCTCCAAACTTTACTTTCTATAATAGAAAATCACATAAAGCTATTGGCATTCTATTTTTTAATTCTTCCAAAGAAACCCATCTTTCAATACCTTCTTCATGTATATATATCCAAAATTCTATTCTTCCATCATTCTTTCTTAAAGATTTTACATAACCCTTTTCAGAACTTCTCTCTTTATGAGGAAGTACTTTTGGTTTTTCAATTTCCATTCTCTACTTTTATTGTTCTTCTATTATCTTATTTCTTTTTTAATTTATCTTTTCATTTGACTTCATATTTTTTTTTTAATGTTCTTACAATTCCCATTAACTTACAATTATAAGCATTTCTGGTGTGAGTTCAACCATTGGTTCATAAGTTATCGAACCTGTATTCCACTTTATTTTATATTCAATACGCTCATCTACTTTTTTTTTTAAAACTGAAACAGGATGTTTAGTATGCATATATTAATTAATAACAGATATATCGATTATATATAAATTATATATAACAGACAAAAATAATCACAAATGCACAAAGATCTAAATTATGCCATCGAAATTATGGAAATAGAGAAATTAAAATTGCATGAACAAATTGATTATTTATAGTAATAAATCTAACAACTTACTAATGAATATAGTGATAAAATATTAGAAAAAGATGAGGAATTAGTTACAGCCTTTATTAAAATGTAATAAGCAGAAAAAATAAATAATGATCTAGTTTTAAAATTGCATTCAACCAAAAAAAGTGAGGAATAGCTTAATAATGCAAATTATAATTTTATCACTTTACAAAAAAAATTAGATCACTAAATTTAAGAAAATTAAAAACTAGAATAAAAAGTTAAATTATTAACTGAATAAAGTATGCAATTCCAATAAAAATGGTAAAGAGTTTCTATGTAATTAAAATAATCCACAACTCAAAAAGTTAGTGCTAGAACAATAGAATAATAATTAAGTCTAAAATAAGAAGAATGTTAGTAACTTAAAGAAAAGCTAGTACAATATTAATTAGAATTAACTATATTCAAACAAAGTGATTAAGAATATAAATAATCTGTTCATTAAAAAATGCAAGCACTCTATTAAGAATTAAAAGATACATAATAGAAATTACAATAAAATTTATATCTTTCTTAGTAACAAAAATAAGATTGTTAGTAGTGTGAATATTTAAGAAATGAAACTGAATAATTGAAGTAAATAATTAATCAAGATCATATTTCACAAGAATAAAATAGAATAAATATTCAAATTGTATTATATTTGATTTTATCCATAGAATTAACAATAATAATAGTAATTAAAAGAATACTAAAAAAGACTAATGGAATTAGAGTATGAAAATTAAAACTTAAAATAGTAGATTTAATTACCAGAATCCATCAACTTTAAAAGCAGAGATTGCCTTAACATTAAATCTATCACCAATCATCCTTTGTACATCAAAATGATGAAATTAATTGAGCAATTGACTAATTAGACTCAATAAGAATTATTTAGAAAGTCTTTAAATGAATTAGGATCGGAAATAGAATAAAGAGAAAATAAAGAATAATAATTATAAGAATGTAGAACAATGTATGATAGATTATTAATTAAATACTATGCATTATAAAAGAGTATCAATAAAATTGAAGAAAATACCAATAAAAATTACTATGCAACTTAATAAATTACATCATCAAAACAATAAACTTAATAGAAGAAGACTAATTAGTTGGATTCCTTTTTATAAGAATAGGAAACGACTAAATAAATGAAACAATCAATATTCTCCAACACACCCAAACAGAGAGTAAACAACAAACTTAATTTAAGTTTAGATAGTTGTTAATTTAAAAAATGACATTTATTTTAAAATAAAATATATAGATTTTTTCCAATATATTTAACGAATAATTATATTTAATTTTTTTAAAATGTAGTATTGTTAAATACACAATCCTCAATTTTATTAAACTGAATAGCAATAAAGAGCATAATAATAAATGTAACCTTAACACATTTTTCTTATAAATAAATATAAAAACAAGAAAAAAGCTTACAAAGGTATAATAATGCGTAATTGTAGAGTCTTTGAATGATTTAAGAAATTAGATGAAATTTATTTTAGATAAATAATTATATCAAGAACAAGAATTAACTTAGTTAAAAACCTAATATCATTTAGAAAAAGAATAATGGCAATAAGAAAAGAAGATCTTGAATTCTTTGTTTCCATAAAAAGATTTAAATTTCAATGGGTTATAAAAGGAAAAGAAATCTTATAAAGAAAAGAAAAAAGAACTTGAATAATAATTGTAAAAATAATAATAGTAATGTTAATTTTAAGAAGGGAAGTTTCAGGAAATTTTATTAGAAAACTCAAAATTAAAAGCAATAATAAATGGAAGAGATTAAGAATGTTTAGCTTTATAATAAGAAGTTGAATACTATTAGAAAAGATTAATTTAATTATAAAGATAGTGATGCTAAAATATTTAATTATGTATAACATCATTTTTTTTGTTTGTTTTAGAAAAATCGTTATAATTTTTCTTCGATTTCTTTGTCTAACATTAAATTATTTTTTATTTAAGTAATTTCTACCATTTATGTTTATGGTTATTAATCATCCTCTATTTCTGTTTCTAATCTTATATCGTCAATTAATTAAACATTATCAGTAAATATAATGATATCATCCTATTATTCTCTTCTAATCCATGGAGCTTCTGGTTTGTTTTCAACAGATAAAGGCTAAAATAAGTATAAAATGATATATGTACTCCAATGCCTTAAATTAATTGTTTATCAAATATAATTGATAATGAAGGAGGAGATAATTTAGGTAAACTAAAAGACAATCTAATTTTTAATCCATCAACAAAGAAAATAGGAACTTAAAAACAAATAATATTTTCTTTAGGTTCATCATATAAACAAATTACTCTTTAATAATCTATAGGATTTTAATCTTTCATTAAGATTTATTCAATATGCATTAAGAGAATTTATAAGCCCTCTTATTTTGCTTCATTTATATTTTCTATTAATTATTTACATTTCTCTTTAGCTTTTTTAAACTATTTCAAAATAACTAAGCAAATTAATTCATTAAATTTGATCTCTAAAATTTCTAATAGATCTGCATCTTCTTCATCTTCAGTAAGTTCAATGTATTCTTCATCATTGAATAAATCTGTTTAACTTCCTCTTTATTTTAATCTTTTTTCAGTTATAGAAAGTTCTTTTTAACTCTTTGCCATTTAAAAATCTTTCAAAGCTTCTTCATATTTCTCTAAATGAAATAAAAATACCCCTCGAAAAATATAAACATGGAATTACTAAAAAAGTTTTCCTTTTCCTCTACATAGTTATGATAAACTATTAATAGCTTTATTTAAATTGTTAATAAATTCATGTTGTTCATTTTCACTTTCTTCATTAAAATATATTTATTAATCATCTTTAAATACTAATCTTAATGCTTATAATATATCTTTATCAAATTCTGCAGTTTTCTCTTTAGTTAATTTATATATCCGATTAACATCTTCTTAACATAAACGCAAATCACTTAATACCATATAACACTCTGATCTTAATTATAACAATTTTGGATTATTTTTGAAATCTTTATTGTTAGAATATGCTTTGATTGCATCTTCTATTGCAGCATTTGCAAATAAGAAATTGCCAGCCCAAACATGTATTCTTGGATCATCTTATAATATATGAATACATTATTATAAATCTTGAAAAGCAGAATTTGAATCTCCACTCAAAAAATGACACTTAGCTCTATTTAAATAAGCATCAGCAAAAGTTTCATCCAAAGTTAAACATATACTAAAATCATTTAGAGAATGCTAATATTATTTTAGTATACCATAAACTATTCCTCTAAAATAAAAATATTTAGCAATATTATCTTCCGATTTTTGAATTGCACATTCTATGTCTTCTAAAGCTTCATTAATTTATCCCAAAAAACATTTTACAATTGATCTAATATAATATAAATTTGCATTCTAATCATTCTAATTTTAAGCTTTATCTAATAATTCTAATCCCTTTATAATATCTTTATATTAATCATTCTTTTTTTTAAATGCTTGATTTATTAATGTTACTCCTTAATAAAAAGTAGGTTCCATTTTTTTTTAGAAAATCTTTTATGCTCTTTAAAAGAATTCCATACCAGCATTATATTAACCTGCCTATATTTTTAATATTCCTTCACATAAAAATTTATTGTAATGAATACTAGATTCAGCATGCTGAATATCTAATAATAATTTATAATCTTCTAAAGCTTTTTAATGTTTAGACAAACAAAAATGACCGTAAGCTCTATAAGCATAGAACAAAGGTTTTAAAAAATCATTTAATTAATGATTATTTTATATCTCTTAAAAATTATTTAAACTCTCTTGAAATTTTCTTTTCATCAAATGTATAACAGCCTATAATTATTAATTTTTAATTAATTTACCTCAGTAAATAATCGAAATTTTTCTAAGTAACTTTTTTCTGTGTCTAAAAGTGCTGATCTATTTAAAGTATGAAATGCAGCATAAAAATCTCTTTATTCAATCTTCATCTTTGCAATCTCATAAAGAGATTTAGTTACTGCTTTTTTAGAATTATTATGTTTTATAGCTTACTCAAAACATAATAAAGCTTCAGTAGTATTCTCTATAATTTATAATTTAAGTACTTATTTTCAATCTACTAAGTCCTTTGAAATAGTAAGCTTCAGAGTTTACAGGGTCAGTTTCTAAAAGTTTGTTTATATCTTTGGCACATTCATCATATTATTAACTTTCATAAAGAGTAATTGCTTTTTTGAGTAAAGCAGCATTACCAACAGCTTATTCACAATTTATGGCTTTTTAATAGAATTATATAGCTTCCTTATATTAGTTTTAAATCCTCAAACAATCAGCTTTTCCCAAATATCCTAATCCTTTTTGAGGACTTAATTAAATTGCCATATTAAAATCAAGTTCTGCTTTTTCAATTTGATTCAGCTTTGTAAATAATTTACCTCTGTAAATAAAAGCATCATAATATCTAGGAAACAATTATATGACTTTATTTAAAATAGAAATAGCTGAGTCCAATTCATTTATTTTTTTATGAGATATCGCTAATAATAAATAAATATTCTTTCTATGTGTAGCATCTTATTAAATTACATATTGAAATTCTGTTATAGCTTTTTAATAGAGTTATTTCCCAAGATAACCAATACCTAAAAAATAATGACCTTCCAATAATCTGATATCAGATTCTATACATTTTTTTAATTATCTAATTTAATTAAAGTAGAATACTCTATAGCTTCTTCAATTTGCTTTTCTCTTAATAATTGTTTGCCTTTTTCTAAGAATTTGATAGCTCTAGGATTATAATCATCTAAAGGTTTAGTTGTATCGCTTTAAAATCCACTATGATCCTAAAAACCTTTTATAAGATTGTTCTCAAAGCTCATGTCAACAGTTTATTATCCCTCCATACTGTTATTTATTTTTGATTACTTTTTTTACATAGTTTAAGAGTGCTTTTATTTATTGGGAAGGTACCAATTCTGTATTTAATTATTGATTGAATTTTGTCTTGTTTATTTCTTCCTATCATGATAATAAATGTCTACATATCTTTAGAAAAACTGTCATTTCGCTTTGTATTATTAAACAAAATATTAAAGAGTTAATTTTGAGCTTTCTTCTCTTGACTAAAATTAGAATTCTGCCTCTTTTTATGATGCTGTTCCAAACTTTCCCCACTTGATATATTAAATGAATTTTATCTAGGTGGATAAGCTTAAGATTATTTTTTATAATGTGGAGTTGGATTTTCAGACACAAAGTGTTCAACATGTGACTTTGTAGGGGAAAAAGGTTATTTTGGAAAGAATGATCCTGCTTGGTTCTTCACTGATTATGGAGGCTTGTTTGACCTATATTACATAAATTTTGAATTTTTAATATATTCCCATAAGTATATTATTAATTTATTAACTGATAATGATATTTAGTGGCTCACTAAGAACTACAACTCCAGAATAAAAGTCTTAAATACGTACAAAAAAACACTTCGATTTCAAGCATGATTTAGATGATTAATTATTATCACTTAAATATTTGAACAATCAGAACATCATTTAATGCATTAAAACAAAAAAACATATATAACCAAATATTAACGATCAAAATGTTAATATAAGTAGATTGAGGAGATCAATGTCACCTTTATAAAATAGTTAATTAGATAAAAATTTAGTACCCAAAGTTGATGCTCCTCCTAAAACACCTTAAAAATCAAGACTTTTTGCTAATTTATTTAATAATTCTTGTTCCTTTGAAAATATTTGTTTAACATAGTGTCATAATTGTAAATCTAATAACAAAGAAAATATACGTATTTAAACAACTCCAATCAAAATGGCATAATCTGTTTTTAAAATAGAACCTCAAACCTGTTTAACTAGTAGAGGAAACTATTTTAAAAAATGAGAAATTTATATATATATACTATTTAGATATGTTATACTAATCACTTTAAATCTTATTTTAAAGGAAGAATTTTATTTCAATAAATTATAAATTTTTGGATAATATTATGTTCGAATTAGATTTAAGTTAATTTTTTATTAAGTTAGAATCTTTACAGAAAATTAAGGAGTTTTTAATAAATTTATTATTTTTATTGAAATATATACTTATTTATATATGATAACATAAATAACATAATAATTGATAAGACATTAAAATAAATTTAACTATCAATTAAACTTTATTACTTAATTTTTTATCAATTTGTTGAAATACTCTTAATTACAGGATAAATGACGTTCCACAGATTTATTATTTTAAGCAATAGATAATCTATTGATACTTGGTTGATTTCTTTTGAATTTGATTAATTTTTTAAAATCGGCATTTTTTTGTAAGATAGTAGTCATCCTGGAACTTTTTGAAACTCTATTAAGTAAAGTTAATAGCATTGTCAATGTTTCTTCTTCACTTAATAATTCAGGATCAAATGTTTTATTTTTTAAAGACTAAGAATCTGATTAAAATGTTTCATTCTTTGGAGAAAATAAAGTAAATGTGGCTCTAGTTTTATTAATTTCAGATTCAAGATTTTATATTTTAGATTTTAATTCAGTAATAGATTGTGAGTCTTTTTAATGACATAATATATTGAATTTTTATTTGTACTGATTTTCAAGTGACAAATTTTCTATAATCTATTATTATTGAATATTAATAGTATGTAATTATTAAATGGTTTAAGCATTCATTGATAATTAGAGATTCTTTTCCTAAATTTCATTAGTTAAAAGATTAGTTTATTTATTTAATAATGCAATTTAGTTAATTTAAGATTCAATTTCTTTTCTTTAATGATCAACTTGTAATTATAGTTAAGAAATTTAATGAAGTAGATTCTTTTATTAAGTATTTTTATTAATCTTATCTTTATCAAAGATATCCTGAGGATCAAATGCATTGAAAGCATTTAAGTATAAATTTGCTCTAGGTTAGAGAGCAGTTTATTCTTATGGTTGAGTCTTTTTCAAGATTTTAATGACTTAATCCTTAGTAATGGAACTCTCTTTTTTTGGGTATCGTGCTGATTATTATGATAGCGAAGATACTGTAAGATCTGGGACTGGAATACAATCTATAGCTTTGATTAAATCACGATTCGACTATTGAGAGTATAAGCGATTGTTACTGTTATATATTCATCCATTGTTAAATTATTTTAAATTTAATATGCTTAACGAAAAAGTCATAGGAGAATATGTTTATTTAGTATCTGAAGAATAGAAAGTTGGTGTTGGTTAATTCAGTCATGTTTATAAAGGATATCATGAAAAGACTAAAATGCCAGTAGCAATCAAACAGATTGACAAAAAACAAACTAAAGGCATTTTTGAATAGATGCTTAGAAATGAAATTAATATCCTTAAACAATTGAATCATTCATATATTCTAAAGATGTATGCTTACTATGAAACAGCTAATAATTATTATATAATAACAGAATTTTGTGAGACAGGTAAACAACATTTATATATATATATACAATAGATATACTATAAATATTAAAATAAAAAGGATCTTTACCTGAAAACATAGTAATTAATTATGTATTATAAATTGGTGAAGCATTGAAGTATTTAAATTCAAAAAGTAATCTTTCATTTTTATTTAAGAAATTGTTCATAGAGATATTAAACCATCAAATATCTTAATTCATGAAGGCGAAGTGAGATTAGCAGATTTTGGCTTTGCAGTTCATTAAGATAAAGTTGGAATTGAAGATAAATAGTTTTAGATTGGATCTCCATTATATATGTCACCAGAAACATTATTAAAAAATGAATACAATTATAAAACTGACTTATGGTCTTTAGGAGTCTTATTTTTTGAAATGATTTTTGGTATCTACTTATATTTATTATAAAGGTGTCGTTCCTTTTTTCTCAATGGAGATGGATGATTTAATTAGAAAATTATAACAATATCAAAAGGATTATACATTAATGTTTAAACATCCAATTTCAGAAGCTAGTACTAATGCTATCAGAAATCTATTAGCTTATAATCCAACTCATAGATGTGAAATTAAACAATTAGAAATAATACTCAATAATAATTCCAAAAATAGATAATCTGATGATGTTAATATTAATTCTTAGCCACGTAACATTACTCCTGATAAAAAAAGAAAAGCTAGTCCTGATTAAAGTCCTTAAAATAGAAGCAGAGTATAACCTGTAAAAAAAGAATTAGTCAGAGTTAGTGGTAATGCTTAAAGTTTAGAAAACAAACCTACATATTTTATGAAAAGTAGACATAATAAAGAAGATGAAAAATAAAATTCAAAAAGAGATGAAAGTCTAGGAACTGATAGAAAGGATAATGGAGCTTATGATATCTCAATAATGAGGAATCATGATTAAAATCCTAAGAATAATGAAATTACAGAGTTAAATATGAATAATGAAGATTTTTTAACATATCTAATTTAAAAATTAGAATAGGCAAAAAGATAAGACTAAAATTAAAATAAACAAATTAACGAGTGTCAATTATTGTTAGTATGAATTTTTTACATATAAGTATCAATATTATGGGAAAGATCAAGATGTACTCTAAGCTTTGAAAAATAAAGAACTAAATAGTTGAATATATATAAGTTGATCATCAAAAGATGAATGCTATATTTAAAAAATCAAAATAAAATTTATGTTTATTCTAAAAAAAGCAAATAATTCAACATATTTATTTGATTTCTTAATTATGTACATATGGGTTAGGATTAGGATAGAAACAAAATTATTTTTCTTAAAAATACATTATATTATAAATTCTATAATAACTTTAGCCATATTTAAAATAAATTTAATGTATTCATTCTACTAATGATAACTCAAAAAGAATTTATGAAAGCAAAGGTGTAACAGTCTCATCTGATGCGGCCACCAAAAATAATTCCCTCTAATAAAATTAAAAGATTTACTTTTCAAAAATAAGCAAATATTATTTGGCTGCTGGAGCTTATGATAAATTATTGAGAGTAATAGCTGCTAATTTGACATGTTTTTCATTGATTTTATCCTGATTATTTCTTGAATCTTATTATTTTTGAGAATTGTTCTTAATTTATCCAATACTTAAAATAGCTACAAGCCTCTATAATATTTTAGGGTGTTTAGCTATAGAGAGCCTGGTTGCCATTTTTAAATCACTTAAATAACAGAAAAATTCCAAAACAATTTCTCTTAATTCTTAATTTTGATATATTAGTAATCTTGCCAATTAATCAATATACTCTCCTATAGTTCCTTCAATTAGGGCTTCATTATCAGATATGGAAATTAAATTTCTTAAGGTTTCTGTTACCAAACCAATATCTTCATATGATTCACCATTCAGAATTTCTATCAACTTTTACATAAAGGGATCCATATAGACTGATTATTTTAAATGTATATGTTTTGACAATACTGAAAATATTTCTAATACTGATTTTGATAATTCTTGATCAGCTCCAGATAAAAGTATTTAATAAAAAAAGGAAACCAACTTATCTTATTTCATGAAACAAGTTTCGTTAGATCTAATCATAGCTAAATTCCTCAAAGCTACAAACAAAGTTCTCAATTTTTCCAAATGTTTACATTCTGCTTTTTTCTCATAATTTCCTTAAATTAAGTCTTTATATTTTTTCTGATATATTAATTCACTTGGTCTAACAATTTCAGCAGTTTGATCATTCATAATAACTGATATATGTGAATTATAATTTTCTAATACATTCTGATTTTTAATCAAATCAGTTTAAACTTGCATAGATTTTCTTTATTATTATCCTAAATTTTCCAATTATTATTATCCAATTGTTTAAAGACAAGTTTTAAAAGAATAAGATTTATTTAGGTAACTAATTTATTTAATTGTGTCTTCTATATATGAAGTAATAGTATCAAGTAATTATGGATACTAATCCAAGAGAAAGCTTTACTAAATAAATAATGATATATATTAATACTGAATAATTGCATGAATACATTAATAAATTGTTAATGGCAAAAGTAAGTTCATCATCAATTCTACTTTCAAAAGCAAGCATAATTCTTTTTACTTCACTTGCTTAAGCTTAGATTTTTGATTTCTTTATAAAAAATATAGTTTCTGCTTTATCTGCTTTTGAATAATTTTAATTTAAAAGTGTGATAAGAGGTTATCCAATATATTCTTATTAATGTTGTCTATCTTCTGCTTCTACACTTTACATAGATAATATTCATACGCATAACTTGCTTATTGATTTTCCTCTTCAAAGCCAATTTTAGTTTTTTTTCTATTGGAACTCATTTCTTCATCATAGATATAACCATCTTCTTTTCCAAAGAAATATTTTTATTCATATGCTAATAGTAATTTTTAATAATGATTTCTTAAAGTAAATGAGGCTGAGGTACAGGTAGCTGGAAAAGAGAATTGATCTACTATTTCCTTTGCTGATCAAAATTAAATTTTACTTTCCATAATTTATTGGCTGATACTACTTTTAAACCTCCTCTTTTTGTTACTGCTTTGTATAGTTTAAAAACCTCTAATTCTCGACCACCAATTTGAGGTATTTTTATAGTTACACCTCTTTATTCCCAAAATTTTTGTAATTATTAGATGAAAGCTTTCTCTTCTTCCCTCTCGTCCATTTTTATTATATTTTATATTATAATAATATATATAATAAATAATATATTGTAATCTTCTTCTGAGCTTTATACATCTATTTTATAGCTGATCATTTCAAAATCTAGTGATACAAAATCATCATCATTAAGAAATGTAAACAATTATAATAAATAAATACATATTAATTTTAACCGAAAAATAAATAAAAAACATTTAACTACTTAATATGAAAAGAATACAATAACCAAGTCAAATCTCTTTAATTAATAGATAGTTCTCTGTTTAAAAGGATATTGGAAATTTTTAAATGTAATCACCGGATAAAGAAATATATTGTCCTAAAACATTATCATAAGCTAAAATATAAACACATGGGCCCTCTCCATATATTCAATCACCATTATTTGAAGGCAAATGTTTAGTCTAAAATAATATTATAATTTAACCATCTCCTCCATAAAAATTAGATAATTCCTTTCAATACAAACTTAACACAAAAACCTTAAATCAAAATTATGAAGTACTAAAACCATATAATCAATAAGACTTTGTAAAATCTTCAAATGATACAAAGCCAAATTATGAAACATATAAATACGAATATCATAAAACATATGCTGGAAATTTTTAAAGTGATTTTAATAAAGATACTACAACTGAAAGAAAAAGTAACACCTCAAAGAAAGATGGAAGTATCCTAGAAAGCAAAGAAAATTATGGTTTGACTAGTAAATCTACTACAGATTAACACAATACTGTAATTAATAGTAGATTATCATCTTAAAATTATGGGATAATATAATAAATATAATAAAAACCAAAAATATCAACAGAAATATCACGAGTTTCTGGATAATTGAAAGATTTCATTTCAAGTGTCTAACGATTTATTAGTGAAGGAAAACGACCTGATAATTTTAATGATAGAATAGTTGAAATATTAGCTTCTTTTAGAAAACTTGAAGAAATATGTAATATTGACAATTCTGAAAATGATTAAAAATCCTAAAATATGGCAGAAGATTATAATAAACTCAAGGCAATACTTGAATAGTTATAAATAAAAATGACAGCTTTGGTTTAAGAAAATTAAAAAGTATTTAAAAAATATTAATCTGATAGTTAAATAAATGTTTAATTGAATAAGAATAAAAAGTAACAGAAGAATAAAGGATTAGATAACAGGCTGAAGATAAAGCTAATTAAGCTAATAAGGAATTCAATAGAGTATTTGAATGCTTATAAATAAACTAAAAAGAAAATGAAGAAATGAAGATGAAATTATAGTAAATGGATTCTTTCAATAGTATCAAAATAAATTAAAATAAAATAATTAATGAAGATTTTTAAGATTATAAATAGAAGAATTAAAAATTACAAAAGGATTATGACTAATTAGAAAGTAAATATAAACAATTACTTTCTGAAAAAGGTAATCAAAAAGATATATCTAAATCACCTTTAATGATGAAGTCTATTCATTCAAGCACTTCAAAATAATAAGAGTAATTAGAACTTAAATTATTATAATTACAAATTGAAAATGATAATTTAAAAGCAGAAATGGCTCATAATTAAGTTGATTCTAAGGCGATAGATAGCAAAAATGAAATGATTTAAAGATTAGATGAAAAAATTAAATAGATTTTGAAGGAAAAAAAAATTTCAGAAGAATAATCAGTTGAAATTTGTCACAATTTAGAAATTTTAAATGATTAGTTAAAAAGTGCTTTATAAATAAAAGAAACTGAAATTTCTAATCTTTTAAAATAGAGAAATGAGATTGAAAAAGAATTGGGAGGTTAGATCAATAATTATACATAATAGTTAAAAGGATTGGAGGAAAAGTTATAAAAATCTAAATAAGATTATCAAAAATTGTTAGATGAATTTAAATCTATGGATTTAAAGAAGAATAAAATGTAAGAGGAATTTAAAATAAATGAAAAGAAGCTTGAATAATTAAATCAAGAATTATCATTCTAAAAATAAGAGTTTAAAAAAACTATTGATAAAAATTAAACCTTATTAATAAAAAATGATTAAATGAATCAACAATTCTTATAGTAAAATGCAGTATAATAATAATTGAATCAGCAAATAGAAGGGTTAAAATAAACTGAAAATGCTTTGAGGTTAGAATGTGAAAGATTACATAAAATGAATTAAGCAACTTAATAAGAAATGAAATATTAAGTAACAGAATTAAATGAAATGATTTAATTATAAGGAAGAAGAACTTAAGAAAAAGAAAGATAATTAAATGAATTAATTGAAGAGTTAAGTGAAGCGAAAGATTAATATGAAATATAGAAGAAAGTTTGTTAAGAAAATATAAATGATTTAGAAAGAAGATTAAAGAATACAAAATTATAAAATGAAGAACTATTACAAATAAAAGAATAAGAAATTCTAGACTTTAAATAAACTATGGATTAGTAATTAAAAATGCTTGATAAAAGAAATGCTTTATCATCTTATGATTTTGAATAAAGAGAGTAATAACTTTAAGTTGAAATTCAAAGTAAAACTGATTAAATAGAGACTTTGAAATTAGAAGTCGAAAAAATTAGAAGTTAAAGTTTTAACACATAAGAAGAACTCTTAAGAATTGGAATGTAATAAAACTAAAATTAAGCTATCATTATAAATTTAAGAAATGAATTAAATTAATCAAAATAGGAATAATAACATCTCAATGAAATGTTAAAGAAAAGAAAGGAAGAGGCAGAGTAATTACATATGAATTTAGAAGAAATGAGAAAAGAATAATAAAGCAAAAAGATACAAGAGGAAAGTAGAAGTAATTAAAATTTTAATCTATTTAGGATCTATATTGAGATAGTAAGATCTTTAAATTACACTTGAGAATCTTCAGAGAGATAATTTAAGTCTTTAATAAAAAGTTAATGGTTTGACTAATGAAAATAATAGGAAATAAAGAGAATTAAATGATAAAAATGATGAATTCTAAAATTTAAAGAGAAAATATGATGAAAATGTTTAAAATTTGGAAAGATTGGAAAAGAGATGGGGTGAAAAGATAGATTAACATAGAAGAATCTGAAGTATATACTTATTTATTATATATCAAATTTCTAATTTTTCAAATAATTCCTAATTATATATTTAATTCCAGGATGAGGGAAAGGATTAATTTTACAAATATGATTAAATAATTTTTAATTGTTATTTTAATTTATTTGTATTATTTGTTTTAATTCCAAATTATTCAGAAAGTTTCTTAAGGATTGTTATATCATTGAGATCATCAAAACTTTCTTAAATATCTGTTTTATAACTAAAATATTCAAAAAGTTCTCTTTTCGTTTTTATTTAATGTTCTTACTTCTCTGGTATATATTATTAGTAGTCATTTAATTGATAAAAAATTTGTTAGTTAGTATTTGACTCTTCTTGGATAGGTTCAATGGGCATTTTAAAAACCATATGGGGTACTTCAGGTTAATCACTATATTAGTAAAATGTATTGAACTTAATTGATAATTCTCTTAATTTATCTTCAACTAATTATTTTTTCATTTCAAAATCTGCAATCTACTTAGAAAGTTGAGTGTGTTCATTTCTCAATTATTGTGCAAGTTCTTAAGAATCCTTAACAGTAAGTATGAAATTCTCTCCTTGTTTTTTGTATTTAAATAATTTTGAAGACATTATTAAAAAATAAATGCTTTAAGCTAATATCAAATTATAAGAACTTACATTAGAAAAAGATGATGATTAATTATTTAAAGATTTAAATTAAGTTAATTCATAAAATTTAGAAGATGATGTTGATCATTCAGATGATACTAATGATGACTTTTTGGATTGTTTTAGATGTAATTAACTATGATATATTTGATAGATTCTGTAATCATTTCACCTTTTTCATAATAATTAAAACCTTATTTTCTGTAGCCACAATTTAATTAAGATTACTAAATAAATCCTTTATGCATAAAACATGATCCTAGAACAACTTTAATGTTAAAGAATATTCCTCTTGAATATAGCCTAAAGGATTTGATTATTGAAGTTGATGCTTTTGTTAAAGGAAAGTATAACTATTTATATATGCCATATGATTAGATTGTAAAATTTATTATTCTAATTAAGAAAAATTGTAATATCGGGTATGCCTTCATAAACTTAATAAATGTGAATGATGTTGAATATTTCTATTAAAAGTTTGAAACCAAAAAATGGAATCTACACCCAAATAAAAAATGTGCTCTTCGTTATGCTAAGAATTAATTAAATTATTATTGATGATAAGCTATTAAATATTAATTTTTCACATTAATTTCTTTAAAAAGGAATAGCCATGTAAATATCTTTTATAACTTATAAAATTGACATTTATTTTAGCATTTTTTCTATTAGCTAATGATTATATCAAATATATAATATTAATTATATATTTAATTAATTAACTACTAAAATGGAAAAGGAGTAAACATTTGTATTAATAAAACCTGATGGAGTTTAGAGAAGAATCATAGGAAGAATAATATAAAGATTTGAAGATAAAGGATTTTCTATGGTTGCTATGAAAATGTTAATACCAAATTAAGAATTGTTACAGAAACATTATGAAGAATTGATGTTTAAGCCTTTCTTTCCTTGTTTAATTTGTTATATGTTATCAGGACCAGTTATTGCTATGATATGGTAAGGAAAAGATGGTAATATGAAATTTAAATAATTAGTTGTTAGATAAATTCGTTCTATGCTTGGAGAAGGTAGAAATCCTATAGAATAGAAACCAGGAACAGTAAGAGGGGATTATGCACTTGAATTATAAAGAAATTTAATACATGGTAGTGATTCTTGTGAATCAGCTTAAAAAGAAATTAATTTATGGTTCAATATTAAGGAAATTGTTGATTGGAAACCTTCCGATTTAAATTGGGTATGTGAATGATTACTTTAAAACACTTTCATTTTTAATAATTATAATAAATGCAAAAATCTTAACTTATTAGAGTTTTAAGTGATTCAAACAAATCGCCACATCCTTTTTCTATGTCAAGACAATTTAGTTCAGAAACAACAAACAATTAAGAAAGCAGTTAGTGTTTAACAACAGATAGAGAAATTACTCGTTTGACTAAATTAGTTAGTTTATTAAATAAAGAAAATGAATCTTTGTAAATAAAAATTAAGTAAATGGAATAAATGGATTACAAAACTAAAATCTAATCTCTAGAATTAAAAAATAAATAGTTAGAATCATAAATTGAAACATTTAAGAAATTACCAATTGATTAAATCAAGACTTTAATAGATGATAATGAAAGATTAACTAATATTGTAGAAAATTAATCAAACAAAATTAAATCACTCTTAACTTAAATTGATGATTTCAAAAATTCTTCTTTTTAGAATGAAGGAAAAAATGAAATTATTATTTCCATGATATAAGTAAGATATTCTTTTTAAATAATAGGAACTTCAAAATTAGAAACTTTATGTAGAAGATGAATACAAAAGGTATCAAATATTGAATAAAGAAAAATAAACCCTCTATTTAGAATTACAAATGGCCAAACAATAGATTAAAGAACTTAATCAAACAATTGAAAAAATAAAGATGATTAATTTGGAAAGTAGTGATCCCAGTGACCTGCTTCATCAGGATTATTTGAAAAGTCATGAGGCAGTATTAGCTTTCTTTAAAAATTAATACTGAAAAATCAAATTTTATTAAAATAAAGATCATATTCTAAAAATTATTTAATTTAAGAGTTATATATTATCCAATGATAAATAAGGTTTCTAGATTGACAAATACCAAAATATGAAATTGAAAATATATGTGCTCGGATACAAACTATCAGAAATATTAATGAATATTCAAATAATCCTATTTAGTCAACCAAAATGAATAAGAGAATTTAATGGAGAAAAAAAAAATGAAAAACCCAAGATATTTTAGGATTACTCCAAAAGAACTAACTCATTAATACAAAATAAAATCAAATTCATATATGAAAAATTTTATTAATAGTAACAAAAAGAAAAAATCATAAAAACTTTATGAAATGAAAAATTAATTGTTAGAACTAGAACAAAGTTTATAGTAAAAAATAAACTGGTTAGCAAAACCTTAATAAAATAAACCCAATAAGATAGGTGGAATTTTATGAATAAAAATATTATCTATTCAGAATTATTACATTACTATTTATATTTTATATTGAACTAATATATTTTGTAAGGATTGAATCTTTTATTTACTAATATACAATATTTAATAAATGTTTTAAAATAATTAATTTATAATTTATTTTTATGTTGTAAACTAATTACAATAAACTTAATGATTAAGAGAAAGTTATCAAACTTCTTACAAAGTCGAGTAGAGAAGTTTTTGAAAATGAAATCCTACTTTAAATTTTATTATCATATTAATATTTTAAATATTTTTATGATATCCTTATTCAACATTTAACATTGGATCGCATAATATTGGTATTAATTATGAAAAATTAGATGATGAATTAATTAAAGTTAGAAATTTTTAGAGAAAATTCACTTATTTTTTAAGAGAAGGATCCCTCAAATTCTAAAATATATCTTATACTTTCTGGTTCAGTCTACTTATTAAGAAGTAAGCCATTACAATAATTTTGTTTTAATTCAACAAAGTATTAAAAACTATATCTAAGTTCAAACTATTATAATAAATATGGTTATATAGTTCGAGAATTGAAAAGTGGAGATGGTTTTGGAGATAAAAGTTTTTTGACTAATTAACCAAGATCGTTGTCTGCTATATCAATAGAAAAACTGCATTTGTTGATATTGGATAATTCGTTTTTAAAAGGATTCGAGTCTGCAATAAATTTAGCTTAAGTCAAAGCAAAAACATTGATTTTTAACTTTTTTCCATCAGTAATTATATATGCAAGTTTAGATTAAATTGAATTACTCAAATGCTCGACTTGAATGTATCTTTTATAGTTTTTAGGTAAACAATTTATATCGACATTTCAATAGACTATATTTTTAGCTCGTGATGAATTACTTTTTGAAGAAGGTAAAAAAGGAAATGAATTCTACATAATGAAATAAGGAAATTGTATTATTCTTAAAAAGTTTTAAAATGAAAATATTTCAGTAACAATTTAAGATAATTATTGCTTATTTGGAGAGGAAATATATTTTAATGAAAAATATGATTATACAATCAAAATAAAATCACTTTAGGCTTGCTTTTTGAAAATAAAAGTTTAAGATTTTGAAAATGATTTTCCTGAAGAATGTAAAAAAATTTTGAAATAGAATTATGATACTCATAAAAATGATAGATTTTATTTATATTAATTAGCTGTTGAAAGATATCAAAAATAAGTAGAAGTTTAAAGATAAAAATTGGAGTAAGTATTTTAATTTTAATATTTTAGATCCAAGTAATCTTAAAAATTACATAAGCAATTGAATATATAAAGTTATTCATAAAGTGAAACAGAATTATAGATGAGATTTGATAAAGATGTTTCTAATTTTAGAAATTTTATATCTGTAAGAACTAGTTCTCTATATTTCAATTCAACAAGAGGTTTTTAAGCTTAAAAATTTAATAATTATTCTCCTTCATTTATAATTGATTAATAATAAAAGTTATTAAAAGAACCTATGAATCCAATTGTAAGCCCTCTAGATTTTGGAAAAGGAGAAGCAGAAGAGATGAGAAAAAGGACAAAAGTTTAGTTATGTGTAATGAGTATGGAGAAAATTAATTATTTGAATTAAATTAAGTCCCCTAAGATTTATTAATTAAAAAATAAATTCTTAAGAACTTTTTAAAAGCAATAAAGAAAATCAATGTCATAAATGTCAATAAGTACAGCGTTACCTTAAAAAAAGAGATCAAGTTATTTTTCTCCAGAAGCATCCATGATTAGTTTATGTAATTTTTGATTATATATATTTATATAAAAATAAACTTTAAATCAGAGTTGTTTAGCCTTGTGTTTATTAAGATAAGCTTTAATCTTGCCACGAAAAAATACATATCCTAAAAATCCAAAAGTTGAAATAACAGTCCAAATATTTGATTTATATATTCCAAGCATCTTATGACTGTAATTATCATTATCAAATTCAATTTAATCTTTAACTTTTTTCATAGTAGCGCATAATTAAAATACTCTTTGTTTAGCTTACGATTTTGCAAGCATTAAGAATTCCTAATTGAATAATTAAATTAATTACTAATAGAGAAATTTCTTAAATTCCTTTAGATGCAAGTGTATATAAAACTTTATCACAAGCAGAACAATATATTTTTTATGTTATTTTTCTGTAAGTTTCATTTTAAATATTTTCCATTAAATTACTGCTAAAATAGAATTCGAATAAAGCTTTTTTATCAGCATAAACAGTTTCAATTTTTTTGATTGATTCAATAATGTTTTCAAAAGTTTAATTATATAAAGTACCTTAATAAACCCTATTTAAAAATAATAAAGCTAGACAAGTAAAATCTACAATCATATTCCATTCTAAAATAGGATCTTAAAAAAAAGAATGTAAAACTGGAATTAAGTCAAAATCTAAAAATACAGATGATAAATTCATGTACAAGTATATAAAATAAAGAAAAATAAAAGCTATTTGTGCTTCATTATAATCCATCCAATCATTATCAATTAATAGTGTTAATCTTCTCATATTATCCCAAGATTCTAAACTTAAATTACAACTAAAATCTAATTTAAAATCAGAATTATATGGTAAATCATCAGGAATTTCCTCGTTTGCACTTTCATTTTCATCTTCAACTTAATCTTAAGCTTTATTTGGGATGATTAGAGTTTGAAGTACATTTAAAATATATCGTTTCCCTTGAATATCATTACATTTGATTAAATCAATGAGTAAAATGATCATATTTAGATACATACCTAAAAAGCATACAAAAAAGATAAATTCAATCTCTTAAGTGTTATCTGATTATAATAGTAGATAAAGTGGAAAACTTCCTTTAGCAAATAATACTATAAAATAAATGAAAAGAATAGATGCTGGTTCTTTTTCTTATTTAACTTTGATATAATCATAATGAGGCCATAAAAAATTATCAATTGCATGTCTGTAACCACGAAAGCCTAAAACTCTTAATTCTTTTAAGATTTGTAATTTTGTTGCTGATTATTCAAATTATTTTCTGTCAAATGGAATATCATGTTATTTTTATAATTATTTTCTAGCTCTCTCTATAAGTTCAATAATTGATTGATCACTCAATGTTGTAATATCATCTATTGTACAAATACCTGGATCAGATTCAAGTGCAATATAATAGAGTGTACTATCAATATTCTCTGTTTCCATAGCATCTCTAATCTATTTATATAAATTTTCTTGTTTCTATTCTTCCTATTTATCACTTGATAGATTTTAATGTAATAATTTTTAATACAATCTTCCAAGACCTAACTTACTCATATTAGCCTCAGAAATTAGAAAATCAAAATCTAATTCTTTTCTATCAATTGATATTGTTAAAACATATGAGGACATTAAAATTTATGATTATAAAAATATTAAACAAGATATTGCCCAATCTTCATAATTTATTGTCTATTTATATCTAAATCCTACTAAAATATACATCATTAAAATTGATAATGTCATAGCAAGATCACAAACAAAAAATATTATTGTCTTTAAACCCTAAAACAAATTCTTATTTATAATTACTTGAACTAATCTAAAGAATCTGATGCTTTTACCAATTTATTGGATGTACAAATAAAAAAGTTTTAAAGTAAAATATGGCAATGCAATTGTGGCGTTGAATAAATAAAGAATTATAAAACATCTATACGGTCTCCATTCAATGCTTTTTACATCTAAATTTTCAAATAGAATCTCTTTTTTCTCTTATCTTGTTCTATTTTAGTTATCTGGAGAACTCATTAATAGGGTTCTTATTCAAAATATTAATTTTATTTTTCTTTTTCAATTATCATTCTTAGTGATCAATATATTGCATAATATCCCAGAAACCTTTTGGTTATTGTCAAAAAAATGAAGTTCAGCAAAAAAATAGAGAATAATAATTTGAACTTTATTAAACAGATTTCAAACTATAGAAATATCATTAATTTTAAATATATATTTCCTAGTTAGTTGTAACTATTATGAAAACCTTTCTCCTTATGTATTTGAAATTCTCTTCTATTATATTTATGATAATAATTATTATTATTACAAATTTCGATAAAAAAAAATTAGTAATTCTTTATTATAAGAATTATATATTTTTTGAATTTAAAAATAACTTATTATTTAAAAACCACTTAATCAAATTTTTTAGAATGTATAATTCATTAGATATTTTTAATTACATTTTATGAAAATGCTGATTTTATAAATAAAATAAATTAATGATTTGTTCTAAATTAATTTAAAAATCTTCTAAACAAATGAATAATATTGCTTAAAAGTAAATTTTATCTTTTTAAGAATGATAAAAAAAAATCTGTCAGAATAAACAATAAATTTTAATAGTTAGAAGAACATTCATTAATTAAGATAGCCACTTAAAATTTAATTTGAAAAAAGTTTAATATAATTCTTAATTAATTCCTCAAAATTGCCTTATAATTAATAATTTTACTAATCTAGCTGATTATCTATCAAATCTAATATCAATGACATAGAAATAAATTAATAATATTGGTAAAGTAAAATAATTATTTCTGTGAAATTTGATCAAGCAAATAATAAATTATTAACATTACAAAGACTAAATTTAAAAAAATTACAATTAAAGATAATTATTAATTTTTAAATAGAATGTAGAAAAAAGAACAAAAAAGTTAAATTCAAAAAAGACAAAAAAATAAAAAGATAAAGTTATTTAATGCAACTTCTAAAAGAATAAATAATTTGAATTTACTTTAAGTAGAGCACAATAATCAGAATAAAGATTAATTGATACACTATTAAAATAATTATAATGAAAGAAAATATTAAGGAATTCATAGATGTTTAATAAGTTAATTATTTTTGACTCTTAAATAGTAAATCAAACAATAGAATTTAGAGTTTAAAAACAAGTAAATCAATAAAATTATAAAAATAAACCATGTATTTTAATTGATTGATGAACTATAAATATATTAATATTAATTAGGCCAATCAATATATAAATAATAAGATGAATAAGATTTTGAAATTAAAAAAAAATATTGTAAATGAAATGAGATTGAGAGATTTTGTACTTATATTATTATTAGCTATTCAAAAAAGAGATAATTAAAATTAAATAATATTGATAAATTTATTTTTATTAACCAAAAGATTAATTCCCAGATAGAGATTGAGATATTAATAAATAGGAATAAGTTAATGATAAAAGTTAAAAATAGTAATAAATACAAAAAGAGAACGATGTAGAAAAAAAATGATATTTTATAAAAGTTAATAAATAATTTCATTTTTATTAATTAGCTTCATATGTATTAATTTTGATTTTGGTCTATTTTAATATTTAGAATGTTAGTTTTGAGTATGAAAATGAAATTTATAGAGATGAATGATAATTATTAAATTATTTTTAATCAAAATCATAATATATAAATAATAAAACGGATAAGGAATGGGGTAGTCATGTTGCTCAGATTATAAGATTGAGAAATCAAAAGAAATAAATTTTACATAGCAAAATCCTTTTAATTATGTCTAATAGGATAATATTAAGAATCAAGATTATTGGTAGATTTAATAAAATAATGAGCTTCGATTAAAACTTCTAAAGGCAAATATCTAGACATCTAAATCAACTTTAAAAATTCCAGTGATTAATAATGTATAAGTAAAAGAAACTTAATAAAAATTGGGAGAATATATGATATCTACTTCGATCAGTAATGAAGGAATAGAAATTACTCCTCCAATATAATTTGATAATGGTTCAGTATATGTTGGGGGATTAAAAATGGATTAGTTTTAAGGATATGGAGAATTATATTGGGAAGATGGAACACATTATTGTGGATAATTTAATAAAGGTTATAAAACTGGTTATGGAAGATTAATATATAGTGATGGGGATGCTTATGTATAAGATAAATAATATAAAGGAAGGAGAATGGTTAGAGAATTAAATACATGGCTAAGGAAAATATTGGTATGCTAATGGAGGAGAATATGAAGGAAGATTTGTGTAGGATTAAAAAGTAAATATAATATATAAAATAATAGCATGGATTTGGAAGAGAGAAATATGTTAATGGAGATATATATGAAGGAGAATTTTATTAGGGAATAAAAAGTGGAAGAGGAAAATTAATTATGAGTCATGCAACTGTAGAAGGATAATTTTAATAAAATGAAATTATTGAAGGTGAATATAAATGGAATGATGGAAGAAGATATGTAGGGTAATTTAAAGAATCTAAAATGCATGGAAATGGAGAGTTTTGGTTTCCTGATAATCAATTTTATAAAGGTTTATGATGAGATAATATCAAAGGTGAATGGGTAGAAGATTAAAAAGAAGGACATGGAGAATTTCATTATTAAGATGGATCTTTCTATATTGGAGAATGGAAATAAGGAAAATAAAATGGGATTGGAAAGTTTACAGATCAATATGGAAATTGTATTACTTGTAAATGGTTAAATGGAAATTAAGTTCATTGAATCATTTTTAAATTTGTATTATGTTAAATTTTATTAAACACCAATAAACCACGTTTATAAAAGTGCCTACAAAATTTATGTTTGAGATTATTCAAAATGTAGATTATTATTATCTATTTTTATCAGGATGTTCTTCAAGTATAACATTCAATCATAAATCTAATTCTTTTGAAGGAGAATTAGAGGTTGATTATAAATTATTTTAATCCTTATATATTTCTAAAGTTATTATTCAATAACATTCATAATTTTATAAAATAACTTCTATTTCTGAAAATAATTCAGTATTTAAAATTCTTAAAAGTATTTTGGAAATTAAAGCAGATCAATAATAATGCCAAGCTAAGAGTTTTTGTTTCAAAATCCTTTATTTTAGCATGCTTCATCAATCACTATTTTTGAAAGAAATAGTAAATTCTAAAAGAAATGCTTTTGAATAAAGATAATATAAGAAATTTCAATAGTTTAAAAAAAATGAATGCTAATTAGAATTAAGAGAAGTAAAAATCATATTAGCAAAATCTAAATTAAGATCAAAACTAAGTAGATTATAAATGTATAAAGTTTTTATAAAGAATATTTACTATTATAATAGATTAAAATTTGATCCAAAAATTATGTTAAATTGATATTTTATATATCATTTGTATCTTTTTGGAGTATCATATATTCTGCTTTGAACAAAATTGCTTTATGTTGCAAACTCATATTCTAAAGCTCTTTCTCTAGCTCTTCTTTCTAATTCAGCTTCTAATTCCAATCTTTCTATTCTCTCCTTACTTCTTTGTCTTTCATATTCTAATTCTCTTTCAACTCTCTCTAATTATCTACTTCTTTCAAGAACTTTTCTTTCATTCTCTAATTATTCAATTCTTAATTAAGATTTCCTTAATTACTCACCTCTTTCTCTACTTTATCTCAACTCTTCTAAAGTTCTCTATTATTCTCTACTTTATCTTAAAGCTTCAATTTATTCTAATCTTTCTCTACTCTTCCTTAATTCTTCTAATCTCTCTTAGCTTCTTCTTAATTCAATCTCTTCTTTCTATTTCTTTAATTACTCTAATCTCTCTTAACTTGTTCTCAATTCTTCTATTTTTCTTCTTTATTTTTATAAATCTTCTATTCTACTCCTTGATTATCTCAATTCTTCAATCTTTTCTTAATTCTTTCTCTCTTATTCTAATTATTCTAATCTTTCTCTACTTCTCCTTAAATCTTCTAATCTTTCTCTACTTTTCTTTAACTCATCAATTTATGCTTATCTTTCTCTACTTTTTTTTAATTCTTCTAATTCTTCCAATCTTTATCTACTTCTTTTTAATTCTTCTAATTAATTTAATCTTTCACGACTTTTTTTTAAATCTTCTAATCTTTCTCTACTTTTTCTAAAATCTTCTAATCTTTCTCTACTTCTTCTTAATTCATCAAATTACTCAATCTTTTCTCTACTTCTTTTCAAATCTTACATATATTCTAATCTTTCACGACTTCTTCTAAGTTCTTCCACTCTCTCTCTACTTTTCTTTAAATCTTCTAAAACTTCTCTTTCTCTTTCTATTTAAATAATTCTCTCTCTACTTCTTCTTAATTCATTAGCTATTTATCTTTCTTATTAAAAGAAATCAGGAACAAATGTTAAAGCTTCTAATAATTCTGAATAAGATATTCTTCCATCTTCGTCTGAATCAACAACCCTAAAAAAGGCAGTTAATTCATCAAATGATAATTTAGCACCATTTTATCTTAAAAAATCTTATAAACTAAAATAATTATAATTTAAATACGTATCAATTGTAATATATCCTAAATATACTTGATCAATACATCTAAATGCATCTAAAGATGTAAAATCTGCACTAGCAGTTAATATTTCTTAAGCAGCGGTTATTGAACTTAATTTTCAATCTAAAAATAATACTTATAGTTTTAAATTTCTTATTAGAATACTCTAGAAAGTCCCCATTCTACTTCTGTTGGTAAAAGCATATTAACTTCAATATAATAACTGTCTCTTAATGAGGCAATTTATCTTAATCTAGAGTCTTCTTTAGGTAAAATTGCTTTAACAAAGCTAATAATAATACTATATATTATACTCAGGATAAGTAATTCTTCCATCTCTATTTAGATCAAGTCTTCTAAATAGATAATTAGATTGAGCCTTAGTTGGATAAATTTTATTATCTGATAAGAACTCTACAATATCTGACACTGTTAATTCTCCTGTTCTCAATTAATCTAATCTTCTGAAAGCAGTATATGGTTCAAACATTTTTTGTTCTGCTAGCACTTAACGAACCATCTCTGTTTTCTTTTCTCCTTCTGCAATTGTGATAATTAAATTTGCAAGTCTTCCTTATGTTCTTGCTGAAAGGTACATTATTAAATAAAATTTATTTGCTAAAAAATAAAAATTAAATCTCCAGAAATAACCAGTTTATATTCATTTAATTAATCTCTAACTCCTACTCTTTTTATTTAAACTCTTTTTTATTTTTGATATATTAATATTTAAACAATTTTCTTGTTTTTCTTATCTATTTACACTTAACCATTTTAATCAGTTGGAAATAACTATTAATAGTATTTTATTTTATATATTTCTGATCGCTTTTAATTTTTAAGAATTCATGTTATAAACATTAGAATTATTTAAAAAACAAAATTTTCATTATACAAGATAATAAAATTCAATTGATCTAATTTTTTTAATTCTTCATTCTCTCTAAATAAGCCAAAAATATGCTCCTTTATTCTAATTTCAAACTTTTTTATGAAGTTTTTAAGTTTTGAGGTTTCAAAAAGATCAAAAAAGTTATTATAGATAATAATTATTCATCTTTAATTTTTTCAAAAAACCAGAATACTATTTTTAATTTTTTGTAAAATATAAAAAAGATATTTAAAACTCTATGAAAAATTTCGATTTAATAAATTAGTATTGTCTAAAAATTTGCATATTTGTTCTGCTAAAGATTTATTTACCATTATTATCAAATAATATTATCTAGTTAATCTATTTAATATTTATTAATTTTTCATAAAATTTTTTATTTATAAACAAGTTTATTGGATTTCAATAATTTTATTCAATAATAATGAAATTATAAATTTACATATGTCTAATTTTAGTAAGAAAAATTAAATAATTAGTTAACATAATTAAATATCTAATTTGCTAATGAAATCCTAAATAATATATATGAAATATACCTTGAATGTGAAGAAAAAATTAAGTTAGAATAAATATGAAAAATTAATTAGAATTCAAAAGTTAAGTTTATAAATCAGTAAGTCTCGATGTGTATTTTTTCAATTTTTTATAATATTGATGATAATAATTTATTTGAAATCTTAGTCGTATTAATTTAATTGGTGTTCTTAAACCTGAAACAAAGATTGTCTATAAAATTAATTTATTATTGCTGAATGGAAGAAAAATCATAAAATTATTTTGGTAGAATCAATTAAATTCAGTATTTTATCCTAAATTTTGAGAGCCTTATTCAATCTTTATTTAGACAATGATAGTGTATAGATCATTAAAATCGAACAAAATTATTTTAATCATTATAAATAAATGATATATTTATGAAATTGAATATTAAAACGAAAAAAAGTAATTTCATTTTTAATTAATAGATACATATATATCATGATATTGTTATTAACATAATATTGAGTTTCAAAAAAATTTTTTCATTAATCTTTGAACACCAAGATCATTGTGATATGTTGGTGTTGTAAAACTTCATTTTTTTCATGGAAAAAAGCACTTTAGATTAAATTAGTTGAATTATTGATGATTTGACAATTTTAAATGAAAAAATGTAATAAAAGTCAATCTTCAAACAAAAAATTTCAAATAATTTTTGATTAAGCCTTTAGGGAACTTCTTAAATTACCTTATATCTTATTACTTAAATTATGATCTTTTGAAAAATAAAATAAATTTTAGAGGAAGATAAATTAATTTTCAAGAAATACTATTTCAAATTTCTAATAATAATAATGATTTTAGTGGAATTTGATTTTAATTTAAATTTCTTTAGTAAAAAGAAATAAATAAAATTTCAATTTAGTATTTTTCTAAAAGGTTAAACCATACTTAGCTATATTTATTTTTGAAAAATATGTTGATTTTAAGTTCATTTAAAAACAATAGATTAAATCAATGTTTGAATCATTCATAATATGATGAAACCTAGTTGAAATTCTAATATTGGTTTTGGTTGAGACAAAAAGAAGAAATCGAAAAAAAGATATTTAAGAATTAACTTTTAATGTGGTATCACAAAAAGAAGAAAGAAAGTATAAATAATATGATATAATATTTAAATATTTCTTAATTTGAGTTGAGCAATAAAAAAGGGATTTTTTAGTTAAATAATAAATCTGATAAAAAGTATTTGAAATATATTGTTTAATAATAATTTATTAAATAAAGAAAATTAATGTCATCCAAAAGTCATGATCGTCATAAAATTTTGAGCTTAGAGTAGAATGTGGGTCTAACAAAAGAATAGTATGAAAAAAAATATTTATTTCATCGTTTAAAAGAAAGATTTTTACATAGCTAAGATTTATCATTAGAAACAATAACCCCAGAAGGGCATGAAAATATTTACATTCCAATGGATATTTAAAGTCCAACTTAAGCTGATGGTTTAAGTTATGAGGATGAATAAGCTCTTAGAATGCATGGTGCTTAAATTTGTTTCTAAGCCTGCAATCACTTAAAATTACCATTAACAACAGCCATTACAAGTTTAGTAATATTTCATAGATTTTTTGCAAAGTATAAAAAATAATGTGAAAATATTTAGAAATTCTTTTGTGGATTTTGATTACCGCGAAATTTCAATGGCTTCATTGTATTTGGCAGGTAAAGTTGAAGAAACATTACTGAAAACATGGTATATAGCAGGTGCATTTAGCTCTGTATTTCAAAAGTAAAAATAAGCTCCATTGTAAAATAAATATATATGACTAGGGATATAATAATAAAATAAGAAAAGCTAATACTAAAAGAACTTGGATTTGAATTATTTAGAGTATCAGATCATCCGCATAAGTTCATAGAATCATTTTATCATTTTATTAAGATCGATAAGCAGGTAGCTCAAAAGGCTTGGTATTACTTGAACGATTCATACATGACTGATTTATGCGTACATTTTCCACCTTAAGTTATTGCAGCAGGAGCATTGTATTTAGCATTGAGGGTCTGTAATCATCCTATGCCTACATAACCATGGTGGATTTTATTAGAAGCTACTTTAGTATAAATAGAGTAAGTAGCAGCAACCATATATAATATATATGAATTTGAAAAAATGGATTTTAGATAAGCAAGAAGAATATTAGCTAAGGCTAATAGAGTAGCTTATGTTATTTAACATAGTGAAATATATGGTATTCCTGAAAAAATAGAGAGACCTTTAGAAACTAAAAAATCCAATTCTTAATTACTTATTTAATAAACATCCTAATTACCATAATAAAATTAATAAGAATCTATTCAAAATAATAAAGAAAAATAAGAACCATCACCTAATAATAAAGATAAAAAAAGTATTAAAAAAAAAAGTAAATCTAAAGAAAAAAAAAGCAAAGATAAAAAAAATAAATCTGAAAAAAAGAAAAATAAAGAAAAAGATAAAGATAAAGATAAAGAAAAGAAAAAAGAAGATAAAAAAAAGAAAAAGAAGTAAATATATAATTACTATTTTATTAGAAGTCGATCAAGAAGTAAATCTAATGATAAAAAATTATCAAAAAAATAAAAAAAGAAAGAAAAAGAAAAAGAAAAAGAAAGAGAAAAAGAAAGAGAAAGAGAAAGAGAAAAAGAGAAAGAGAAAGAGAATGAGAAAGAGAAAGAGAAAGAGAAAGAAAAAGATAAAGAAATAATTGAAAATATAAAAGAAAAAGATAATTAAAAAAATGATTAGGAGAAATCATCAGAAGATCAAAATTCAAAAAAAGAATAAGATCAATATTTAGATAGAGGTATGATTAAATCCAATATGGAGATTGAGAATGAAAATGAACAAACTAAAAACAACAAAAATAACTAGTAATAAAATTTAAAAAGTAACGAATAAATAAGAGATGACAATATCCACCAAAATTTATAGACATTTCAAGAGTCATAGTTTTAGGCATAACAAACTAATCAAGATGATTAGTAACAAAATATTGTACCTATAGATGACTAATCGAAAGTGTAATTGCCTTTATAGAGTAAATAGGATTTTATTGCTCAAATGAAAGCATTATTAAAAACCTAATAACTACAGAAAATTGATGATATAGAAAAAAAAGATAATAAAGTTGAAAACAATTAAATAGAAAAATAATCTCCTGAATAGGATTCGGAAGAAGACTAATAACTTAATGCAATTAAATTAAAAAGTAAAAATATATTTCTATTTCTGTAGTCTTAGCTAAAAAAAGAAATGAATAATGAGCTCTGTTATATTAATTCAAAGAATTCGCTTAAGGTTATTTTTCTGTAATTTTCTATCAATTTCCTTTTTGACAACTTCTAAAGAACTATCATCAAGTTCTTTAATTAAAGATAACAAAGCACACAGAATATTTTCATTTCTTTCAATATTCTTATTATTATTTAAAATATTCTGTTGATTTTGAGTGATTTCAGGTGTAACAGACCTTTATTATTCTTATTAATTAAAAATATAAGGTTGTTTTTTAGGAGATTCTTTTAAACTAGATTTTGGTCTATTTAAAATATTGCTATTTTAAGTTTGTTCTTCAAAATCATCTTCTAAAATATTGACAGATTAAGCATTTTATTTATCTTCATTTGTTATTGTTGTATTGTCAAGTTTAACTAGATTTGGTAAATATTTAACTACAATTTCTCTATAATTTGGATGATCTGCACAAGGATTGTCTAAAATAATTATTCAAATTAATACCTTACAACCATAAAACTTTTAAATTAGGTAAATGAACTAAATATCTCAATTCTTTTATATCGCTAATACAATTTTTTCTAAGGTAGAGCTCTTATAATTTTTGACAGCATCCTATATCTTTAAGAGTTGATATTTTATTGACAGATAAAGAAAGCACTTCTAAATTAGGTAATTATCTTAATGCTTTTAAATCATCTATGTCATTTCCCCATAAATTTAGATTTTTTATTTAAAAAAGCTGATCATTTTTGGTTTTTTGAACTATAAGCTCAGCTGTTAGCGGTTTACCCATTTGAAATTAATATAATAAATTAATTCTAATTAAAAGTGATAAATAAATATCATAGTTTAAGGGTTGTATTTATCAAATAAAAATAAGTTCAGGTAAATCAGCACTTTTTGTTTCAACAGGACAAGTTGGACATTTGAATTTGGATTTATTAGCTATAATTTTATGGGCTGATAATTTAGAAATGGCATGTCCACATTTTAATAAAACTGGAGGATTGTCAGAATTAGTTACTTCTCTAGAGACAGGACATACAAAAAAAGAATGATATTTAAATTCTTTACCTATTTCAATATCAATAGGAATATCATTTGTTAATACTTCTGAAGATCTATCTATATGAATTATAAAATATTATTACTTCTTGTAATTTAATTATATTTTATTAATTTAGGCATAGCTAAACATCCAGCTGAATATACAGTTCTAATTTCAGATTTAGTTAAAATATCTGGAATAATTTAAGTAATTACTTTAAGATTTTGCAGCTACCTCTAAAAATAGATTTAAAATTCTTGGCCAATTTTTTTCATCATCATATAAATAATAGTATTTAGTATTTTCTACATTGGGCCAAATTAAAAAAGATGATGTAATTAAACAAATTTCATATAAATGAACTTTACTCTATTCTTAAAATGAAGAACTATTTCTTAAAAAATAAATAGCAGCTCTAATACCTTCAGTTTATACTAATTGTATAGCCTTTTTAATATATAAATAGTTCAATACTTTTTGTTTCAACAATTCATAAAGTAGATAATTCATAGATTTTTTTTCTCTAGTTTCTGCCCAATAAATAGCTGAATCTAATTTTCTTTCTTTTAAATCTTTTACAATGTTTTAGGTTACTGTAAAAAATTAATGTAAATTAGAATCTACTGAACCTGATTCTTTTAATAAGGTCTCATAAGCCTCAAATTCTCCATCCCTTAACAAATGATTCTTTATTAACTAAATATATAATTTAATTTTTCACTTCTATTAGGACTGTCTTATCTAACTCTATATGTTCTTGACCATATTATAAATTTTTTTTATATAACATATCCATGTTTTTTCCCATCTTTGATATATAAGCATAGGATTCATTATTTGTTTATTTAATTTTTGTTAATGGTTTTAAATTCTTTCTTAATCTAATATTATACTTGCAATTTATCTTTTAATTAAGAATAATCATTATTTGATTTAGCTTCCTCAATTTCTGTGATGATTTGATCTAACTATCCATTAATTACTTTATTTGATATCTTTGTTTTCTTTATAAATCGCTCCAAATCTTTAGATAAAGAAATTCCTTCTAATTGAGTTGTATTCATATAAAATAATAAAAATTAAATGAATTATAATTATCAATATTAATATTTTTTGTTAAGTTTTTTTTATTTCTATAAATCTTCCACCTTTTCTTAATTTTTAAAAACATTGTTTCTTTTTTAATCCTTAAAATAAAAACAATTTGTACTTCTTGTATATCTAATGCATTGAAAAGTTCGAATACTGAAGAATTATCAGATGCTTGATTAAAGATTTCAAATATTTTTAATGCTTCATCCTATTAAATGATAGTTCCATCTCTAAATTGATCTATTTTACAATATTTAACTTCATCTCGAATATTATATTAATATGATAATTCCTCTATACAATTTGGATCTACATTTTTAATATAATGCCAAATCAATTAGAATGAACCTTTATATATTCCTTCATGATCCCAAAATTTATATGATTATTCAGGATCAAAATCACTTGTCATTTACGCTATACCTATAAGCTTTGATGATTATCCTAGAGGAAAGAATATTAAATAAACAGAAGCCGTATGTGAGTATAGTTCTGATAATTCTTTATTAACAGCAGGAGTAGAACACCAAATTCCATATTTAATGGCTTTATGAATATTCTAAAACCCATTTTTAGGTCTTATTAATACAAAAAAAGAATTTTAAGGAGGAAAATGATTGTTATTTAACTATTCTAAAGTTTTAAAATTTGCCCTTAACTCTTGAATGTTGTAATAATTATTAGCTCTTAAAAATTAAGTTTGGAATTAATAACAAATATTTTATTGCTAAGGAATTTAATTTCTATAGTTTATTTTATTAAATTATTGTTAATAATCTTACAATTTTAACATTTACTTTTCATCTCTGCGATAATTTTAATGCCTATTTGTATAAACAGAACTTTATATATTCTATTGTTATGGAAACTTTTCAAAATTATTATCTTAAATTTATTAATGCTAGTAGTTTTATTGTTTTATTATATCTGAATTATTTTTATCATATGGAATCTATTGTTGTTAATAAACTTAAAATGTTTATTAAGACCTTAGATTCTAATTTTTATATCCCTTTAATGGTCTCTATTCTACTTATTCTTCTTCATTTCTTTATTGATATTCCTGAAGGCTTCTCCTAAACTCTTCACCCATAAAGTATTGTTTAATTTTTTTTAGAATTTTTATAATTTTTAATAAATAATTACAACTATTATTTTATTTGCTATTTTTAAATATCATCTTGATTTCAGATTAATATGATGTATTTTATGAATCAATAAATATTATTATTTTTTGATCTAAATCTATTTTTTTGTATATAATCACTAAAATTATGAAATATTATTGTAATAATAAATTATGATCAAGATTTGAATTTATTTTAGGTTTACATATCAAGCTTTTCAAAACATTAATTGACAGTAAATCATTTGTGAAACAATTATTTAAAATGTATGCAAATTAGAATATTATTTCTGCTATCATCTATTTATTTTCAAATATAACATATAATTTGATGAGAAAAAAAAACTTTTATTTAACTAATGTATATGTCATACATTAAGTTTAGCATAGTTCAAATGAAAATATTTTAAATTATTAAGTGTATTAATTGAGAATTTTGAGAACGCAAATTGATAATTGTTTTTACCATTATTTATTAAAGAGCTATAATAAATATAATAGTAATCAGGAATCAAACAATAACAAAGATTTATTACTTAACAATATAATTAGAAGTGGTTATATATTCATTAGAGTAATATAATTGATATATAAAGTTAAATTTTTTACTTTTTAAATATGAGATCAAGCTTAGCTCTTCGTTTAAGAAATTCCATAGATAACACTCAAATATAATATGATAATAAATACTCTGTTCATGTGAATACTTAGCAACCAGTCTTAAGTCCTAGAAAGTCAGTTGATAAAACTACTATTCATTAGATATATAAAGTAACTTAACCATAACAAATAAAAAATAAAACAATATAATTGAACAGAGATGTGTATGGATATAATTTCAAATATAATAATTCGGTAGATGTAAGTTTAGAAGAATTGAAAAAAATAAAAACATTAGAAAAAAGTTTATATTGCATTTAAGACAATCGAAAAATAGTGAATAATAAAATGACTAATCAAAAATAATAGGTTCTGTAAATATAATTAATATTCTTCTTAGGATCCTTTTTAAATTAGCAATAGCTTAGAAAAATAACAGAAAAAATATTCTCTTCCTATTTTAAATTAGAGATAATCTCCTTAACATAATAATCAAGAAAAGATTAAAATTCCTATGTTACCATCAATTTCTGAAAATACATATTCAAAATAAATTAATTTTAGTATTGAGAAATGCCTAGAAGAAATAAACAAAATAAAAAGTGGTGGTTAAAAAGAACATTCTTAGTCTACAGAGAGGATTTTAGATTTATTACTACTAAATACTTGTGATTTAAAAAAAATATTTAGAAATTAAAACTAAAAGAATAAAAGAAAAATAATTGTTTAAAGTAAAGTGCCCTAAGATTTTTTCAACAACTTAAAAAACTTTTGATTATAATTTAAGCATAAATTATATAATAAATGATCAATTATAACTTATGCTCCAAATTTCTAATCTCTCTATAATAAATTTGTTATATTTTGACAGTATTTCATTATTAAATGTTTCACAATGACAACTATATCCATTAGATATATCAGAATTTATAAATAAACCATATTTATCTCCACAACCAACAGCTAATCCATCTACATCACATAATGTAATATAATTATTAATTTGAGTCCATTTATAAACTGTTATATCAGAACTATTTTTAAATGTGAATAGAAACGATTCACCATTTCCATAAAATTTTCCACAACTATTTTTAATACCATCAGATATATAAGCTCCAAATAAATATTAATCTAAATCTTTTATTAAAAGAATTGATGGTAATTAATTTTCAGATTTTCTCATTAGAGTTTTAATTGATGATCCATGTTATATGGATGAATAAATACATTACCATTTCTGACCTTTATATAGAGAAGGTAAATGAGTTGAAATACTAATAAATTTATCTCTTGTCACAATTTCTGAATTAGATTCAAGTTAAGTTAATTAAGAATCACGACATACAACCTCTAATTATAATTTACTAAATTACATTTTGGTTACTCAAAATTTTAAATTTACCCTTCAATTTCAAAATGATATGGTATTATCGTCTTTTAATCATATATTTCTGAATTAATATTAATATTATAACTTTCCTTTCTTGTATTTTTGTAATAATCCTCTAATTTCTAATTAATCTAATTTAAGAAATCATCAATTCTATTTTCTTCATTTAATTTTAATGCAATAATCTTCTATTTCATTGTTTATGTAATTATTGTTATAACATTAGTATTATTTAGAGGTATTTTATTCTGAAATAATTATGATAATTCTTATTATTCTACAAAAACTATATGTTTCAATAGAATTTAAAGATATAAATTGTCTATATCTCTGATTTAGGCATTCCGTAGTATTTCATAATTCTACTAACATTTTTTTTCAGGTTCGAATGCTACAAAGGATGGTGTTATTACAAATTAGCCTTATATAGCTCCAATTTAGGTAATGTAAAGGGCAGAATAATAAAAGTTATCAACTTTTTTTAAATTCAGTTCTTTAGAATTATCTAATTCTTACTTTAAGGGTATCTTTAAAATCATACCTGGATATAGAGAATTTTCAGAAATATTGTTTAATCTTAAGATTTAGATTGCACTAATGAATTTGAACAATGAGATACCTTATTTCAAATTTAAGCTCTAAACCATATATTGAGTCATTCATCTCAACTTTATAATAAATAAAATTTTCTTGATGATGTTAATAATTATCTAAATATTCTTTTGGCAAATTAGTAAGATTCTCATTATTCTCTTCTTCATTTATGTCTAATACAAATTAAGGACAATCTTTTCCAGCATATTCTATATTAATGATGTCATATTCAGCAGAATCAGAATTTAACTAATTTCTAGCAGCTATTTAATAAAAGTCCATAATATTTTATATTATATATCATTTTTGGGCTAATTCTTATTTCAATTAAATTGAAAATTCATCTGTTAAATCTTCATCATTCCAATCTTCTCTCCATTATTTAACATCAATTTTTAAATCATGATTCACTTCCAAATCTATCATTTATTATCAAAAATTAGTTACCTTCTTATTCAAATTCTTCAAAATCATCATCATCTTCATCAAATATTTTTTAAATCTATTGTGGCTATTAAGCAGGTACTTTTTCCTCTTCTATTTTGTTAGACATTTTTTTTAAATTAATTAAATAATTATACTAATCAAAGAAAAAAAATAATACCAAATAAGCTCTAAAGGAAATAAAAAATTATTAAATCTATTTTTTACTAACAATTTTCCTCTTAAAATCTTATTAGGAATATTTATTCAAAAAAATTAAATATATATATAATAAAATATTATATATTTATTATTAAAAGGTAAATATAAATATAATTCTCAAATAATACTAATCTCTCTTCATAATTAAATCATTTAGACAATTTAGTTAAGCTAAATTTTTGGTAAAATCAAATTATCAATTTAAGCTGTATAAGCTTCTATTGCTGCTGCTATTATCCAAAATTACAGATTTTCATTTAAGAAATAATTTGCAACAGAACATCCAAATAAAAAACTAATTGTTCCTTCAACTGATCTTTAGTTTGGATATTTTAATTTCCCTAATTAAGATCCAATTATAGCAGCAAAAGAATCTCCAATTCCTAATATTATTATCCTTAAATAATATATAAATAATACCCAATAAATTTGTTTGTATTGCTAAAAAATACCGAATGTGATACACCTATTAATAAATATATTTATGTTATTATTAATTCTTCTGAATCTCTTTTGTCACAAAAGGATAATAAAAATTAAGAATATTTCTTTAAAATCTCAATATTATTTCCATAATACTATCTCATTCCTTCAAAAACAATAAAAAACCAAATAAATACTGCTAAAGCCAACTTTGTATAATTTATATTCAATTATGTTCCTAATAAAACAATGAAAAAAATCTAAAAATGAAAAAGCTTTCTTTATATTATTTTTTTCAAATTTAGATAACTTATTGGGATTACTAACATTAATGCAAGAAATTATAATAAAAAGTATTTACCAAATTCATAAGTTACAATTTCATTTATTAAAATTGCCAAACTATGTCCTCTATATTAAAGATAATAGTAAATAGAAAAAAAGTTTATTTTAAAAATAGCAATAAATGTAAATGCAAATGCAAGTTCTTTTATTGGTATTTAATGTATGAGGACAATCAATATAAAGGATAAAACTGACAACATTAAAACTAGTTCTGATAAATACTCAAACATATCCTATCCATTAAATTAATAGTATTCAATTATATATTGAGATAATGCATACGATTCACAAAATGTTAATTTTTTAGGATATAATTAGACTAATTAATGCATGAATAGTATGCATATAAATTCCTTCAAAATAATGTGTGGTGAAGGATACATAACAAAAAAGCAAAATGTTATGAGTATTTATTAAATTTCTAAATTGAACTTTTTTTTCTTATTACTATTTTCAATCTAATTATGTCTGTAAAATTAGTGATCAGTTTTATAAGCAAAATATAGCATTAAGCATCTATATAAAACTAATTTATAGGAAGGATTTAATATAAGGAAAAGTATTTCCAAAAATCCTTAAGAATATGCTAATTAAAAGTTCATAATTAAAAATTAAATAAATGAATATTAACGAAAAAATTGAAAAATTGTAAAAAGAAATAAGTGATTTGAAACTAAAATAGAAATATAAAGAATTACCAGAAGATGAGAATAGCTTGTTTTATAACCACCATAAATATTTGTTTTTTAAAAAGCAATAGATTAAACAAATTTAATAAAAACCATAAAATAAGGGTTTTTCTCTATCAAAAGCTATTTTTGGATGAATAAATTGATTTAATTGGCTGATCATTTTTATTTATTTTTATCATAATCAAAAGTAATATATTTGATATAATCAATAAAATATAAAAATTTGAAATAAAAATTTTATAAAGTAAATGTTTTATAATATCCTTGTACAAATTTCTTATATCAATCAAAGTCTTTATATCCTGGATCTCCTTTTTTATACTCATTTGTAAAATTAATTTAATTATTTTATTTGCATGCCTAACTAGCTTCATTAATTTCTTTCAATAACTAGAAATAAATTTAAATAATTTTTTACTTTTTCTTCTGTTAAATCTTCTTCTTATTAAATTAAATTTTATTATTATTCAAGTGATTTTTTATGTTAATTATATGATCTTTCAACTAAATTCCAAAGCATCATAAATAGCATACCTCCAAACATTACAGCAATTTCAGGACCAATAGATTTTCTTAATAAATCTTCTAAGTTTGCTCTACTTATGAAAATAAATATTACTGAATAATCTATTTGTAATCTTCAAGGCCGTGAACTAATCCTTCTGAAACTTCATAAGCAGTTTCTCCAATCATTTTGAAAAATTGACTAATCATTGCATCGCTAAATTTTTCAACACTATTTGTATAGTCTTTTTCAATAATCAAGAAAAATTATTTGATATGTTTTACAAGAGCTTCAGATGCTGTTATTCTTGGGTCAAATCCTTCTATTACTAAATGTTAATGACTTCCTTTAGGAACTACTGTAGATAAAAATGAGTTGGCTAATTTTTCAATTAACTCGATTTTTCCTTCAAATTTTCCTATTAAATTATGTAAATTTTGTTTAATATTTCCTTATAGGCCATCTAAAAATGAATAATTGCCAGAGATTTAGGCAGCCATTAAATCACCTACTTTGACTTATGAAAATATTTATAAAATTTCTAATTCACCTTCATCCATCTGATTTGCATAATTTTACATCATAAGTTCATGAAGTGTCATAGTAAATAAGTTAGCTCCACCTTATTGACCTCCTAATCCTAAATTTCCTAGTAAACCTGACATCATTGATTAAGCTTATTATGGTAAATCTTAATTATTTTATTGCTGTTATTATTATTAATTATTTGCTTATGTTTATTGTTACTGTTAAGCTTAAAATGGCTACTGTGATTAGAATGAATTTTATTATTATTCTAAATTAATTAAATTGCTAAATATGAAACAAAAATTATACTTGACTAAATTATTAATTGCATTCAAAGGATTATTATTTTATTGTTGATTTCCTGTTTAATTTTAATCTGATTCACTTCCTGCATCAATTTCTAAAACTTAAGCATCAATTATAATTTGATCTCCTTATTACTCTATTTAAATCTATTATTAATTATTTTATTGTAAGTTTTGATTTTAAGAGAATGAATTTAAAAGTTATCCTAATGAGCTTAAAATATTTTATTAAGTTTGTTATTATGATTATTGTAATGGTTATTATTGTTATTATTACTATTATTCTGGTTGTTATTGNGTTAATTATATGATCTTTCAACTAAATTCCAAAGCATCATAAATAGCATACCTCCAAACATTACAGCAATTTCAGGACCAATAGATTTTCTTAATAAATCTTCTAAGTTTGCTCTACTTATGAAAATAAATATTACTGAATAATCTATTTGTAATCTTCAAGGCCGTGAACTAATCCTTCTGAAACTTCATAAGCAGTTTCTCCAATCATTTTGAAAAATTGACTAATCATTGCATCGCTAAATTTTTCAACACTATTTGTATAGTCTTTTTCAATAATCAAGAAAAATTATTTGATATGTTTTACAAGAGCTTCAGATGCTGTTATTCTTGGGTCAAATCCTTCTATTACTAAATGTTAATGACTTCCTTTAGGAACTACTGTAGATAAAAATGAGTTGGCTAATTTTTCAATTAACTCGATTTTTCCTTCAAATTTTCCTATTAAATTATGTAAATTTTGTTTAATATTTCCTTATAGGCCATCTAAAAATGAATAATTGCCAGAGATTTAGGCAGCCATTAAATCACCTACTTTGACTTATGAAAATATTTATAAAATTTCTAATTCACCTTCATCCATCTGATTTGCATAATTTTACATCATAAGTTCATGAAGTGTCATAGTAAATAAGTTAGCTCCACCTTATTGACCTCCTAATCCTAAATTTCCTAGTAAACCTGACATCATTGATTAAGCTTATTATGGTAAATCTTAATTATTTTATTGCTGTTATTATTATTAATTATTTGCTTATGTTTATTGTTACTGTTAAGCTTAAAATGGCTACTGTGATTAGAATGAATTTTATTATTATTCTAAATTAATTAAATTGCTAAATATGAAACAAAAATTATACTTGACTAAATTATTAATTGCATTCAAAGGATTATTATTTTATTGTTGATTTCCTGTTTAATTTTAATCTGATTCACTTCCTGCATCAATTTCTAAAACTTAAGCATCAATTATAATTTGATCTCCTTATTACTCTATTTAAATCTATTATTAATTATTTTATTGTAAGTTTTGATTTTAAGAGAATGAATTTAAAAGTTATCCTAATGAGCTTAAAATATTTTATTAAGTTTGTTATTATGATTATTGTAATGGTTATTATTGTTATTATTACTATTATTCTGGTTGTTATTGTTATTATTATTATTACTATTATTATTATTACTACTATTATTATTATTATTACTACTATTATTATTATTACTACTATTATTATTATTACTATTGTTATTATTATTATTATTATTATTATTATTATTATTATTATTATTATTATTATTATTATTACTATTGTTATTATTATTATTATTAGTTTCTTACATTTGTTACTCCATGATGATGATGATGATGATGATGATTATGCTATAATAATTATATTGGGGCCTATAATTAAAATTATCCTGGAGTATTTCCAAGAACTAAAAATTTAAGTAAAGCAGAAAATAAATCGCTAGTCATTCTGTTAATTGATTAAACTATAGCAGCTGAATCTCTAGTTAATTATTATGTCTCCCTTCTCTCATTTTCGGAAGTCAAAAAAGGTTCTCTCATTAAAAGATCAGATACTCTTTATAAAATTGGTAGAGATCTTTATAGAAGATAACATAATTAATTAAGCTAATGACCTAAAACAGTAACATTATTTCTATGTTCAGTCATTTGTGGTAATTAAAATGCTAATCCAAGTAATGAAGATTAATAAAAATTACCCAATAATCTACTTAATTATTACATCTATTCTTATGGAAGATGTATTCCAACAGAAGATTGATCATTATTTGGTAATAAGGTTACTGATTATAGTTATGGTTAATTTTATTATTATGGTGCTTATTATTATTATCGAGGTTCAGATTAATGTGATTAATTAGATTAATTCTATTATTGTTGCGACTACTATTATTATTATTATTGTTATTATTATTCAGTTTATTAAGTAGCTTGAGTTTATGGTTATTAAGACTATTATTATTATGATGGCCTTGCTATTGGTGGGCCAAACATCTATAGAATATTCGCTAATTCTGGTGGCATAAAGGGTTAACCATCTAATGTAGAATTTAATAATAATTTACCTCCTGCTCCTATATGTATTTATGTAGTTGTTTAGATTCCTGGCATAAATTAAAATCTCTATTATTATTACTATTGATTTTAATTTTATTATGGTTATTATTGGGTTGATTGGGGATTAGTAATTGCCATCAAATGAATTGTTTGATCATCTTCCTTAACTTATTGTTTTATAATGTTAAATACTTATTTCATTTAATTTCTGATTATCTTAAAGAGCCTTTCCCAAAAAGATCAATCTTTATCTATCTATTGGAACTTAAGATTTAGTAAAAATTTCTTTTTTCAGGTCTGCAATCGTAATCTAAGTTTATTTTTATTTTTAATACATCTTAGTTGACTTCAAGCTCAAATACTTATTGAGATATTGTTTTGACTTTTAATTTTCTCTTCTAATTAATATCCATATTTCTTTATAATAATTTAAATATATATATAAAGTATTTATTTCAAAATTTGAAGAATATTTAAGTAATTATTTAAGATTTGAATTTTAATCATTTATAGATACATAATTTATCTTCAAAGATTGTTCAACATTAAAATCTGTTTTTCAAAATATCAGATTTTGGTTACTTTTTTTCGTAAGATGTGTCTGTTCTAGCAGTGTTAGAAAGTATGTTCTTAAATTAATTTTGATTAATAGATTTTGCTACATATCGTTAATAATATTTTGGATTTTTAATTTCTTTTAATGGCAAGATCAAAGAGGCCATTTGTTTACTAACAGGAGATACACTCATTTTATGTTGATATTCATTTCTATTGCTTTAACTTTATATTTCTATCTAAATAGGTTTTATAGGTATCTTTCTATATGTAATTCCAATCATACACTCTTATGGGTCAATAAAATCATTAATTGACTTTTTCAAGTCTTTTATATTTAGTTAAAAATATGCTAAATTTGGAAGTTTTTCTTTTGCCATTTATAGTGTATAAAACCAACACAAACTGTTTTCAGAAGGTTAAACTTAATTCAGCTTTTATAATAAATCGCTGTTTATGTACTAACTCATTTTTTCAGGAATACCATTTAAAGTAATTTTAGAATTTATTGGAAGTAAATCACAAAGTTTCATAAAATCTTCACAATTATCTTCATTTTATAGTACTATGCATAAAAATATGCAAGAAACTTTACGAAGAGGACTATTTTTTTTTTCATTCAAATTCTTCAAAATTTTCTATAGGTCTTCTTAATTGAATGATTCAAAAATTTAACGTTTAATAGAAGGATTGTTATTCATGTATTCAATCAATCTCAACATTGATTCAATTAAAGAATCTACATCTTATTCAGAATGTTTCTTTAAATTAAGCATGCAGTATATTAAATTTATTTATAATGTTTATTTTTAAATAGTACTATTTATTTATTTGCTTGAAAATAATTAAAGAGTAATATGATAATATGAATAATATAAATTTCAATCAATACTAAAGTTTAAATTTCTTGAATTTATTTTAGGTAGTCTTTTAGATGCAGAATTACATCGTTTACCTTAATATGTATTATTATATTGTCTTTAACCAAGTATGTCTACTCCTAGAATACTTTGGATCTTCTTAACTTTTTATTATAATGACATCAAATCTTACTATGGTCTAATATCCAATAATTAAGCTAAGTTTATTTATAAATATACTTTTTCCAACTATTTATAATGGATGACGATTCAATTCATAAAATTTTGAATCACTAAAAATCTCTTCTCCACTTTTATCTGTTTTGCTTGGTTTTTCTATAGTAGCATATGGACTTTTATCCTAATGTTTAAGATTATCTCCTTAAATTTTTTCTACAGATGATATCTAAGTTCTCAAATCTTTTAAATCCTATACTTATTTTTCAATCCTTTCAGGACTTTTATTTGGAGATACATTTATTTATTTTGTTGATTTTGATTATTCTGTAATTAGGATAACCTAAGAACAAGATTGTGTATTTCTAGTAGATTCTTGTATAGTTTAAAATTATTCATTTTCTGCCATTTAGATTGATTTATGAATTTAAGTATATATCTATGATATATATCTAAATAAATTGTCAATAATTAACAATTAATCTTTTGTAGATTATTTCTAAATTGTTTGAGTTACCCCTTCCTTTTTTTGATAAAACCTTTAATGAAGCTACGAACCTTTTAAAATATTATTTAACTTTTCTTTTGTTTGATTACAAGCTTCTGCATGAGTATTTATTTGCTACTCTAAAGATGTTGTCTTCTCTTGAATAGAGTTAAATAGTCTCTCATGTTCACTTGTAAGTTTTTCCATCATATCTTGATCTTCTTATTTACATTGAGAAAATACTTTTTATTCTGAACTCTTTAAACAGATTTATATATAATTATTTATTGAATCTGTCTTATTATTTATTTAAGATAAAAGATTTTCATAATTCTATTGTATTTTATTAAACTCAATTTCAATATTTTGCTCTAATTAATCAAATTATTACTTTAATTAGGTACTTAATGTTATTATTCTACAATAATTAAAATTAATTACCCTTTTGTTTAGGTAGTTATTGTTTCTTTAAAAATTTAATTTTTATTTGTAATATCATTAATTTATTAATTAAATTCCTTTTCAAATTCAATTGTTGAATTTTTTGTTATTGTTATAGCACTTGAAAGTTCTTCAATTACTCTTTCTGATTTTCTTAAATATGTGGAAAAGTTTTAAATTTGATAATATTATTATTAAATCTTTTCATCTGTCCATTTTTGCATTTCATCCACTTTTTATTTTAAAAGCTCATCAATTAACTTTAAAGCTTTTTCAACTAATGTTTACTGAAGTAATTGATTATTAATTAGGTTATTTTGTATTGTGTTAACAATAAATTTATCGTTGGCCTTTTGTTCAAATTTTTTATCCAATTTATCTACTAACTAATCTAGATATATTAATTTATTGAACATCTCTTCTCTTAGTTTAATTTCTTCTTCATGTTACAATAATTTTTATTCTTCAATTCCTTTTATTTTATTAAAAAGGGTAGATTCATGTTCCTAAAATATCTTTTCGACTCTTTAGTTCAATTTCTCTTGAATCATATTAATACTCTAACTATAGAATCATTATTATACAGAAGTATTTAGATTTTATTAGTTTATGATAACATTTATTTTATCATTTAATGATGCTATTTCTTCTTTTGATTAAATCACATATAAATTTGTATTGGTCGACAATTATTTTAGATCTGTATAAAGATTATTTATTCTTATTTCCTAAGATGCATTTTAAATAATATTCATAAATCAAAATAATTAATGAATTATATAGCTTATTAAGTGATAAATAATATTAAAACAAAAGTATGATAAAGTTATTGAAAAAAGTCATTTTAATTAGAATATTGCATTTCTAAAAATGGAAGTTGTTAGAATAGTATTTATATTTAGTTATATAATAAAAATACTTATTACATGGGAAAAATAATTTGTAATCATTTATTCATAATTTGTCTCTTGATCTTAATTTATTTTTTATCATATGTTACATTAGTAATTGAACCCTATTATCCTAATTAGATGGAAATGTTAGAAAATTCTTTCATGTTCTTGTTTCTTCCATTCAACATACTATATTCTCGACTGGAATTTATTTATTAAGAACTATTATTTTTATTATTATTTTCGTCATTTTTAAAATTAGATACATTAATAGTTTCAATAGCATAAGTTTTTTTGATCCAAGGTTTTTATTGAGTACTATCTATTTCTTCTGATTATTGAGCTAAATAGGATAGTGATTAATCATTTTATATATTATTCTGTTATTCAATAATTTCTGTTTAAGGTGAATCCTCTTTTTCGATTTCTTCATCATATATTAATATTTTTATGATAGGAGTAGGTTTAAATAAATGAGGAGGCCCATTCAATTTGTATTATTGTTTGTTGTATAATAATTTAAGTTCATCTCTTGATTTTTAAGAATCTGAGAAGCACAAAGATGATCCCATACTTGGAATACTTTATTAAATTAATAAAATTACATACAATTTATAAAAATATTTAATGATTTAGAAGAGAAGAAATAAGAAAAAGAGAAATAAGAAGTATTAAATACTTGCAATCAAATTACAACATAAATTATATAATAATTGACAGAGTAGATAAATTTAAATTATATTTACTAAAATATGGTAAAAGAATTCTTAGCTCAGAAAATGAAAATAATAAGTAATAAAACAAAACAACATTAATTTGAGAATTTAAAGATAATAAAAATAATGAAAATTTTAAAGTTTAAGTTTATCAAACATAAAATAGTTATTGTTTTTCTATGAAAATGGCTCCCACATTATTATGAAATCGATTATCAATTCCATCTAAACCTTATCCCCAATCATATCCAGTTGCATAAGCCAAAAAATAACCATCTGGCGAGATTTGACTTGCAATAACAGGAGCATCATATTATATAGTAGTAATTTTATTTTTCTTTTTCAAATCCCAAAAAATAATACTACAATCAGAAGCACTTGTGCTAACCCAATCATAAGATCTACTATTAAATTGGAGAGAATTAACAACATAATATGTATTAATTTTTTCTGGTTTAAATGATGTTTTTGAATCTTCTTCTCTTTTGTGACATTTATATACAATTCTATTATTTGCTTCTAATCTATCTGACATTTCCATTACTGCTCCTCTTCCATCAATTGAACAATATCCCATTTATTTTGAATTATGAGAAATTGATAAAGTACTTATTTATGATCGATTTCCTAATTTAGAATCTTCAACTTCAAAAATATTTCTAGAAACATTGCTATTTAAATTCCCTCTTATTTTATCCCATGAAAACCATTTAACTTTACAATCTATATCAGCATATACAAACATCCTTTCATTTTAATCTTATTCACCTACTGTAGGTATGCTAGTTAAGTTTAATTCATAAACTGGTTATGGTTTCATTCCCATTGTATTTTACTTAAGTGACCATAATTTTAATTTTTTATCTAGACCCAAAGAAACTAAGACTTACAAGTCTTCATTCCAAAATACTTATCTTGCTGGACTATCATCATGATAACCCAAAATTATATTTTACCCTGTTCTTACATCATAAACTCTTACTGTATTATCCGCCAATGCTGCAAAGATCATTGTCATATCTCTCTTCCAGCTAACAGAAAGCACTCTAGATAATTAATTATTATCTTACGGCTCTTAACAATCGATTGCACTTTTGAAGTCAAGAGCAATTTAAGTCTATATTCCACTCTGAGTAAGAATTTAATAAAATCGTATATAACCATCCCAAGCTCCAGTTGCAAATATATCATTATTACCAAATCTAATTTCTGATACAGAATCCATCAAATTATCATTTGTAATTCTAGGAGTCTAATATTTAAGAAATATGAGTACTTATATTTGGTTCATCATTTTTGTTATATATTATACTAAAATTATAGTAAAAAATATTAATTTTAATTAAAATAAAAAGAACTTTTAATATGATAAAAAATCAGTCTAGAAATCACAGTTTTTATTCATCATCAACTTCGTAAATTGCTTATTATTATTAATTATATTTAGAACAATTAAAATTTTTTTTTGTTTCTGCTTATTGATTAATTCTTGGACTGTTATTAAAATTCATTCTTCCAGAATCAGGAGATTAAGTATCAGGAGTAAGTTATTCAAATTCTTAAGTAGAAAACTTTTTTAAAACGCTTTTTTTAGGTAATTCAGTTGGAGATCTTTCTGCTAAACTCAAATTTTTAATTTAAGCTTATTTAACAAATCTAGGACTATTTATAGTAGGAAATCGTATAGTTGTTTTTTCATCTTCAACATCATCTTCATCTTTTTCAATAGAAATTTATTTAGTTTCAGGTAATTATATACGATCTGATTTTTCTAGTTTAAATGTTTAAGTTTGCCAAGGTTTAGAATTATTATTTAATGTTTTTTTTTATAATTAAAATTTTAGTTTTCTATCTTAAAATGGATCTTTAAAAAAAGGATGTTCTAATGCCTACTATGCAGTAATTCTATAATTGGGATCAATTTTAAGCATTTAACTAATTAAATCTATGGCAGATTAAGGTGCTTAGAACATATTTAGAGTATCTAAATTTATCATACATCTCTTATTCAATTTTAATATTTCATGGTAATCATTTCCTGAAAACAATTCCTTAGAAGTTATTCTAATTAAATAATTATTAGATATTACAATTTATAAAATATGCAGCCTATACTAAAAATGTCACAAATTTTGTCATATTTTATTGTAAGATCTTTCATATTTGCAATCTCAGGTGCAACATATCCAGGAGTACCACATTTAGGAAATGGATAATTATTAACAGTAGTTGATGTTGCTAATCCAAAATCAACAATTCTTAATCCTTAAAATATGTCTTATGAATTTTTAAACATAATATTTTCTGGCTTTAAATCTCTATGCATGATATTTAAAGAATGCATATATTAAACTGTAGTTAATAATACCTTAAATTTATATCTTTGATTAATACCATCATTATTGATTTTATCTCTTCCCAACCTAATTATAGGATTCCTTTTGTTATTATATCTTAAAGAGAATTACCTTTCAAATATTCTAATATAATATAATATGTATTCTCTCCTTCATACACTTCTTCTATTTTAACAATATTTTCATGTTTCAGAGATGCCATCAAATTTATTTCATTAAATAAAGCTTACTAATCTTATTTAATAATATATTTACAAATCCTCCATCTTCTTTTAAATATCTTTTTTCTACATTTTTAGAAGCAAACTCTTAATTTGTATATTTTTCATTCACTAAATAAACCTATTACTTAAAATTAGTATTACTTTTGAAGAACCTCCTCTTCCCAATTATTTTATTGGTGTATAGAACTCACTCACATTACGATACATTACTTTATTTCTCAATAAAATCTTTAATTTTCTTAATTCTTCAGATTCACCATTAAAATATTTCACTTCTCCTTTGTATTCCAATCCGACTTATAAATAAATTTGTTTCTCTTATTCCCAATACACTTTTGTTTAAAGATTGACTTCAAAAACATATTTTGGTTATTATGAATTCACTTCCTTTAAAAATAAATTTATCTTCTTACTTATGTTAAGATTAAATAATTTTCAAGTAAGAACAAATAGTATGTAATATCTTTAAGAAAATGTTTTCTAAAACAGACCATTTTAAATATAGATTTTTCATAATCGAATGAAGGAAGTTGAATCATTAATACTGCAAAATTATATTAATTTAAACACAAATTAAATTAAAAATAATTTAAATTTCCTACTTTAATATTAATTAATCTCAATTAATTAAATTAATTCAATGAATATGAAATCACTAATTTTCAGATTTTCCTATGACATATGAATAATCAAAAGCTTTATTAGAATAATCTAAATGTGATGAAGAATTCTTTAGGACTATCATAGGATTAAGTATATAATTAAAATAATTCGTTAATGAAGATGATATTTAATCTTTGACTAACTTTTTTAATTAAAATTCAGGTATGATTCCTTTTTTAAGAATATTTATTGATGAGTCATCTGAGTAAGCTGTATTATATAGATATGAAGAAATCATAAAATATTTCATCAATAATAGTTATTAAGTTACTGATAAAAGAATACTTATAACTTTATTATAAACAACTAGTTTCTTAAAACATGATCCTCCTATTGAAGTCTTAGAATTATTATTAAAAGAAGGCAATGTCAAACCTGATGAGGGTACTGATGATAAATTTAGAACACCACTTCATTTAGCTTGTAAATATGGAATTAAAGATTTCATAAAGTAATTCTTTAAGTATATATGTATATATTAGAATATTAATTGAAAATGGTGCAGATATAAATGCAATAGATAAAAAGAAATTTACTCCTTTGATGTATTTGTAAAAATAAATGTAAAAAGAGGAAGGATTAGATTTAATTGAAAAATATATGTATTAAAAAGGAGCAGAAACATATGTTACATCAATATTTTGAATTCTATTTTTAATCAATTTCAAATAAAAAAATACTTTTTCTTTATTTTTCAATACTTTAAGTATTCATAAAACGAAAATTTTAATTTTCATTATTAAATAATATTTCTTTATTTTTATCTCATCTTTTAATATTTTGAATGAAATTAAAATTTAGAGTATAAATTTTCTTAATTTACATTTCTTTTATAAAATTTGACAAATTTATTTCAGAAATTATTTTAATAAATATATATGAATTAAGAAGAACAATAAATTTAAGAAAATAAGATTGAAGATGATAGAAATAATTAAGAATTATAGCAATTCTGTGATCATGTCTATTAAATTTAAGAAAACTTTAAAGATTATATTACAAAATAATAAGGAAATTAAGGTGAAGATAATCAAAGACTTCTTTTATAGCTATAAGAAAACTTTGAATTAATAAAATAGAAAATATCTGCTTTGAGAAGATCTGAAGTAATAGAAAACTAAGAAGAATTATAAAAAATGATTGATGAAGTGACTAAAATAGTTTAATAAACAAATGAACCATTATAATAAATTTGTAAATATCAAGTTTAATATGTAGAATATGAAGGAAATGACTTTGATGGATTAGAATTAGAATTTACATAACCAAAAAGGATTAAAGGAGTTAAAAATGCTCAAGAAAGAAAACAAGAGAGAAAAAGAGCTAGAATATTGAAATCAAAATAAGCACTCTAGGTTTTTAAGAAATATATAATTGTTTCATTAATAGCTTTTTAAAAGTTTATAAAAGATCCAGAAAACATTGCTAAATTATTTGTAATAGCTGTAAGTTGTTTTTTTGTGAGTTCATTTTTATAAATTCCTGATATGAGTAAAAGACATAGTTTATATATACTTGAATGGTTAGCATATAATAGATGTGCTCGAGTAGTTTTAATTAGTGGATCCTTTTGTTTTGTATCATTAACATGGTATATTATTTTATTAATTTGGATGGGATTTATGGGATTAAATGAAACAAAAGGTAAACTAAATACTCTTATTCATGAATGTAATCCAATATTACAATTAACATTATTGTTTATGACAGACAATGACCTAATAAATAATAAATTGGATTTAGCTATTTGGTTTTGTTACTTATTTCAATATTCAACCTATAGAGTTTATTATATACATTCGGTAAATATTATTAAAAAGATACTATCAACATTGACTTCCTAAAATTTTAATAGAGTGTATCAGTTTTAATAAATTTATATATTTTCATTGATAATTTTAGTGATGAATTTCGTTATCACTTTTTTTGGTATTTTGATGCTACATAAAGTTGGAATATATGCAATGAGCTTATTATTTTATGGAGGAATTTAAACTTTGATTGAATATACCAAATTAATTTTGGTTTGTAAGAAATTACAATAAAAATATACCTATTTTATAAACAATAATATCGAATAATTAACTGAACCTTAATTTTATTAGGAAATAATTCCAGATATTATGTATTAATTTGTGAAAATTCTCTATTGTTCTTAATTGATAGTGAATTACTTTAGAACAATTAATTTTCATATATTCTTACATCTCTGGTTATTCTAAATATTCTCAGATTTATAAAGTAATATAAATTTTAATACTATTAGGTTCTTTGTAATCACTTAAAAAGAATGTAGATTAGTTAATAAAATATAAAAGAGTCTAGTAACATCTCGATTTCTTATTTCCTAGAGCTATGGATATATAAGAAGATGAAATATGTATAATATGTCATGAAGAATTGATTCTAGCTAGAACTTTACCATGTTAACATAAATTTCATTTAAAATGTTTGTTTGGATGGTTAAAAGCATAATAATAATGTCCTATTTGTAGAGCAGATGTTCCTATTGAATTGGAATAACCATAACAAATTTTTAGTAGAATATTTAGTTTCATAACTTAATTTAGTATTTCAAACTTTACATTATTTTTCTATATTAATAGTGGAAGATAGTAAGACTTTTAATTGACAGAGTGGGAAGAACAAGCTTTATTAGGATAATAACTATTATAGTAATAATAGTTAAGATAATAACAATAATAATAATAGTAAAGAGATCAAGAATAAATATAATAGGAGAGATAATAAATCTAATAATAATAATAATAACTTCAGTAATAATAGTAATATTTATAGTAATAACAAAGATTACTTTAATAATAATAATAATGGTAATAGCGATAAAGTTAAGAATAATAATAATTAAGTGAGTAAAATGAAAATTCTAAAACATAGTTAAAATAATGTTAAAAATAAAGAGAAGATTTATAATATTCATAAGAAGAAGATAAAAATATAGGGGAAAATTTTTTAATATAGAAAATTGAATAAAAGGATGGATAATAAAAAAAAGAAGAATATTAAGAAAAAGAAGAAAATTAGAATAAAGAAAAGAAAGAATAAGAAACTGAATATTAATAGTAGATATAATAATTTGAAAATAAAGAAATTTAAGAGTAATAAGATTTACGAGAAGTCTTGGAAACGAAAAATTAGAAAATTGAATAAATTAATTAAAGTCCTAATTTTACTGAATGATAAATAAAATATATAAAATAGATAATTGTTAATCATGATTTTGAGTATTATTAATCCATATCATGACTTTCTTGATGGCTACTTTCACAAAATCCTTTGATATTAATTTACAAAGCAATTTTCTTAATTTTCTATTTTGAATATTTTTAAATAGTTATTTTGTAATAAAAATCTATTTCATTAAAAGGATTTTAACTCCGTTTTCGTGAAATATTAATATACAGCTATTATTGAATTCAGCTATTATTATTTCATTAGGACAAGTGATAGTATCTAAATCTGTATCTAATATAGATAATGAATCCAATTAATTTATTTATTATTTTCTGACATTTTATTATATAAAATATGAGTTGTAAGATTAGTAAGCTATTTTTATAAAATAATTGATAGCATAATAAATATCATTAATATATTATTTAATTTTTTGATGAGTGCACTCTTTGTTAAATGCTTACAATGTAATTAAAAGCCTGCAACTATCAAATGTTAATAATGTAAATCAGGATAAATTGTCAGATTGTGTTATAATTGTGATCAAAAAATCCATAATAAATAAGCGCCAATTGATCAATAACATAAAACATCAATCATTCCTTATTAAGGTATGCTTATAAATCTGATTAAAACTAGAGATGTATTCTAAAGCACCTCAATCATCAAGTGCAATGAATCTAGTGAATAAAAATGATCAAGAATTTTAATCAAAAAAATAATAGTCCAACTAATAATAACAATTATCTAAAGTTCCTTTTGCAACTAAATAGGAACCTACTTAAAATGTTTAGAGACCTATTTAAAATATTGTTAAAGTAGCTTAACAATAACCATAAAAAGAAATTAATTTTTCCAACTAAAGATAAAATAATAAAGCAAATGAAGAATATTAAAATAGCTCTTAAAAAAATTCGGTATTTTGTTTAATTATAATGTTAGGATTAAAAAAATTAATCTCTTGTTAAATAATTAGATGAAGAAAAAGAATAGAGTTAGTAATTATAAAAAGAATTAAAAAAAACATAGGATTAATTAAATTAAGTTTCTAGAGAAGCAGAAAAGAAGATGTAAATTAATATTATAATTTTATAGAAAATAATCTCAATAAGATTTGGAGAAAAAGTTGAATGAATTGAAAAAAGAGAGCGAAGAAGAAAAGAAAAAAACATAAAATCTTACATCTGATGTTAAGAAGTTAAAAGATTAGATAAAAAATGCAGAAGCATAAACATAAAAAAAATTAGATTAATAAAAAAAATAATTTGAAAAACAAATATAGGAATTGGAATAAGTAATTTTGGAGAAATAATAATAAATTGATGAAATAGCTTAAGAATTTTAAAATTATAATTTAGAAGATATCTAAGCTAAAATGGAAGAGATGGCAAATGATATCAATATGAAAGATTAATTAATAGAATAATTGTAAACTCAATTATAAAATGGAGAAGGAAATGAAAAAGTAGATGAAAATTAAGATAAAGAGGATATCGTATAAGAAATTGAATAGAAAGATTAAGAAATAAAAAAATTAGAGGAGCTTATAGAAAATTTCAAATAATTATATTAACATATGTTAGATGAGAAATAAGTGATAATGGAAGAGAATGAGAAATTAGGGAATGAAAATAATTAATTTAGAGAGATTTTCAGTGTAATAAATTGATAATTTAATTTAGTAAAATCTACATTTATTTGGGATTGATCCTAATTAACTTGAAGAAGAAGGAGAAGGTGATGGAGAAGGAGAAGGATATTAATAAGAAGAAGGTATAAATTAAATGTTATTAGGCGAGATAATTGAGGAAGATGAGACCTATGATACATCTTGATATTTATAAAGATCATTTTCCATAAATAATTAAATTATTATTATTTATGTTATAAATAAAAAGAATCAATTTTAATAAATATTTATTCTGGAAAAGAAATCTAATAATTATTTATACTCAAAATTTTAATTTAATTATAATATTTTAAATGAAATTAAAATAAGGAATTGTTTTCATAGATTGTTAATTGAAATCTAAAGTATATTAAGTAGAAGGCTATGCTATTTCTAACTTTATTAAAAATAATGGCTATAAATTAATCTATTTTAAACAACTTGAAAAGGCTTAACAATTTCAAAAATAAATTCAATAATTATCATAATTGAATTAAGTTGATGCTTTATATTAAAGTATGTTGGATGATATCACTTTTATATCAGTGAAAGGGTATCAAATCTCTATAATTACTTAGTGAAAACTCTGGTTCAATTAAAGTTTTTGATGTTAGAAATTAATAATATAATATTCAATAGGAAAAGACCCAATATGTAGAAAATACAACAATATAAAATAGTTAACTTAATGAAGAATTGAAAGTCAAACAATAGGATTCTTATGGTATATTAGATGAAATTTAATAAAAAACAAATAAGACAAAAATTAGTAGATAGAGATTAATAATACTAGATAAATTAGATTAATAATTTGAGAATCTTTTAATTCATTATCCAAAGAATATAGAAACTATACCTATATAAACAGAAAATCTTTATAGTTTATATTTTAATGGTGCTAGTAAATCTAATCCTGGCCCAGCTGGTGCTGGAGTAGCATTATTTGATAAAATGAAATAAATTAAAGAAATAAGTTAACCTTTGGGAAAGTAAACAAATAATTCAGCTGAGTTTTTTGCATTATTTATAGGAATTAGATATGCTTTAAATTTAGGAATTAATCATTTAGAATGTTTTGGAGATAGTAAAGTATTAATATCATTTATTATTAGCTTGTAATTGATGGTATGAATAATAAGATAAATTTTTAACAACCACATTTAGGACATTTTCAATAGGCTATCAGTAATTATACAAAATTGTTTAAGATGGTGAAATTTATACATATACTAAGAAACTAAAATGAAATTGCTGATAGATTAGCTTCAAATGCTGCCAAATAACAAAAAAATATTGAGTAGTGAGTTTTTAATAATAATTTATAATCAAAAAAGAAAATACATATAAATAATATTTATGTTAAAATATTTAAGAGTACGCAATCCAGACTTTGCTGATCGACAGTAACCTAGTATCTTTATTTTCTTATTTTTAAAGGTTCTATTGATATATTAGATTTATATTCTGTAATTATTAGAGATCATTAAATTGAAGACTAATTAAAACATATTTTAGTTAAAGACACATATGAGTAAAAATAATTAAATAGACTTAGATTTGAAACCATTTATAAATCAAATATAACCAATATGGAACTTTATACGCAATTAATTTAATATAATGTTGATGCTTTTATTGATTTGCAGTCTTTTAGATTTTTGCTTAAAGGAGATATTAAAAGTGGAAGAACTCATTGTTTAATTGGCGCACCGTAAGATCCAGGATTATTATTAATATTTACTGGACATGTTTTTTATCGATTAGAAGAATTAAAAAAGCTTGAGAAAAATGACACTTTTGAAAATAGATTTAACTATAAAATGTTTGTATAATTAATATGAAAATTAAGCTAAAATGTTATACAAGAGAAAATAATCAATATTATGATTTATTAACCAATTGTAAAGAACCTTTGATTGATTTTGAAAGTGTCATTTCATTTGATTCCCAACTGTCATTTTTAAAACTACTTAGAATCATTCTCAAAAATATTGACTAAAGAGTATTTATTACTAATATTAAGTTTATAGAAATTTGAAACTGCTAAAGAATATCATATTTATTAATAAAACTAAGGTTCTTTTAGATTGGGTTCAGTAACCTTTGATTTTATACTTGAAAAAACATCAACAACTTGGTATGGAGTCTAAGAAATTAAAAGTGCTCATTTTAAATTTGAAACTATAGATCTTTAAACTCCAACAATCGCATATGATTAAGATAGAGTTATTTACTTTTTAAATCCTGCATTAAAATATCAAAACAGTACTAAAACAATCCTTCGAGATTCAAAGTTTGCTAAAGTTTAAAAATAAACTGAAAAAATAGATATTTAAATAATTAAGAATAAATTTAATTTTAGTAATAGTTTCTATAAATTTAGTTTTAAGATCAATAAAAATAATTAAAAATAGAGATATTTTAATTCAGCTATAATCTCTTTTTAAATAATTTAAGAAGGAAATTGAAAAGCTAAATTTAATGTTAGATTTAAAGGCAGATATAATTGAATAAGTTTAATAACAATTAAAATTGGATATTTAGGCAATAGGAAAAGTAATCACATCAGTTGATGTTAGAGTATATAATTAATTTTAACATAAGGAATTTCTATTATCTAAATTTTTACTTTATTAAGTAAGCGAATCTTTCGATATTTGTTTGCCATACTAAAAAAAAATTGAAGCAATTTTAGTGAAAATTCGAAAAATACAAAAATAAAAGTTTACATTATCTGCTGATTATAATGATACTTGTTTAGAAACAAGAGTATTTAAAGATATAAAAAGAAATTTGTAAGACATTCTTAATTTCATAAAAGATGAAGTTCATACTGAATAGCATAGAGCTTTAAATTATTAAACAATAAAAAATTATATTTAGGAAGATTTTGTTTAACAATTACCAGAACTTTAAATAGATGATATAATCCAAGTTGAGATAACATAATAAAGTACTAATTCTTAGTTGCCTTTATTGGAATAAAAAAAACATAACAGATCAAAATAAAATTCTCTTTTTATTGAAAAATTTAAGAATGGCGACAATGTGCTTAGCATTGATTAAACTTTAAAATTAATTAAATAAACAGCAAGATCGAATTTAGGTATTTCAACTGGAAGAAGTCATATACCACGTTTAAAAACAGATAAAGGAAGCATATAATAATAATCAACAAAATAATAATTAAAATTAATAAAGATTGATATAACACCAAGAGGTATGACTCTTTAAAGTCCAATGTTTATCAATTTGGATACTGATAAAACTTCTTTGATGGTTTAAAAATAAAAAGAATTTAAAAACCCAGAAGATTATAAAAAATTGAATTCTGTAATAAACAGTAATTCTAAAATTTTGAATACTATGAGTTAATTAAGCAATGATTAGTTATAAAATAGTGTTTTGTCATCTGAAGAAATAATTAAAGGGTTTTAAAATAAAGTAAAATTGAGTAAATGTAAATAAAATAATTTTATGATTAGAATAATCATTGTATAAGATGCCTAATCTTTCTACAAATTACTTAAACTGTTTAGAAAGAATGGTTAATTTAGATATAAAAAGTAAACAATGAAAATTTATAAATTTATTTAAATCCAATATTTCAAAATAACACTGCCAAAATAAATAGATTTATAATGATAAATGAAATGCTATAAGAATTATCAATCTAATTAAATATATATAAAGTTTTACTGGGCAATATAAACAAGATGATCCATTCCAAGTGCAAGAATTAATACTACAAGATGATGAAGTGGTATAAGTAGAACAAGGAGTATATGAACATTTACCATTTTACCATGAACATTCATAAGAGGCCATTCTACTACATTCATATTACTAATAATGATAATAGAAAATACTGATTCCATGTCAGAACATTCTAAATTATTAAAATTTTCACATTATTTCTTCTTTTAGATGCAAAAAGGTATTGAATTACAATCATTATTATCCAAAGATAATCGATTGCATGTTTAAAATTTAATACAATTTTAGGTTTAGGAATTCCAAAAGCATTATATTCCTGTAGGAGTTATTCCATTACACTTATCTTAAGTTTAAAAACTACAATCTTCATATGGAAGACAATATCCATCATTAGCTACACAACCAAATACTTAATTGCAAATTTGTTTATTTGTATAATAATTACACTATTATCCATCATGACATTTATCCAAATACCAAGCACATTAAGGAGCAATACATTTTGATGATGTTTGAATTTCTGTACAATTAGATTCATAACAGTTTTTTCCATTCCAATTGCACTATTAAAATTAATTACAGTATTAAGGTTGAGTAAAATTTGAACAATAACACTATTCTGCCCCTGAAATTATTTCTATAAGAAACAATAATGTAAATAGATTATTCATTTTTATAAATTTATTTATAAAAGTAAACTTAGTAATCATTAATAATATTATGTATTAGGATTTCCAAACCATGATGTATTTGCAGTGTGGTTTTTAGAATAATCTCTATATGATTTTGGAGTTACACTTCTAACTATTAATTTAGATATTGGACTCATTTGAAATTTCTGAGATTATCTTTCTAGAATTTCTTCTTATTCTCTATTTTATTATTTCATTTATAAATAATTCTAATATTATTACTATCTATCCATAAATTAACAACCAAAAAATTTTTGATTTACTATATCTTGAGAATGTTTTAAAATTCTAGGACTGAAACTCTTTTATTAAAAATCTAATTCCTAATTCATTTACTCTTTTTCCATTCTTTATTTAAAAACTTTCATCTCTGTTTTATTAACCCTAAATTCATTAAATATTTATACCAATTTTATTATGATTTATACCATTAATCAAACTGCTTTTTATTTATTGGTGTCTTTTTTATATTTTCCTGAGTCTTTTAAATTTCATTTTACTCTTTTACACAATTATATTCTGTCTTAAATCTTTAAGTATACTTATTTATTTAGTTTGTTTCTTATTATTTTGTCTTTAAATTTTATGGTATATTTTTTTATTTTAAAATTTAAGTTGTTTGAGTTGATTTGTTTAAATTTGAGTCCATTATTTATTGTAATTAAATAATAAATTTTGTATTTGTTGGAATTTTGCATGAAACTGTTAATTGTGTTTATGCTTCATGATTAACTTTTTTTATTTATATTTTTTTATTATTTTAAAGCATAACTTTTTAAATAGGAGATTTAGATGTTTTATTTGTATTAAAATTCGAGTAAGTTTAAATTTCTGATTTTCTATCAGAAATAGGAGTTATAAGAGATTTTTTATTAGTAGATGAAAAATTTGTTAAAAATTGATTTTATTGTATTTATCCATTTTCTTAATTAGAATTAGATTCTGTAGATATTTGATTTTTTAAAGTTTAATTAGTAGAGTAATTTGTTTCATAATTAAATATTTGAGGAGATATCATTGATTCTTCTGTCTTTAAATATTTATCTAACTCCTATCTTTTAGATTAATACTTCAATTATAATTCAGCAACTTGAATTATAAAATAATTTTTTACTTTGTTTTTGTCTAATTAAATATTATTAAGTTTCATAATCTTCTTCATCACTCATTTATTCTTGAGATTGATACATGATTTCAAAATTATCAAATTTATTTATAAATAAATTATATTTAAATTATAATTACAAAAATTGATTGAAGTAGATTTACAATGATATATTTTCAATACTTAATAAATATAAATAATTTGAGAGAATCATTTTCATAAATTTAAGAAATCTCAAAATATATTTGCAAATATTAATTTGAAATAATTGATTAAACAAGATTTATCATTAAATTAGATATATATTTTCTTTACTTGTAATACCAGTTTATGGTCTTGAAGCATATGAAACAATTTGAGAAACAGATTTGCCTCTTTTTGTTGGTTCAATTTATTTAATATCTATATGTTACGACTAATGTTTACTCAGACTTTAACTTACTTTAATAAATAAAATCATACCTTTTTTTCTTAAATAAAATGGAGGTAATAATGCAATTTGTTTTTCTTATCTTAAGCTAGTTTAGATTAGCCGATTATTTTTACGATTAAAAAATTAAATTTATTTTTAGATTTATGATATAGATTGATTGATTGAAAATCTCTAATTGCTATTTTTAATCATTTAAGAGTTATCAGGGATAGATTAATTATTATAATCAAAAGAGGATTGTCTTTATAATTTTGAATTCTCAAACGAATTTAAATTATCATATTAGATAGTCTAAAGTTTAGATGGTATTTATTTCTAATCATAAATATATTTATAATCTTAAGGTCTAATAGGAAAATTATAGATAATGCATCCTGTATTTAATTCTTTTTTTAAATTAGGAAATTTGCGTGATTGAATTGTATTGAGACTTTAGAGTTTCTCAATAACTTCTAGATCTAAAATTCCTTTAATTCGCTTTTCAGATTCATTCTCAACTCTAGTTTTTGATTTATGGATAATGGAGTTTTTTTTCATATAAATGTTTTATAATTAAATATATGTGAATATGTAAATATAATTTCCTAATATTTAAGTAATGTTAGAATTTTAATTGGATGATTTTGAATTTAATCTCTATTATTGTGTTTAGATTTATTATGATTTCTAATTGTTTTTCTGAGTTTGTATAATGTTTTTCAAATAAACAAGAAAATAAAAGAAATTTTATATTTAAAATATATAATTGCTTATGTCTAATATCAATCATTCCGATGATGAAGAAATGTTTGTAATAATTAACATTTTTACTTTAGCTTGTGAGTAAAATTCAAGCATAAAAAGTAGAAATAGAAGCTCTTTAAAAATAATAAAGAGTTTAGGAATTTTAATTTAAACAATAGATATTAGAAGTAATAGATATATTTGATATTAAGCTTACAAATGAATTAGAGAGAGAGAGAAAGAGAACAAGTGAATTAGAGAATGAAATAACAACTTAAATTAGTTCAATAGGGCAAGGTGAAATATAATCATTTGCTACTTAACTTGAATTAAAGTTATCAGAAGCTGAAAATAAATTATTAGAATATAAAGCTAATGAAGTTTTATATGTGAATAATTTTATAGTTAAAATTGCAAAAAGAAATTTAAAGTTTAAAAAGAAAACCTGAGAATGAAGAAATAGATGAATTAAAATAATAGTTAGTTAAAATGGAGGAAACAGCAATTGCATTAATTGTTGAAAAAGAAAAAGTTATTTAAGATCTTAAAAGTTAACTTGAATGTTCAACATAAATTATAGAGATTAATTAAAATTAAATACATATATCTGAGATTGAAGATGAAAAGGATATAAAAATTTAAAATTTAAAATAATTAGTATAGGAATTAAATTAGAAAATAGAATAAGATTAGTTACATTTTGATGAAAGAATAATGAGATAAGAACATGAAATAACAGAGCGAGTATTAGATAGCATAAGTCATTAAATAAATGAATCAAAATCAGTAGAGTAAGATTTACTTCATTAAATAAATCTTTATGAAGAAAAAATAAAGAATTAAGATAAATTATTAGTAAATTAAGAAAAACTATTATAATAAGTGAAAGATGAGAAATATAAAGAAGTTAGTTTTTATGAAAGTAGACATGTTGAAATCTAAAAAAAGTTATCATAAGCGTTATAATAAGTATTAAAAAGTGATAGAAAATGTGAGGATACATTTAAATAACATACGAATATATAAAGAGAAAAAACAATACTCTAAAAATAAAGAGATGAATAAGTTAAATTAAATGTTAAATTGGAAAATAATTTAAGAAAATAAATTTAAGATATGGATGAACTTAGATAATATAATAATAATTGTTAATAATAAATAGATGATTTAGAATAATAAATTAATCATTTAGAATAATAATTGCAAGATACAAAGTTTTATTATGAAGAATAATTATAAATGTAGAAAATTCATTCACCAAGTGAACGATAACCTTCCTTATAAGAAGAATAAGGATAGGGAGGAAATTTACTAAGTGAACTGTTAACAGAAGAAATATCTATTGAAAAACCTCATAATACTTAATAAAGTGAGGATAGTTTCCATTAATAAATTCCATAAACACCTTAATCAAAAAATGGTTAAGTGTAAATGTTTGCATCCTCTAGAATCTCTAATTAAAGTATGAATACAAAAAGAAGATATTAAGAAATTGAATAGTTAAAATTAGAATTACATTCATTTAAACATTAAAATGAGTATATATTATTATTATTCTATTAGATAATTAGCAGAAGAAATAGAAAATTATGAGCATTTAGTAGGAGTTTTATAATAAGAAATAAAAGCTTAGTTATTAGAAATCTAAAATTTAAGAAAAGGAAAACTTGATTATTCTTAAGAAAGAGATTTAAGAATAGATTAAGAATAATTAAAATAATCACTTCATAAACTTGAAACACATTTTATTACAGCTAAATTAAGTTGGGCTGAAGAAGTTAATTTCTTGAAATCAGAAGTAAAAAGAGCAGAAAAATTAGCATAAGAAAGTACTATGCTATACAATTAAATTTTGACAGAAAAAGAATATTTTTAAGCAAAATTGAAGAAACTTGAAACTTAAATTGCTAAAAAAGAAAAAAAAAATTAAAATTCTTAAAATACTCCTTTAAGTCCTATCAAAGAAGATGATCAAACAGTAAAAAAAAAAGGATTTTTATCATATTTCGGAAAATGAAATATAAAATTTTGTTGATAATATAATTATAAATTCTTATAAATTTCTTATCATAATAATCTTTTTATTAATTTTTAGTATTAATGAAAATAAGTTAAAGATATCAAAAAAAGATTTAAAATGGTTTTATGAAATTCAATTCGTTTAATAACTAAATATATAGTGTTTATCAAATTTTTAATAATCATTAACAATATTTTATTTTTAATATATATATATTATTTTTTATATATACATGATGAATCGTGATTTACAACCACCTTACAAATTAGATCCAGATTCAACAGAAAGAATAATAAAAGATTTATTGATATATAAAGATGCTTAATTAAAAGTCATACTTAAAAAATATATTGAAATTACAGCACCATAAGAAACATTGAGTGAAGAAAAATTGTAAATTAATCGAATAAATAAAAAGACAATAATTAGCTGCTGAATTTTAAAAAGAAATAGCTGTTTATGAATTTTAAATAGCGAAAGCAGTCAGATAACTTGAAGCATAAAATTTTGATAGAGAATAAAATTAAGAATTAAATAAATCAATAAGTAATTGTATTGATGATTTTTTTAGTTGAAGGGATAAAAAAAACTGATTATGAAATAGAAAATCTAAAAAGGGTTTATTAGATTGAAGAATAAATAAAAATTAATAGATAACACTATGAATTTTTATCAAAATAAATTAGCAGTTATGAAAATGTTGATAAAGTTGTTAAAAATATTGAAGTTGCAACAAAAAATATAGATTAATTAAAGATCCAACATAAATAAGCAGAAGAATTAATAAAAATTAAAGAAAAATAATTATTCATGATGGTATATTTGTTTTATAATAAATTAGTTGCATCTAATGTAAGATTTAATTGAGGTAAAGAATGAATAATGAAGGTGTTATTGTTTTGTTTTGAATATTATAAAATTAAAAGAATTAAACATTTAAATAAAAGGCAAAATAACTACCAAACCAAATTGTGAGTATTTTGCTTCAAATACAAATTTAATTAAGACTATTCAATAATTATTAAAGTTAAAAGAAAAATGGATAAGTTGAGTTAAAAGTTAGACAAGTTTTACACAGATTGCTATGATTTAGAAAACTAGACAAGAAATAAGTCATCTTAAAATCATCTAGATCTTAATACATCATTGGATGAACATTTTAAAAATCTTGAGTTTATGTAATACAATGATTAAAGCTTCGAATGTGAAGACTGAGTATCATGAAACAATGATTAATGATTGTTATAGATATAAATATGTATTAGAACTAACAGACTTATTTTTGTTTTATTACGTTTAAATTACAATATTCATAAAGCCTAGATTAGGTATTTTATTAACTGTTTTTCTCTTAACATATTAACCATAATTAATATATATAAATGTCATAGGAATTCAAACAAGAGTTCTTCTAAATTTTAAAGTTTGTGCCCAAAATTAATTAAATTCATTTCACAAGAGTTACAAGAAGAAGAACTATTTTTAATCAAATGAGCTTGTTTTATGTTAACAAGACAGTTTTTCAATCCATGATACAGTTTCATTGGAATTTCCATAACACATGAATTCCATACATTTTATGATTTCATCAAACCTAAAATTTAATTAATAAATACCGTTTATTATATGTAATCTTCCATTCAATGAAATTGGATTAAATCTAGGATCTTATTTTTCTTCATTAGATTAAGTGAGAGAATTCCAGAAATGAAAACCTAATTCTGGCATATCATTTGGACAAGTTTAAAATACTTCTTTTGATTTTTTCAAAGTATCTGTCAACATATCATCTATTTCACAAAATCCATTTATTATGAGAAGACCTCCAATTTTTGGAAGATTATTCTAAATATGAGTCACTAAATATCAAATATTTCTTACTGTAACTTAAGACTTAAAAGCCACCATATCCATATCCAATAAATTTATAAATGTCATTATTTTTAATTATATCTTTTTAGCATAGCTCAAAAAGTAAAGAATCTAATAATAAAGATATATCTAAATTATCTTAAATAATATTTGGATCGAAAACTGTATAAGACTAACCTAAAATAAAAATTTATGTTATACCTGGTAAATTCATTAATAAAATAGTTGTATTCGGTTTTATATTCTATTACATTATATCTAAATATTCAAATGCATTATCAAAAAAGTCTGCTAAAAATATCACTATTTGACGATCTTTTTCAGTTAAATCTAATCCACTATGATTGTCTTTATTAAGTTCTTAATCTTCCTCTTAATTTTATAAAATTAAATATGGAATTGCACATTATTAAAATGTAAAATAGTTTACAGACTCTAAATAGATATCTGGAACACTTTCAGGAGGGTATTCTAAATCAAAAAGTTGACATACATCTAATAAGGTATATTGAATTTAAGGAACTTCAATAACTCTTAGTTTACCTTAAAAGAAGGATATTTTATTTGAATTTATTTGTCTCTAACTTTTACTAATTCTATTTCTTTAAAATTAATTTGATTAACTATCAGATCTTATTAAATGCTAAGATTCCATTTAACTTCTCTAAGATTAAAGTCCTCCTGTAGTCATTTTAGCAGATTAAATTTTATTTGGTTTAGGAGGCTTTGTGTAATTAAGAAAACCCATAGTTAATCTATTAATGTCTATATTATTTGTTTTGGAACTTTAGGAATTTCTTTTTGTATTTTCTAATTATTATTATTAACTAGGCATAAATAATTTAAATGTTTTTGGAGCTTATGAATGAGCAGATTAAATTACTCTAAATTATTTTGCACTTTATATTTTCCTAACCCTAATCTCATTTTATTCTTTTTCAATGTTATTTTAAGATGTTTGTGTTTTAATTTTCTATAATGATTAATTTTAGTTCTATTTTATTCTTGAATCATTTCTTTTTATATTAGATCTTTCTAATTATGATAATTATTAATGAGATGTATTTAAACTTGTTGGTTATTAAGCTAAAGATGATGAATCTCTTTTAATCCATTATTTTTATTATAAATCATTTGATAATCTCTAATCAAAATATTTGCTAGCCAAAGAATAAACAACAAAACAATTTTTACATATTTTAACAGTTTTATAAAGATTTGGTAAATTATAAACTTCTGTTTTATTAAATTTAAATGGATATTCCTCATCAGTATTTATTTTATCAAATTCTTAAAAATGATGTTTAGAATTTCTAGTGAATATTTTATTTTTCATTAGTACTTCAATAACTTCTTAAGAACATTCCCTAGTTCTAAGAATTAATTAAAATGAAATTTCATGGGGAAGAGTAACTGAAAATTTCTCTTCATTCATTTTTTTATTTCCAAAATACTTTTTATAATCTGTGACAATATTTTTACGTATTTAAAGAGGTCCTCTATTCTTTTCTTCCATTATATAATCACAAAAATCACCAACACATCTTTATACTATTAGATTCTTATATAATTTTTAACTTATTTCTTTATCATCTTCATAAATTGTTTAAGGTATTTTCATTGGCTTTTTATCTCTTATCCTTGTAAACATCTTTATTAAAATTAAAAAGTTTTCAAAAGAATTATTATCTTTTAATTCATTTTTCATGCTTTAAATCTCATATGGGGCATTTTCATGGAAATCAACCAAAAGTTCTTTCAAACCTAGAAAATAAATTATTTATGAATCATTTTGCATAAACTTAGCAACTAATTTCTTCACTCTTATTCTGTATGCTTTTTCTAAGAAATCAACTAATCTTTTAACAATCTAAATTTACAATTTTTTATTTACTTTTGATAATGTTTAATTCATTTAATTATCAAAGAATTTAAACATGCAATCAACATATTCAACTTAATCGTTTTTATTACTTTCATCATAACTATCAGAATGTTATGTTTATTATTATAAATGTAATTATGATAATTTTTTTGGCAAAGTTTATTGAATTACTTATTTTTAAGTTGACTTTTTAAAAAATCTATAACTGACAGGTAAATTAATAACATCTTGTCGATATTCGGCATAAAATAATTCATCTAACTTATTAGATTGATTATACCAGCTTTTGAATAATTCTCTAAATGCTCTTATAATATTTATAAACCACTAACATTTCCATCTAAAAACATTTTAACCAAATCAATTTTATTAATTGATTTCTTTGCTTTACTTATTCTTGCAAAAGCTGTGATTTCATTTTTCCCAGCTTTAATAATGTCTAAAAGTGTTGTAAGAGTGTCAATTCGAAAATCTTCGTTTTGTTTTACTTTGCATAATACTCTGCATATCTCTACAAAATTCAATTTATTTGAGTTTTTTTTTAATATGAGTGGAGTTTAGGATGTTTTCGAATTAAATAACCATAATGTTGCTGTACCTTTTGAAAATATTATTGTTTAAGGTATTATTATGTCACACTTAATTTTTTTTTTTGTAAACATCTCTAAAAAGTAAATTGGTGATGTTAGATGAATATAATTTTCATCTCTCTTGTCAAAAAATACAGATTTCTTTTTCTCATTCATTTTAACAAATTATATTTATATTTTTTATAACACAATATTAAATATTCTCTTCAATTCAATTTTTGATCAAAGATGACTACTATCCCAAGAATTAATTAATTAATTTTTTATATTAAAATATCATAAAAGTCTAACTCTTTGCTTATTTTGTTATTCTTATTCCTTTTTCTTGAGGTGATTTTAGTATTCATCAATAATTTTCTACATACACTTTAGTTTTTACTTAAATCTAACATATTATTCATACCTCTAATTGTTCTAATTCAACTTTAAGTTAATCTATATTTTTTTTCCTATTACTATAATCTTAAATTAATTCAGGACGATTCACAATTCTATTTTAATTTTTATAAATACCCTGTTTGTTATTTTAGTTTAAGATTTTCAGTTCTTAATTTATCTTTAGACTCTTTTTGTTCTCCTAAGTTTTTACGTAGTCCTTCTAAATCATCCTTTTTTTTTTCTAAAATCAATTATTAAAATATATTACAATTAATTTTTTCTTAATCTTAAAATTTCGCTTTTACATAACCCAATTTTTCCCTAGTATGAGTTAACATTTAAACTGTCTTTGTATTTTTATTTTTCAATTTATGAAGATCTTCATTTCTTTCTTCAATTTTCTCATTTAAGGTTTGATTTTCAATCTTTAATTATTCAAAATCAATTAAATGTAAACCTTCAGCTAGTTCTTCTTTCTTTTTTAATTATTTTTAATTTTTTGCTAATGTGTTTTTTAATCTTAATGTGTCGAGTCTTAATTCCTATAAAGTCTTATTTTTCGCTTATTCTTATTCTTCCCATTCAGATATTCTTTATTCAGGAATAGATTTATCTGTTCTAGAATATGCAGCCTTTCGAGCAACTTCTCTTTTTAGATCCATAAAGGCCTATCTAATTTCATTACATTTTTTAGATTTTTCATCTAATTTTGATTGTAATTCTTATGCCATTTAGTTGTATCTATCTTAAGTTTATTAAAGGTCTAATCTAATTTAATGTACATGTGCTAAGGTGTTAAGATATTTATGTTCATTCATAGTCATTTCTCCAGTTTTATCAGCATAAACTTCTTATTTATTTCTTATTTATTTGATTTTGGATTATAAACTAACATTATGCTCATATAATTCATCATGTTATCTTTGCGCTTCAGCAATAGCAATTTCTAATTCTTCTTTAATATCTTTATTGGATAATTATTATTCTTTTGGCATTTAAAATTTGTGAATAAATTCGTCTTCTTTTTACTTTTGATTTTCTTCTTGTGATAAATTATCTTTATTTTAATCATCACTATTTTAGTCTTCTAATTATTAAATAGGAGATTCTTATATAGCTTATTGAGCCTATTCTTCTTATTAATGAGCTTATAAATTTTCCTATTCTTCATGTACATATCTAGGGTCAGGATAGAAAATAACTGGAATTCTGAGTTTTAATTCTATATGTTTTAAATTCAATTTTTCTCTTGTGCTTTTTTTATAAGGAATAGACTCTGGTGTATTTCTGGTATATAAATCAATATATTATCTAATATCATAGGTGCATGGTTATCCTTAATTTCCAATTTTAGCAATGAAACATTTAGTTTATCTATCAAATTCAATATGTTCTGGTCCTATTTTATTATTTTCATTTTTATCAGGTACTTTTGCATTATCATTGTTAAAAGGTAGAATCTATAATGCATAAACACCAACTAAATCTTCNCTAGTATGAGTTAACATTTAAACTGTCTTTGTATTTTTATTTTTCAATTTATGAAGATCTTCATTTCTTTCTTCAATTTTCTCATTTAAGGTTTGATTTTCAATCTTTAATTATTCAAAATCAATTAAATGTAAACCTTCAGCTAGTTCTTCTTTCTTTTTTAATTATTTTTAATTTTTTGCTAATGTGTTTTTTAATCTTAATGTGTCGAGTCTTAATTCCTATAAAGTCTTATTTTTCGCTTATTCTTATTCTTCCCATTCAGATATTCTTTATTCAGGAATAGATTTATCTGTTCTAGAATATGCAGCCTTTCGAGCAACTTCTCTTTTTAGATCCATAAAGGCCTATCTAATTTCATTACATTTTTTAGATTTTTCATCTAATTTTGATTGTAATTCTTATGCCATTTAGTTGTATCTATCTTAAGTTTATTAAAGGTCTAATCTAATTTAATGTACATGTGCTAAGGTGTTAAGATATTTATGTTCATTCATAGTCATTTCTCCAGTTTTATCAGCATAAACTTCTTATTTATTTCTTATTTATTTGATTTTGGATTATAAACTAACATTATGCTCATATAATTCATCATGTTATCTTTGCGCTTCAGCAATAGCAATTTCTAATTCTTCTTTAATATCTTTATTGGATAATTATTATTCTTTTGGCATTTAAAATTTGTGAATAAATTCGTCTTCTTTTTACTTTTGATTTTCTTCTTGTGATAAATTATCTTTATTTTAATCATCACTATTTTAGTCTTCTAATTATTAAATAGGAGATTCTTATATAGCTTATTGAGCCTATTCTTCTTATTAATGAGCTTATAAATTTTCCTATTCTTCATGTACATATCTAGGGTCAGGATAGAAAATAACTGGAATTCTGAGTTTTAATTCTATATGTTTTAAATTCAATTTTTCTCTTGTGCTTTTTTTATAAGGAATAGACTCTGGTGTATTTCTGGTATATAAATCAATATATTATCTAATATCATAGGTGCATGGTTATCCTTAATTTCCAATTTTAGCAATGAAACATTTAGTTTATCTATCAAATTCAATATGTTCTGGTCCTATTTTATTATTTTCATTTTTATCAGGTACTTTTGCATTATCATTGTTAAAAGGTAGAATCTATAATGCATAAACACCAACTAAATCTTCAAGCATCTTTCCATGAACTAATATAGATCCATCATTGCTATCTTCTATTTTAGTAACACATAAATCTTTATGACTGACTAGATAAACAATAGCAATTTAATTATCATCACAAGCTACACCAATAGCAATATGATTCATTTCATTAGAGAGTAATGTTTTTCTATCATCTTCTACTTCAAAAAATAGATAACCCATTTCCATAAAATAGTCATAAATAACTTAGGCATCAGGAACAACATCTTCTTCAAATTTAGAGACTATCTATATTATTTTAAGGTCATCTAATTTTTTTTCATTATACTTATAAAAATCGATTCTATTTAAATTAAATTAAAAATACAGTTTCTTATATTCATTTTTCTGATTTTTATCATCAAGTTCACCATCATTATCATCAAGTAAATAAGATGCAAATCTTTCTGCTACTATTGCGGGCATCAATTCAATATATAATGGATTTAGTTTCTTATCTTTCCTAACTCGATTAACATTGTCTAATAGATCTCTTTTTACTTTTCTTAATATTTCATCTTAATCATATTCATCATTTTGCTCTCTTCTTCCTGGACTATGTCTAGATTCTTCACCATTATCTTATTAAAATTAGGATGAACTTCCCAATCCTTAATTTCTTTATACTTGATTATATTGTTATTCATCCTCTTCCATTTAATTACCTTCTTCATCTTCTTCTTCTTCTTCTTAATAATTTTAATCTATATTTTGATATTTGATAACTGTTAATTACCATGCATTGCTAGATATTATTATTTTTATTCTTCTGTCATGTTTTCAAAATCAACTTCTTAATCATAATCTTCCATTTCTTCTTCTTCTTACTCATCATAGTATTAATCTTGATCTTAATCACTCATTATTATTTAGATTTATTATTTATATAATCTCAATTATTAATAAAAATGTCATCAACAGGTAACTTGAATGATAAATTTGACACAAGTTTTGTTTATTTCTTCAATTATATAATAATTGGTGATATGGGTATTAAATTAACATAATTCTTAAGGTGTTGGTAAAAGTTGCCTTTCGACGTAATTTATACACAAAAGATTCAGATCCAAAGATGATATCACTATAGGAGTTGAATTAGGAGCTAGAATCATAAGAATTTAAAATGTTGCTCTTAAATTATTTATTTGGGATACAGTATCTAAAATATTTTGATTATTGAGGCAGGATAAGAATCCTTTAGATCAATTAGTAGATCTTGTTATCGAAAATCTGCTGCTGCTATTATTGTATATGATATAACTAAGTAATTAAATTGACATTTATTTTGTAGGAGAAACTCTTTTGAAAATGTTGTGAAATGGTTGGATGATGCCAGAGAAAATGGAAATAAACACATTACATTTTTATTAGTAGGAAATAAAAATGATTTAGAATAATAGTATCAATCTAATATTTTTATCAAAAGGCGTCAAGTCTCTTTTGAAGAAGCCAAATAATTTGCTTCTGACAATGAAATAGGCTTTATGGAAACAAGTTGCCAAGACAAATTATAATGTAGATTAAGTATTATTCCATAAAAATTGAACTTTATAGATGTTCACTAAATTAGCTGAAATCATTCTATTTAAAATACAAAAAGGAATTATTGATCCTAAAATTGAAGTTAATCTCCATGATATTAATAGAATTTTGGAGTTAGAGTAGGAACCGAATATTAAAAATACCTAGCATCACAATCTAATGATTCTAAATAAGATGAAAAGGAGAAAAATCAAAAAAATGAACCATCTATAGATGGAAAATATGTATAGCTAAGTGATGTAGCACCTGAAGACACAAAATAAAAAAAAAATCTTGCTGTTGAATTTATGTAATTTTTTTTATTTAGAAATGATATATTTATTTTTAGATATTTGATCAGTTGTTCTATGATATCTATTAAATATTTAGGATTAATTCTCCCTCTTACCAATCACATTCTGTAACAACTTTATCACTTGTAGTAACTTTTCCTTTTCCAACTCTTTTATTATTTTTAAAATGTCCTTCAAATTTAGAACCATCAGAATAAGTCATAGTTCCTTAACCTTCAAAAACATCATCATGAAAATCCCCTTAGATATATAAAAGTTATTACCTTCATATATAGTTCCATCTTAGAAATGTAATTTACCATGACCATTCATCATACTTCTTTACCATTAACCTTCATATTTAAATCCATTTTTTTATATGAATACTCCATAACCTTCCATTTATCCATTCCTATATTCTCCATTATATTCTGATCCATCTGCAAATTTGATTAGACCTTTTCCATGTTTTTATCCATTAATAAATGTCCCCTCATATTTAGTACCATCTGGATGTTCTTCAATTGCTTAACCATGTGGCAATCTATTTAAAAAATCTCCATAACATTTAGCACCATTACTATACATTCTTAATCCTTACTATTTAGTTCCTAACTAAAAATATTTATTTATAATACATATAAGTCTTTATTTGGAAAGTAAATGGCTCCATCTTCCAATTAATCATTATTCCATTGTCCTTCTAAATAAGTTCCATCTGATTGAATCATTTGACCATATCCTTACATTTTCCCTTTATTCCATTATCCTAAATAAATATTTCCATCTTTTGTATAAGTAGATAGCATTCGATTATCATTTGTGACAGTCTTATCAATTTTGTCATATGCATCAGATGGTAATTAAGGACTTTTAAAATCTCCTTCAAATATAGTCCAATCTTTAGGTTTATCTTCTTCAAGCAAAGCTCTTTATTCACTAGCTCTTTATCTGGCAATTTTTTTTCTAGCTGCTCCTTATATTGCTAAAGCACTTCTTTCTTCAATCTATCTTCTATCTTCTAAGTTAACAGGTGGATCAGGTTAATTTTTTGGATCAGGTTATTAAATCAGTACATCAGGTTAAGGTGGATCTTATTGAATATGTGACGGTTTATCTATTGGAGATTAAATTTTTCCATTTTGAATTTGACTATTGTTTAATTCTGGATCTGGTAGTTAATTTTGTATACAACGATTTCCCATTTGTTAATAAAATGAAATTCAAATTAATTATCGATAATCATGAACTCATCTCTTAAATAATATTTAAATATATCTTATAAATATTCATAATATTTTCTAATTCATTATGTTATTATGTCTTTTTATCATTATTCTCTATACATATTCACTATATTTAAAAAATCTATATATATTATAATAAAATTTAATATAATGAATTAAAAAGACATAGCAAAAGAAGTCTTAGCTGTTTCTTTACATATTGCAGACGCTGATAAATTTAATTTTGAGGATTCTAAAAAAAGAATGCAATTATTAACAGAATCTGTATTAAAAACAAGTATTATTTTGATCTTGAGAATAGATTTATTGAGATAAAAACCTAATAAAAATTGCAATTAAACAGTTGATTTAGAGTTTTAATAAATTGATAATTTAAAAGATCTACTGCCTCATTTGGCAGAATGCAGCAATTTACGTGAAGTATTATGATAATGCATCAATCAAGTTAATATTGCATGGTAATCGTTTACATACCTTACCTGAAGATCTTTCTACATTGAGTACTGTTGAAACTTTAGATATTTCCAATAATCTTTTTGATGATGTAATTACTTTTACATTTTATAGATTATTCCTATCATCAATGCTTTAAAAACTATGCCTAAATTAGTTCATCTTCATATCGGATTAAAAAATATTAATGAAGAAAAATTTGTAATCCAATAATTACCAAATCTTATTACATTAAATAATAGAAGACTCAAATTCTTTGATCAATTAGATAGTGATAGACCTTCTGATAGACAATCAGTTAGATCTGAAAAATCTTATTAAAGTGAAATCACTTTCAATTAAGAAGATGTAGATAATGTCGAAGTACTTATTTATCTAATTAAGTTAAAAGAATCTTTTTAATCAAATTTGTAATATATAAAATAATTAAAATCAATCAAAAATCAACTCTCCTTAATTGTCTGATCATGTCAAAGATGTTATGATTGATTTTCAAAACAAAGTCTAATAAACTCATTCCAAACATTTTCTTGATACACATATACTTAGAGTAAATATTCAATTTCTAATTAGGCTAAATATGATTTATATGAAATCTGTTTTAGAGAATTAATAGAATATTTTAGGAATAACAATAATAAACTTGAAGAAGTCTTAAGAACATTGTAATTAGAACATTCCAATATTTTCAATGACTTAACTAATATCATTTACAATCTTAGAGATTATAAAAAAATATAAAAAGAACATTAAGAACTTGATTAATTCATTTTAAATAGTGATTTTGTCAAATCATTAAATAAAGAAATTCAACTATTTAAAGAAGATTTTGATCGACTATTAGCTGAAAAAAATAAAATTCTCTAATAGAAAGACTAATTGTATGAAATGGTCTAGAATTTAAAATTATAAGTAAATACTTTATAGAATACTGTTCTAAAATAAGAATAAGAGAAGGATGATCTGAATAATATTGTTTCTTAATTAGAATATTAATTTGCTCAGTAATAATAAATTTAAAGATCTCATAGAAATAGCTCTAAATAAATTTAATCATCTAATTAATCTTTTTAGGATATTCAATCCTTTTCTAATTTTTAAACTCAACAAGTAGTAATGTTTGTGAAAGGAACTTAAACTGAGAATAAATAATTATTCTCAAAAGAAAGCTAAACAATAAATCATCAAGATGATAATATAATACTTACTAAATCAATTAATATGCAATCATTTCAACTAAAATATGAAGATTTATAATCATAAAATGAATAACTTTAATAAGAAAATAAAAAATATTTAGATATGATTATTAGAAAATCAAAAATTGAAAAAAATTCAAATTTAATCTCTGAAATCACTTAAAAATAATCTGAAAGTCCAAGTATAATTGAAAAAAAGAGATAAAAAACTTTATCAGAATTCCATATTCTTGTTTAACCTTAATCATTTCGACCCTTGACATTAAAATAACTAAAAGATATAATTTAGGATATTTATGAGAGCAAATCTAAACACGATATTCGATAATATGAAAATAAATTGCCTTTTGAAACTATTGAATAACATATGTACACATATTTATATTGTAAATATGGATTAAAAGTATTTTCATTTAATATAAATAGAATTTAGCTTTAGAATGGGTTGCTTGTATTATTAATGCCATCTAAAAATATATTGCTGAAGATAATGATGTTAGTGTATTTGCATTAGTGCTTAAAAATAATTTAGATGAGGATTTTCGATTATTATAATCTTAGCGTAAATAAAACATTGAATAGATTATTAAAGTAATTATTTAAATTCAAGTTTAGTCAACTTTGTAAGCTAAATACAAAACAAAATCTAAGGCAGAAATTATGGAAATGGTCAAATAAAAAGTTACAGGATAGATAACCTAACAAGAAGTCATAGATATGTTGAAAATTTGTTTTCCTGAAGAAGAAGAAAAAGAAATTTTACTTAGTTAATTAAAGATTCATTAAATTAAAACTGTAGTTAGTGTTAGCCCAATTAAAAAAACCAATCAAAAAGAATAATAAAGAAGACCTAGTGCTTAAAAAGAACCTATTAAATATGACTATTCTGTATTTATCAAACTTATACTTGATCATTTTATGAGTCAGTATAAATAATACTTAGCAAATTTTTGTATTGTATTTGATTAAGTTGATCATGATAAAGATGGAATTCTGAATTAAGTATTTAATAATATTTATTAACTTTAGTAATAATTTTTTAAGTTAACTGAAAGTATAAAGCCAAAATTAAAGAATGAAGAATGCTCTCAAATTTATGAAATGTTAGATCCATTTTTAAATAATAAAATTACATTTTCATAAATTGTTAGAGTGTTCAAAAATCTTTAATTCTACAATAAATATGTTGACCTAATTTAATAGATATCTATAGTTTGAATTATTCTTGAACATTATTATCAATTTTAAAATTATAACAGAAGATTTTTATATCAATGGATCACAAATTTAAGTTTAATAAATATAGATATTCTTTTCAAAAGCTCCAAAATTCTGATTATAAATATGGATTTTTATAATAAATAATTGTAACATTAAATTTGATAAGATAAATTTAAAATAAATAAATAAATTGAATTTATTTGTTTCTTCAATAATAATCTGAATCTTTATCGCTTACAGTTGAAATAATAGCTCTTGGACTATCCATATTTTTTTGAGGTTTAGTTGCAACTTTTGATACAGTTTAAGTTTTAATGACAGAGAGTTTTCTTTTTTTTAAACTTTCAATTTCTGTTTCTTTCATGGTACATTCTTCTTCGCATTCATGATATAAATTATTAAGCTCTTTAAATTTTTGCTTCCATTTTTGCAATTCTATTTAATGGTCATTGAATTAAGTAAAATTATCTTAAGATATTTCAATAAGTTTATCAGCTCCTTCTTAACTTTAAATTTTTAATCTACTAATTTCTTCGTCTTTATTTTTTAAAATGGCTTCTAATTTTTCAACTTAATTTTATAAATCTAATTTTTTGGCTACATTATCAACTTTCAAAGTTGTTTTATTTTTCATAGTATAATTTCCTTTTTTAATTTAATCTTATAAAGCATTTATTTCCCTGTTATACATAATCTCTTTTGCTTTCCAAGGTCTTAGAATTTCTTCAACGCTTTTGAGTTAATAAGAACGTTGTCTATGATGATATTCATGCATATAATTTTAAGGAAGCTATTAAGAATAAGAGATTTAAGATTCATTAGTGGATATATTTTATGTTTAGATTTAAGGTTTTACAGTAATTATTTAATTATTGTTAAAAGGAAAGCCTTTCTAAAATACAATATTTTTGGTAATATCCTAAAATAAATAAATTGGGATACTTATCTTGGTACATTAAAATCTAATACAATAGGATCAGAACCATTATTAATAATAAGAGTTTAAGGTTTGTTGGTAATGGGATCCCATGCATTTAGTGTCTATTTGCCATTATATTCATTTCTAGCAGAAAGTGGATAATTAAATCTTATACCATATCTATCTGGTAATGCCTTTCTATCATCATTTAATTATCGTAACTCTTACAGTTCTCTCAGAGTGAGCATATATATATATATTATTGAATAAAAATTAAATAAATTTATTAGTGTTTTAATTGTTCAATGAATATAACTATATTTTTTAGTTTAATTTGTTACACCACCTTATATATTCTTTTTAGATTGTAACTAACTGAATAATCTAGTCTATAAATTTATTGACAAATTTAATTTATTATTATTAAGTATACAAGTATTTTGTGTATTCGAATTTTTAAGTTTGAAGAATGAGAAATTCTCATCTTCTTTCTTTTGATAACTAAATGTATTAGTGTCGATCTTTACCTTAATCTTGGTCTATTATTGACCTGAAAATGATTATCAATTCTATCAACAGAATGACTAATCGTATTTCTGAATTCTTAGAGTTCTTCTTTACACTTATTAATATGAAATGCAATTATTAATAAAGTAATATTATCACTACTTTTTTTGTAGATTGCTTCTTTTAATACAGAATCAACAGATTAACTTAAAAGCGAATGTAAATTTAATTCGTCATTATTTTAAATATTTTTCCAAATAATATTTACTACATCTTCTGAACTCATTTTATCAAAAATGCCATCACCTAAATTTTAATTGGTTATAGTTACATCCCATAACTATAAAATCATGATCCTAATTTAGTTTAAAGATTTTGATTTCTGGTTCTGATATAACAACTCTTGAATTACCTCCAAATTATTATAATTTAGCTTCAATATCTCCAAAAGTACGTGATACTGATAATCTTCCAGGCATAACTCTTATTGGTCCAACTATATCTTATCCATCTTCATTCAATCCATGAGTTTAATATAATTTTCCACCTCCTCTTTCTATTCTTGATTTTTCTATCTCAGGTTTATGATCCATTGATAAATCTGTTACTATCTTACCTTCCTAACAACTAAGTACTCCTCTACTATCTCCTACATTTGCAACATAACATATCTCTCCTACGATTAAACAAACTATTGCACATGATCCACTTCTTTCAGGTTTACCCTTCTAATATTAATCTAATGCATAAGCCAAAAAATGACTCTCAGCTGCTTCAAATCCTTTTTTTAATGCTGCTACTGGATTCCATGGAAATTCACATTCTTTTATCACAAATTAATGTAAATAGTCCCTCAAAAAATCAGCACAATTTGAACCTCCATGTCCATCATAAACTCCAAAAAATGAACATTTTGGCCAATTCTCCTCTTATCTATTCTATGGTTTCACTATATTCAAAATTATTGAAACTCTATCTTCATTATAATCTCTTATCAATCCTTAATTTGTATTTACAGCATATCCTTTTATTAAACCATTTCTACCAGATGAACATTTCGATGGTTCATAATTTCGTAAAATCATATTGACTTATTTATTCTCTTAACTTTACAATTTTTATTCAATAGTTTTTCTTGCATCTTCTTTTATCACTCCATACATATCTTATTTCTCTTCTCTTTTAACTTAGAGTTCAAATGGTCTCTTACGATTAGACTCTTTATTTAAATATTTTGATAAAAATGATGGAGCATCTCTATTCTTATTATTCATTTATTATAAATAATTTGAATTTTTATTTTACAATTATATCATCAAATGATATTAACCAATCAATTTTATCAAAATCATACCAATACATTACTACATAAATATGCTTTTTTTTCATTTCTTTTTATTCATTTCCTTCCAATAATAGAATATCTAAAATAAATTAAAAATTAAAATGAAATAATTTATCGAATTTCTAAGAATATTTCAGGAAAAGCCTTTAAGCCCAAAGGAATTATATACACTTATATATTCTAAAAGGCTGTCTCAAATTAAAAATTTCCATATTTATTATTGAATATTATTATTATTTTATTTCTAATAATTTCTTAAAGGAAATAGAAATGGAAATGGTTAGAGGAAAAAATGGTGATTTAAATGAATAAGAAATAAAATATAATCAAAAAGACAATAAGGATTAAATTAAATAAATATAATTTCAAGAATAAGTCTAAAAAAATCAACAAAATCAAAATGAGATTAATAATTTATAAAAAGTGATTTAAGAAGCAATACAGGATAAAGACAGTTTGTTTTGATTATGGTTATAATATATTTTATAGTATTGAATTTAAAATTTTAAATACAATTTATAATTTTACAAACTAAATTCAATAAAATATAATTGTCCCTGTCGCAACTTATGGTCTATTTCCTTATATGATTTTCATGACTTTTTTACATAGAGTAATAGCTTAAGTCTTAAAATCAAAGATTAATGAAAATATCAAAATAAAACTAAAGCTAGCAATATGAATCCAACCTATCATAATATACTCATCTATCGATAATTCTAATTAAAACCTATAAGAATAGGTTAAAAATAATAAAGTATTAAATGCCAGTAGGGCCTCAGCTACTAAGGTTTTATAATACTCTTAAATATTTTCAAGGGGTTTTTGTAAATAAACATATAATAAAAATATCGTTTGAATTAATCCTATTGTAATGGTTTGTAAGGGACCATTTTAATCCATAAAAACAATTAAAAATATAAAAACTTATTTTTTTAATAACAAGATTGTGTTATATTATGTAATCCAAATATCAGAAGAATCAGTTACTCCTTCAAATAAAGCAGAGTATTGTTGAATATTCTTTGTTGTTGCTTTTTTTGTAAATGAAAGTTGTTTATTGAATGTGTAAATAAAAAATAGAAGTTGTAAAGCACAAACGATTAAAGCAGTATATGAGTTGATCAAAAATATAGTGCTTTCTGTATTAAAATGTATTAATTAAATAAATACAGAGAAACTTATGTCATAATAATTTGACATTATCATTTTTATTATCGAACTAAAATAAAAAGCTTAATAGCTTTTTTTTAATATATTTCTTACAACATAAATGAATTTCATTGGATAATAACCAAATTCAGCTAATTAATAAGGTCCTAATTTATATAAGAATTTTGTTAATCCTTTTGAAATAAAATAGCCAAAGAATAAGCCAAAAAAGCAAAATATAGAACTTTAAAAGTTTGTATAGAAATACCCATTTATGTCATCTTATTTGAATTTATTCGTAGTTTCTACGAAATATTCTTATTCTCCATCAATGATATTGAAAATGGAACTAATTCCAGTGAAATCCATAATTGGTTATATTGAAATTAGTTTAAAAACTTCAAAGTAAATATTAAGATTAGTTGGAAATTAAATATTGATGTATTTAATATAGGATAAATACTAAAGTAAATCCATTAAATTCCAAAAAATATCGAAAGATCCTGTTACAATGCAAAATGCAGATAAAGTGATCATAAAATAAATAACAATGTTCATAAATGATTTAGCATTTTCTGATGTATTAATTTGAGATTAGGAAAGAACAACAGGGGTTTTAAGTTTAATTTATTTTTCGTTATTTAAAACAATATTTAAATATTCAGTTACAATAGCACTTTAGTTTAGAAGAATAATTAGAATAGGATCTTCTATATTTTCATAAAATTTAATGTTAGCTAGAATTTCAATGTTTTCTACTTTTCCAAATTTAGGAGGTACTTTAAAATCAAAAGTAATTTGATATTATTCATATAGAAGATTAGAAATATTTGCTTTGAAATAATGATCAGGATTATAAGATTCATTATACATGAGCATCATAGGTTGATTAAAAGTAATTGAAACAATATCTTCACTTTCAGATAAGGAAGTAAGAGAATTGAGAATCATAACTGGATTGATAGAATAAATACATGAACTAGTTTACAGTGGAGTATTTAAGCATACCCAATCATTTTCAATTTCACAATATTCTGAGCATCCATCTCCATTTTCAACATTACCATCATCACAATCTTCATCAACAAAATATCCATCCCCACATACTGAATTACATTAGTTATCTTATAGATATCTACCTTAATCACAAAGATTACAGATTCCATCTTCACAATCAATACAATATTTATCACAAACTAATTTACAATTTTAACAATAACTAGCTACTACTAATCCACTATCACATTGTTCATTACCTACAATTAAACCATCACCACAATGTGGAACACATATGAAATTTTTTATTATCCATCCTAATTCATTACATTTATAGCATTTGCCTTCATAACATTCACCACAAATTTCTTGACACTAATAATAACAATCAAAACAACCATCTAAGGGTAAATAATTTCCATCGTCACATTCTTCAAATGGTTACACAACAATTCCATCACCACACTTTGTTTAACAACTCTATCCTTACAATATCCAACCTCTTGTATTGCATTCTTCACATATACCTTTATTACAATTTGTGCATTCTATCTAACATTCATATTCACATTCAAAGCATCCATCATATCGAATATCATTACCATCATCACATTATTCATATCCAACAATAAGTAAATCTCCACAAATTGGAAAACATTTAAAATCTTCAAATACCCATCCTATTGTATTACATTCATGACATATTCCTTATATACAACTTGTACATGCTTATTCACATTCGTAATAACAATCAAAACAACCATCGTATCTATCTTTATTTCCGTCGTCACATTATTCATAACCAACAATAATTTTATCTCCACATATTGGTTCGCATCTATAATTAATAATGTTGATTTGCCATTCAATATTTTTACATTAGAAACATAGTCCTTATTAACAAATTTCACATTATTCATCACAAGAGTATTTACAATTAAAACATCCATCAAAGGCGTCCAAGTTTCCATCATCACAACTTTCATTCTTTGTAGTTAAAGAATTACCGCAATTTTCAATACAAATAAATTCGTTGTTAATATATCCAAGCATACAATCTTAACATTAATCGAATTAGCAATTCAAACATTCTTCCTAGCATTAAAACTTACAATTATGACATCCATCAAATGCTTAATCATTTCCATCATCGCATTATTCATTCTCTACTATTATTTTATCACCACATATAGGTTAGCATTCATAATTGTTCAATGAATATCCATCTATGCAAATTTAGCATCCTCCTTTTAAACATAAAGCACAACTAGTTCCACAATAATTTTAACAATTTAGACAATATGAATCTATGTGTTATTAATTATCATCACACTGTTCATGACCAACTACTAAAGCATCTCCACAGATTTCAATACATTTATCACTTTGTAGTTAAAATCCAATTTGGCATTATGAACAATTTCCAAAAGAACATAATAAACAGTTAATGTCACATTAAAAAATACATTAATTACAAGAATCATGCATCAATGTATTGTTATCATCACATTATTCATTTCCTACAATTAGATTATCACCACAAATTGGATAGCAGAGATTATCAGATTGTCTTAGATACCAATTTTGTTTACAAAATATACAATAGCCATTATAACAAACAGAACATGAATCTTAACAATCATAATACTATTAATAACAACCATCCATAGGAATAATATTACCATCATCACAATATTCTGTTTTAGATGAAACAATACTATCATCCAATATAATATCACACTTTAATTCAGAAGAATTTAATTCCCAACCTGGAGTATTACATTAATAACATTTTCCTAGTATACAATTAGTACATTGTGTTTAACATCTAAACTCACATTAATAACATCCATCAAATTCTGCAAAATTATTATCATCACATTGTTCATTAGCAACAATTAAAAAATCCCCACAAATTGGTATACATTACTTAATAACAGATACATATTTAAATCCTGTAATGCACTAAACACAAATTCCATTAGAACATTATTTACAATATTCTGAACAACTTAATTGACACATATCACAATTATCAAATGGATCATAATTCTAATCATCACATTATTCAACTCCATAAACTAAAATTCCATCTCCACAAATAGGTTCACAATTTATGCCTGTTAAATACCAGCCATTCTATTCATCACATTTGTAACAAACTCCAAATAAACAATCAATACAATGTTCATAACATTAAAATTAACATTAATTACAACCATCAAATGGATATATATTACTATCATCACATTCTTCATTTCCTAAAACTTTAGAATCTCCACAATTATTAATACATTTATGGATTGATTCAATAAAAAGATAATCCTCCATACATTCATAACATTTTCCACTTTAACAATAAGAACAATTCTCTTAACAAGAGAACTTGCATTAATAACATCCATCAAATGGATTATTATTGCCATCATCACAATCTTCACCGTCTACGATTATTTAATCACCACAAATAGGTAAACATTACAAATTATATCCATCATCATAATATCCATCAATGCATAAACATTAATACTATTTAACTGATCTATAGAATTCAGAAACACAAGTAAAACATTATGTTTTTAATTATCCAAAACAGCTTTCACAATATCTATTACATTCTATTTTATAAATTTTTAATTTTACAAATACAATTCGATCCTGATTAATAAGCAGATGGATAACATTAACATACTCCTTAATCTAATAAAAATTTATTAGTATCAGAAAATTAACATTTTGTGCAAACTGATTCGCTTTCGCATTCTAAACAACCTAATTGATTGCAGGATTAACAAGAATAAACTTAAGTTGAACTGTCAAAACTCAAGTATTTATTTGTATCACAATATTAGCTTAAACTGAATCCACTATAACCAAAGGTACAATCTGATATTGCTGGACCATTACATTAAGTACAAAATGGAGCACACTTATTTATTTTAAAATAAAATACATAATGAACTATTACAAAGTATTCAGAAACATAAATAAATGCATCTTCTAAAGAACCACTATTTGTATTTCCTGCCAATACTATATCCAATTTTGGATTTGTATGTGTTTATTCTAGTAATTAATGATAAACTGTGGTCTCTTTTTTTATATCCCCTATTGAATTCTAATTTCCTGTCTTAGGATTTGTTATTTATGGAGACTAAAATGAATCAAATTTATAAGAAAACCATCCTGACATCTCATCACCATAGGTTACATTAAGTCTATAACTTATCTTATAGTGAGGTTTTAATGAATTAAATGTTTTTTAAAATTTGCCTACTTACCACACTAAAACACCTCCTAATACTGACTTTTCTGGTACAAATGAATAGATAGATCCAGTAAATGAAGTCTTAATTGCTCCAGCTAAATCTGTAAAATTATCAATTATTGATGAAACTCCTTCAAATGTAGTGTTCATATCATAAAAAGCTTTTACCAAATATCTACTATCTAATAAATAAAGTTATGATCCTTACTTTCTAAAATATCTTCAAAATCTTAACATGTTCCATTAGCCAATAAAGTTGTATGGATGGGACATGGATTTACACATGTTCCTCTATATAATTTAAATCCTGAATCACAAATTAAGCATCTAGAGTATGTTTCACATGAAGTACAATTACTTTAACATAATCCATAATCAATAGTTAAATTTTTGAATGCCCAAAATTCAGTTTATAGAATAGGTACTGCTTAAATCTTAATTATAGGAGTTGTAGTATAAGTCTTAAGAACTGTTTCAATTCGTAAAAAATCATAATTATCACCTGAACAACTTGAACTACTAAACTTATTTAATCTAGCATTTAAAATAGTATAATTAGATGCGGTTTTTAAAATTTGACCTTGTGAATAAGAATCAACAGTTATTCTTAAGGATGATCCAGTTTACCATCCAAATAAAAAAAAAGAAGCTCTTATTCTTAAAAATTTCAGTCCTTTATGCTCAACTAATTTCAAATAAATCATTTCATAATTTTAAAATTTTCCAATTAAATCCTCACTTCCACATTAAGTTAATTTATTTGTATTGGATGGATAAAATATATCAGGTACATATACCCAAGGATCATATGGTAATAAATTACCGTTGTTTAATGTAGTTGTAGTAAAATAACTCAGCTTTGATTTTATTCCTAAATTATAATTCAAAAATTACTCGAATCAAATTAACAGTATTTAGAATCATCTGCTAAATAATAATCTCTAGGACATTCTTATGAACAACCAGTCAAAATCTAAACATAAGAATTTGATTCATCACATTTACATACACCTCCTTATAATCCTCCTTAATAACAAGTTAAACATTCATATTAAGTACTTCCTGAACAAGATGCACAAGTAAAATGACATGTATTAACATATATTAGTATATTTCTTAATCCAACCCTCATATCTGAATCTTGATATATATAACAATATGAAATGCCAAAAACAGATTAAGAATGATTTATTGCATTAAATATTACTGTTTTTAATTCTATTCTTGTTTCATCCAATCCACCGCAACTTCCACCGCAACTATTTTGACAAACTTTGTCATATTATTATATTGAAGATTCTTAATAAGTTCTAGAAAATATTGGAGTTGCACCTCCAGAGTCAATAACAGTTATTTTAAACTCCGAATTAGAGCCTGATTTTGCCCTAATGTAAATAACATCAGTGATAATTCGAAGTTAAAAATGAGGATAATAAAATTGCTTTTCCAGTCTTGTTCGATCATCTTTCAAACGAATAATATCTAGTTGATTTGATTAACATTATCTAATTGAGTCTGATTTTATTGTGTCAATTGTACACGATTATTTAAAATCCCATCCTTAAGAGTTTGGCAAACTTTCTTAATAAAATGAACTTTAAATAAGTCTCCACTCAGATTTTGCTAACTACGCTATAAACAGTATTTAAAATAACATATACAGCTAAAATAACTTATCTTATAATAATTTTTTACAATAAACTATGTATTGGAAACTTAATTTGATATATTATGACATCATTAAACATTATCATACTACTGATTCTATTATTTTGATAAATAAAAATTAATTGTCCAAAGAGAATCGATCTAATAAGTTAATAAAGCAAGAAAAGTACTATACCAAGTATAGGTTAATATACCGACTACTAATCTAAAAAAAATAAAAAATATTATATTGTTACTAAATATTTGATGGAAGAAATTTCTCATCGTCTCTCTCTACAAAGAATATAATAATGAACAATGAATTAAAAATGGTGCTTAAAACCAAAATAATGAAATTTATTTGTATAATATACTAATATTTCATTTGGATGATTTTGTTGTAGTCGTTGTAGTGATTACTTAGCTACCCTAATAATGAAATATTTATTAAAATTACTTTGGTTCCAGCACCTCCTTATTTTTTAATATGATCTAATTCAGCTTCTGTTAACATTAATTTTTCTTATTAATCATGAAATTAAGCATTTAATGCCAAAAATTTATCTTTCCAACTTTTGAGTTCTTTTCTAATTGTTTCAACTCTTTGTTCAATAATTTCTTCTTGTTCATCCTACATTCCATCTAATTCATTATTGAGATCTTCAATTTATTTTTCTAATTCTTTTATTTTTTCATCCTTTTCATTAACTTAATCTTTAAAAAAGTTTAATTATGATAATAATTATGAATTTTCTTATCTATATCTTTCAACTTATAAAATTGATTCTTATAATTGGCTTTCCAATTCTGAGATTCTTTTTTGATACAATTTTAATTATTCAGAATCATCATTAGCTATAACAATAAAGATTAGTATTTACCAACTGGAACTTGAGAAGCCAATAAAGCTTTCAATCTTTCTATTTCTTTATCTTATTCTTCAATTTTTTTTTTTAATTCAGCAGTATTATCTGTACATATATGATTTTTCATTTACTCTAAATTAAAATATATATTTAAGAATTTACATTTTAATTATTCTAATTCTTTAAGATTATCATTGTATTTTTAATATAAATCTTCATAATCTTCTTTTGTTTTATATAATTCTAATTATAGTTGTTGGATCTATTTTTCTAAATCTTCAGTATCTGCACCAGCTCTCAATTCAATGATAGGTTCTTAAATAAGAAAACTAATATAACCTGGAGCTTAAACAATTGGTTAAGGCTTTTACTTTTAGAGTTCTCTTAATTATTTTTCAAGGTCTTCTACTTTTTTTCTCCAAATGTCATCATATTATTCCAAATCCACAACATGTATTGGTCTTTACTATTTAAACAATAAAGTTTAATATATACTCTAACAATTTATGGTTATGGTTATTAAACTTAGATTAGAGATTAATACATAGGTTTGGTTGTAACAACGGGTATAGATTATACTGAATAGTTTCTAACAATTAATTTTATATTACAATGGTACTAATGGAGTTGGTGATATTTAGATGAATCCAGAATGTCTCATTTATCAATTAGTTTATACAAATAAATTATATTAATAAATATATGTTTAACCAATTATTTATTTTACTTTTGTGATTGTTTATAATAAATTTCACTTATAAGATTTTTTAAAAGAATTTGATTAGTTCTATATGATAATTAATTTGAAATTTTATACTTTAATAAAATTAGAGTAATATGAAGTTAATTTTGTTTATTTTAAATCAAATATAATTATTTATTAATTAATGGACGCGGATATATTTAAAGAAATGTTCCCCTAAGATTATATGAAAAGATTTTTTGAGAAAAATGTTAGGATTGATGGAAGATAATTTAAATAGCCAAGATAGATTATTATAGAATTTGGAGAAGGATTAACTAATTATTAATATGCTGATTGTTTCATTTCAATTAAGCATATTATTAGGGAAATAGATTTAAAAGAAATAGATCTCTAATAATGCATTAGTATTAATATTTATAAAATTGAGAATTGTCAATTATTATGGATAATTAAGATGATTTAAGTAATATAGATAAAATTAGAATTGAAAAACACTATCTAAATTAGATTCAAGATGTATGTATACAAATTGTAGATCCATAAAGATTAAGAACTTAAAATGGAAAAGTTCAATAAATTGAGTTATTTATAAGAGTAGCTGGTGCTGATGGATCTTTATTATCACATTTAATAAATTGTGTTTCATTTTGCTTATAATAAAGTAAGTTATCTTGAAATTAAATGTTAGTTAAGCATTTTGAAACACAAACATCAATAATTTATAAGGAAATTAAATGTTTATCTTTTGCATTTTTTGAAGATAAAATACTTATTGATCCAAATGATTTTGAGGAAAGAAACTCTTCAAATCTTACAGTGATATCATTTTTAAATGACGAACAATATATTTTTAAGAAGTATGACGGTAAACCACTGAATTATATTTAAATATAACAAGTAATTTAATCATTTTGATTAATTAAAATTCTTATTACAAATAAAACAATATAAAAATAATTATGAATGACATTTATGAATTTATCTTACTAATTTTATTTAATCTTTTTATATTAATATATTCAAGAAACTAAATATGGGAAATGAATGTAAATAATGCACACAGGATGCTTAATCTGTAATTATCTAAAATCAACAGATAATTTAAACTTAACCTCACTAATATAGTTTTGGAATGAATCACATTGACGATGATATTAATTTTGAATTCTCTAGTATTGATTTACCTACTATCCCTTAATTTGGTCTCGAATAAAAAAAAATTAAAGCCGATTTTCTACCTCCCCAAGCTTTAAATGTTGTCACAGATCACTTCAGTATGACTTAATCAGACAATGAAGACAATGAAGAAAGTTTTAAGTAATAAATTAACGAAGAAACCGGCTGCAATAAATAAATTCAAAGATTTCAAAGTGGAGAAGAAAATTTTACACCTTTTTAATCAATCAGCAAAGGAAATATTATTGGAAGTAATTTAACTACATCTTCAGAACTATAAATATAATAATAATAATCTTCAAGATCAATTTAAAAATAAAGATAATTAATTTGGGATTCTAGAACTGTGAATTAGGAATTAAAATAAAAGAAAAATTTTCTTTCTAACTCAGGTATTAAATTCATAGAATTCGAGTAAAAGAGCTTAAAGAAAGATGTATAAAGAAGAAATATACAAAAGAAAAGAAGTGATAGTTTAATAAAAAAATATGAATAAAAAATTTTAAATCCTAGTTCAAAAAAGGATGAAATTTATTCGTAGTTGATAAATCATCATAAATATTTGTAAAAATGTGTACTTGATGAATATGATTGATAATTCATTTGAAAAACTTTATTTAAATATATATTCTTATAGAAATTTAATAAATATATATTAAATGTAATTACATCATTTATGTTTTTCTTTTCAGACAACAACTATAATTATTTTATATTAATCTAAGTCTGATTTAAACTTATTAGTTTATAAAATCCTTAAATTTATTTAATCATAATAGCAAAAAGACCTTAATTAAAATGTATTTCTAAAATTAGAACAGAATTTTTTTCTGATTTTATTAAAATTGATGAATTCTTTTAGTAAAAATTTTTTTTTAAATTAAGTCCAAAATTTTAAAAAAACAATCAAGATCAAGTTCTTCTAAATATTAAATAGCAGACAGTAAAAATAATATTTTGAATAAAAAAACTTAACTTTATATATAAGGTTCTATGTTATTTTTTTCGAAATTACAATANTCTTACTAATTTTATTTAATCTTTTTATATTAATATATTCAAGAAACTAAATATGGGAAATGAATGTAAATAATGCACACAGGATGCTTAATCTGTAATTATCTAAAATCAACAGATAATTTAAACTTAACCTCACTAATATAGTTTTGGAATGAATCACATTGACGATGATATTAATTTTGAATTCTCTAGTATTGATTTACCTACTATCCCTTAATTTGGTCTCGAATAAAAAAAAATTAAAGCCGATTTTCTACCTCCCCAAGCTTTAAATGTTGTCACAGATCACTTCAGTATGACTTAATCAGACAATGAAGACAATGAAGAAAGTTTTAAGTAATAAATTAACGAAGAAACCGGCTGCAATAAATAAATTCAAAGATTTCAAAGTGGAGAAGAAAATTTTACACCTTTTTAATCAATCAGCAAAGGAAATATTATTGGAAGTAATTTAACTACATCTTCAGAACTATAAATATAATAATAATAATCTTCAAGATCAATTTAAAAATAAAGATAATTAATTTGGGATTCTAGAACTGTGAATTAGGAATTAAAATAAAAGAAAAATTTTCTTTCTAACTCAGGTATTAAATTCATAGAATTCGAGTAAAAGAGCTTAAAGAAAGATGTATAAAGAAGAAATATACAAAAGAAAAGAAGTGATAGTTTAATAAAAAAATATGAATAAAAAATTTTAAATCCTAGTTCAAAAAAGGATGAAATTTATTCGTAGTTGATAAATCATCATAAATATTTGTAAAAATGTGTACTTGATGAATATGATTGATAATTCATTTGAAAAACTTTATTTAAATATATATTCTTATAGAAATTTAATAAATATATATTAAATGTAATTACATCATTTATGTTTTTCTTTTCAGACAACAACTATAATTATTTTATATTAATCTAAGTCTGATTTAAACTTATTAGTTTATAAAATCCTTAAATTTATTTAATCATAATAGCAAAAAGACCTTAATTAAAATGTATTTCTAAAATTAGAACAGAATTTTTTTCTGATTTTATTAAAATTGATGAATTCTTTTAGTAAAAATTTTTTTTTAAATTAAGTCCAAAATTTTAAAAAAACAATCAAGATCAAGTTCTTCTAAATATTAAATAGCAGACAGTAAAAATAATATTTTGAATAAAAAAACTTAACTTTATATATAAGGTTCTATGTTATTTTTTTCGAAATTACAATATAGGAAATCTTAATAATATTAAATTATTTATCTATAAGTAAAGGTGATCGTAATAAATAGATAAATTAATGTTATAAAAATATAAATTAGATATATATTTTTAGATTAAATTGAGATATCTTAAGAAAAATATACTTTTTTATTTAGAAAATTGTTATAAACTAATTTTATGAGTAAATTGATAAATTATTTTTATATTTTATAAATAATGCAACAACAAGAAAAATAATAGGAATCCAGTGATGAAGAAATTGAAGTATAAGGATAAGGAGAATAAAATTAACAACAATAATAATAACTGAATGTTGTACAAAAGCAAACTCAATATAATTAACAATTGTTGGATAAATTAAATAAGCCACATTAATTTTGGGAAACGCAACCAATACCAAATATAAATGATATGGATTCCTTAAAACCTGGTCCAATTTAAGAAGGAGTTTTAGAAGATGTTAGAAAGGATCCATATAATTTAATCTCAAAATTTGAATGGTGTAATATTGATTTAAGAAATGATGAATAAGCTTAATAAGTATTTAAAATTTAAATAGAAGGTATATGCATTATTGAAAGAGAATTATGTTGAAGATGATGACAATATGTTTAGATTTGATTACTCAATTGATTTTTTGAGATGGGCATTATTACCTCCAGGATAATATCCTGATTGGATAGTAGGTGTTAAAGTAAATTAAAAGTTGGTTGGATTTATAACAGGAATTCCAGTTACACTTAATATAGAGAATCAATAAACAAAAATAAAGATGACAGAAATAAATTTTTTGTGTGTTCATAAAAAAATAAGAGCAAATAGATTGGCTCCAGTTTTGATTAAAGAAATAACAAGACGAGTTCATATTAAAAATATGTGGCAAGCAGTTTATACAGCTGGAATAGTTGTTCCAACTCCAATCTCTTAAACTAGATATTATCACAGAAGTTTGAATGCTAAAAAATTAATTGAAGTTGGATTTTCATCTCTTTCTGCAAGATAAACAATTTCAAGATAATAAAAACTTTATAAATTACCTGAAGAAACAAAAACATAAGGATTAAGATCAATGAAAAAAAAAGATGTAGCTTAAGTTACTAAATTACTAAATGAATATTTAAAGTATTTTAAATATCTTTTATTATTAGAAAATTTAAATTGTATTTTAAATATACTGAAGATGAAGTTAAACATTGGTTTATACCAAGAAAGGATGTTATAAGCACATATGTAGTAGAAAAAGAATAAGGAATAATTACAGATTTCTTATCTTTTTATAATCTTCCAAGTTAAGTGATTAAAAATCCTAAATATACTCATTTAAAAGTACTTTACATTTTAATATATAATTAAAGGCAGCCTACTCATATTATAATGTAGCAACATAAACTCCAATTGTATAATTAATGTATGATGCATTGATTTTAGCAAAAAATGAAGGTTATGACGTATTTAATTGTTTAGATATTATGGAAAATGAAAAATTTTTGAAAGTATATGGTTTTTTGATATTGAAAAGGAATTAATGTTCTGTCCAGGTGATGGTTAATTGAATTATTATCTATATAATTGGAAATTAGAAAGTAATATGCTTAAACCAGAAGAAATAGGAATTGTTCTTGTATGAGTTTATTAATAATATATAAAAATATAAAATTCAATGAGTGATACATATAGAAGTGATATTGAAAGAATTTAGAGATTGATATAATAATTAAGATCAGATATATAGAAAAGAGAATAAAAGATAAATGGTAATCAACCTGTAGGAATGATTGATGGGGAAATAAGAGGAGGAATTTCTAAACTAGGTATCTAGAATACATTATAATTTGTAAGATAGAGAATTAGAATTATTAAAATTACTAATTGAAAGATAAAATTAAAATTAAGAAGTATTATAAAAAGAAGGTGAAACAAGAAAAAATAAATTATTGGAATTGTAGAATGNAGCTTAATAAGTATTTAAAATTTAAATAGAAGGTATATGCATTATTGAAAGAGAATTATGTTGAAGATGATGACAATATGTTTAGATTTGATTACTCAATTGATTTTTTGAGATGGGCATTATTACCTCCAGGATAATATCCTGATTGGATAGTAGGTGTTAAAGTAAATTAAAAGTTGGTTGGATTTATAACAGGAATTCCAGTTACACTTAATATAGAGAATCAATAAACAAAAATAAAGATGACAGAAATAAATTTTTTGTGTGTTCATAAAAAAATAAGAGCAAATAGATTGGCTCCAGTTTTGATTAAAGAAATAACAAGACGAGTTCATATTAAAAATATGTGGCAAGCAGTTTATACAGCTGGAATAGTTGTTCCAACTCCAATCTCTTAAACTAGATATTATCACAGAAGTTTGAATGCTAAAAAATTAATTGAAGTTGGATTTTCATCTCTTTCTGCAAGATAAACAATTTCAAGATAATAAAAACTTTATAAATTACCTGAAGAAACAAAAACATAAGGATTAAGATCAATGAAAAAAAAAGATGTAGCTTAAGTTACTAAATTACTAAATGAATATTTAAAGTATTTTAAATATCTTTTATTATTAGAAAATTTAAATTGTATTTTAAATATACTGAAGATGAAGTTAAACATTGGTTTATACCAAGAAAGGATGTTATAAGCACATATGTAGTAGAAAAAGAATAAGGAATAATTACAGATTTCTTATCTTTTTATAATCTTCCAAGTTAAGTGATTAAAAATCCTAAATATACTCATTTAAAAGTACTTTACATTTTAATATATAATTAAAGGCAGCCTACTCATATTATAATGTAGCAACATAAACTCCAATTGTATAATTAATGTATGATGCATTGATTTTAGCAAAAAATGAAGGTTATGACGTATTTAATTGTTTAGATATTATGGAAAATGAAAAATTTTTGAAAGTATATGGTTTTTTGATATTGAAAAGGAATTAATGTTCTGTCCAGGTGATGGTTAATTGAATTATTATCTATATAATTGGAAATTAGAAAGTAATATGCTTAAACCAGAAGAAATAGGAATTGTTCTTGTATGAGTTTATTAATAATATATAAAAATATAAAATTCAATGAGTGATACATATAGAAGTGATATTGAAAGAATTTAGAGATTGATATAATAATTAAGATCAGATATATAGAAAAGAGAATAAAAGATAAATGGTAATCAACCTGTAGGAATGATTGATGGGGAAATAAGAGGAGGAATTTCTAAACTAGGTATCTAGAATACATTATAATTTGTAAGATAGAGAATTAGAATTATTAAAATTACTAATTGAAAGATAAAATTAAAATTAAGAAGTATTATAAAAAGAAGGTGAAACAAGAAAAAATAAATTATTGGAATTGTAGAATGTAGCTATGGAATTAAAATAAAGTTTTGATAAATCTTTAAAATCTTAATAGGATACTTTATTTAATAATAGATCAAATAGTGGTAAATAATATAAGGATACAGAGACAATATAGCAAATGGACAACAAATAATTATATTAAAATTAAAAATAATTACAAAAAGATTAAGATTAAAAACTTGATGTTTGTATTGATTAATTAGATACTCTTAAAGTTTAAGGAAAGAATATAGGAAATACTTTGGATGAATAGAATAAATTATTAAATCAAGTTGATAAGGATATGGATAAAACAAATAGGGATATGGTAAATGTAAATGGAAAATTGAAAAAGTTTCTTTAATCATCATCATATTGCTGTCTATATCTATTTTTAACATTAGAAGTAGTTTCATTAATATTGATAATTATTTTCGTATGAATTAAAAAATAAGAATACATCACATTCTTATTTATCTTATAATAATAAAATATAATTTATCAATTAAAATGATCAAAACTAATTGAGGTCTGTGATAAAATTTTAAAATAAATTTAATGTGAATTAACTTATAATTATTATTTTATTAAAAATCGTTTTTACTAATATGATTAAGTCGTTCTTATTCTTATGTTTAATCATTTTATTGACAGATGCAGTTAATATGTAATTTTGAGTTTTTGATTATAAGCCAAAATGATTAGAAATTTTTAGAACCAGAAAAAAAGAAAGTAATTCATATTCAATTAAATGAAAGAGAAACTAAAGTATAAGATAAATAAAACTTTTATAAATTGATTGCAATTCATTAAGATAAATTAGAAGAGTCATCGTTTGTTTAAACACAAAAATCAGGTCCTTAATATATGAGAATGCATAATTACAAAAATATTCAATATACAGCTGATTTGGGAATAGGATAATCTGGAAATACATTTAAAGTTGTATTAGATACAGGAAGTGCAAACTTATGGATAGATTCAACAAGATGTTAAGAAGAAGGATGTATGAGACATAAATAATATAATCATGAGGATAGTCAATCATTTTTACCTTTGAATTAAGAATTGAATGTTGAATTTGGAAGTGGTGATTTAAAAGGAGTTGTTAATGCTGACACTGTTTATTTTGGTGAAGTTACATTACCAAGATAGAATTTAGCAGAGATTACAAGTGAAAATGGAGCAATCTTTAGAGATTTAGATTTTGATGGTATTCTAGGTTTAGCTTATCCAAAAATGGCACCGAAGAATTTTAATCCAGTTTTTGATAATCTAATGGACTAGAGAGTTTTGGAGAAAAATTAATTTGCATTCTATTTTGCTAAAGATGCAAATGATATAGCACATAGTGAATTTACTTTAGGAGGTTACAATCCATCTCATGTTGATGGAGATATTCATTATCATGATGTTATTGATAAATATTATTGGATGATTAAAGCTGATAATATTTTAGTAGATAACAAAGATATTGGTTTATGCCACGGATCATGTAGACTTATTGTTGATACTGGTACATCAATTATGAGTGGACCTTTTGATGATTTAGGTACTTTATTAAGAACTTTAAATGTAAAATCTCATTGTCATGAAATCAATACATTGCCTACAATTACATTTAAGATTGATGATGTTGATTATACATTAGAACCTGAAGAATATGTTAAACCAACTAATTTTGATGCTGCTTAATTAACAGAAATAAATGAAGGTGATGATTTATGTATAATTTCATTTAATTCTTTTTAGAAGCATTAATTGAAGTTAATAATTGGGATTGCATTGCTGCCTTTATGCCTTTAGATATTTAATAACCTTAAGGACCTGCTTGGATATTAGGAGATGTCTTCCTTAGAAAATATTACAGTATTTATGATAGAGATACTGATTAAGTTGGTTTTGCAAAAGCTAAAAAATGATCTATAATTACATTCAATTAAAATTTGTTTAGAAAAATACTCAGTATTTAATATAGATATGAGCACTACAGTCACAAATCCATTGTTTGAATTTCAATGGCTAAGAAATAAAAACTAATACAAATATAGAACAGTTTGTTAAGAATTATAAACTTAGTTAGATCCATCTTAACTCATTAAATATGCAACAATTATATTAAAGAGGGATCCTTCAGATAGATTTGAAGAAGAATTATTGTTAATTGTTAAGGCAACTGAAAATTTGCAATTTTTTAAGGAGATGAACTCCAAATAAAAAAATATTGACAATAGACTTCACACTTAATGTTGTTAAAAGATGACTTATAAAGCTTTTTAATAAGGTGAAACTGTATTTAAGTAAGGAGATAAAGGAGAAAATGCTTTTATAATTTTGAGTGGGAGTGTCAATATATATTCTTAGTTAGATTAATATGTAGTTAATGATTTATCTTACAAAAGTAGAAAAAAATTTGAAAATTGTACATAATAATAAAAAAGAACTCATCCAATATCTGTAATAAATTAGGCAAAAAGAGAGAAGATGAAAAATAGATTTTCATCATCAGTTGGTTTGATGAAGAAACTTAAAAGATAAAATTCAAAGTAAGCTGAAGATGAACAATTTCATTCGATAAAATTACTTTAAACTCAACATATAATTGAAGAAGTTAAAATAGAAGAAGAAAAAGATAAAAAGATATTAGAAATATAATATTAAATGGGATTAGAGATGACAGCAGGCATTCCACCATCAAAATTAGATATTGATTATTTTTTTATTGATGGAGTTTTTAAACATAAATTTGTTATAGAATTAGTTGAAGGATAAATGTTTGGAGAATTAGCACTAATTTGGAACTAACCTAGATCAGCAACTGTTGTAGCAAAATCTAATTTAGAATTAGCTGTTCTTACTTCTTAAGATTATAAATCTCTATTAAAAGATGCAGAACTTAATAAAATTGAATAAAGAATTAAATTTTTTTAGAATTATTTTTTTAGAGAATGTCCTCGTTTTGTAACCTTGAGATATTGTTATAATTTTAAAAAAATAGAATTAAGGAAGGGAAACTTTTTAATAAAAAAGGGTGATAAAGTAACTTAAATATATTTACTTAAAAAAGGAGAATTAGAGGTTTTACATGAATAAGAGATTATTAATTAAGTTTCTGAAGAACAACAATCTGAATTGGCATCATCTGAATAATAATTATTACTTGCGATTAAACAAACTTAAATGAAACCTCCTAAGAAGATGATTTAATAAAGAAGAGTTATTATTTTAAGTGAAGGTGAAATTATAGGTGATGTTGAAATTATGCTAAAAATGCCTCTATCTTAATAAACTATTATTGTCAAAAGTGAAAAAGCAAAAATTTATGGTTTATAAATGAATCATTTTAATAGAATACTTAGTGATTAAACAACTTTAAAAAAATATTTTTACGATTAAGCTAATATGAAATATCAACATAATATAAGTTTTATTAAACAGATTGATAAATTTCATTAAAGTTAATATGAAAAAGTTAAATTAAATCAACAGCTTTATTTGATAAAATTAAAAAATGAAAATGAAAAAAAATAAACTTTTAATTTGAATAAAATTATTGAGGAATCTGAAGAGTCACAATTATTATAATCAAAATAATAAACAATGTCTATTCATGATTATGTACAAGAATATCCTTTAAAATTAGAAAAGCCTTTAACTTTAAGAAATAATTTAAAATAAAGTATAGCATTTCCCTCTCTTTAACTTAATTAATCTAACAGTCCTTTATTAGGATCAATGACAAGTAGAATAGATTCTAAAAGTAAAGATATTGAGGAAGATTATGAACTTTAGGTAGTTAGTTTAAAAGGAGTATTAAATAAGATCAAATTTTCAGTGAATCATAAATCATCATAAAAAATTTTAAGATAAAAAAAGACAAGCGAATAAGATTTTAGAAAATAAGTGTAAATTATGCAGTAAAATAATGATGAAATAAAAAAATATGATAGAAAACATGTTGATTTAGTTCCTGAAAATGAAAAAATAAAAATAAAAAGATAACATGAAGCAAGTGAATTGATTCGTTAAGAAATGGGTTAATAATCTTAACATCTAAAAAAGTTTATTGAATATCAATTAATGAAAACAGAAATGAGCCAAAGAATATCTAAATCAATTGATCAATCTGATAGATTAATTGGTAATAATACACCAATTTCAAAAGGACAAAATTTTAATTGTTTCTCTAGTTCCTATAAATTGACTGATAATCGAATATTAACTGAATCTATATAGTCTCCTTCGCCAATTACTTAATCTGATTATAAAACTCAAAACTTTTCAACATCAATAAATATACATAAACAACCTTCATTATAAAAACCAGTTTTCATTAAAAGTGAGCATAACCTATTTAGAATGAAACCACAATCTCGATTACTTTAAGCAAGATACTCGAATCATAGCGTAGGTAATTGAATATTAAATATTAATTTAAAGTATTCACTACATAATTAATTTCTTAATGATTCTATATTCATTCCCATATGTTTCATTTTAAATATATACATTTTTGTATTTATTTTTAATAAATGTTCTAAGTTTACTTCTATTAGTAAAAAAATTAAAGTGCAACTACTTTAAAAGGGTTATAAAATGGATATGGAATTTAATGATATATTTAATTGATATTGCAATATTACCCTAATTAAAATTTAGAAATGAAGAATAAAATATAGATCGAAATAAATATTCATTTAAAAATTAGATTTAATAAGAGAGAATTAAAAAGGGTTTATATACTTGATTATAATAAAGAAGGAATTAATTAAAAGGTTTTTATAATTTTTGGAAAATATTCATTAAATTAATAGAGATTATAGATTAAATTAATAAATAAATAATTGATTTAATAATAAAAATAAAAAATAATCAATGAACAATGAGAAAAATAATGAAGAAAACGAATAACTATAGAAAAGGTAAAGGCGACCAAGATAGCATACAAATGGAGAAGAATCAGATTAATTTTGGAAAAATAATTAATATTTTGCTTAAGGATAAATTGATGATGATGATGATGATTCAGAAGAATATTATCCATAATAATCATCATCTGCATCTGAAGAAATTTCTTAAGAAAATGATGCAGCTGACTTTATAGATTCATTGGAATAATGGTAAGATTGTTCAGATTCAAAAGAGTAATTAAAATAAGCAGTATAAGAATCACCTTCTAAAAGTTTTGTAAAACTTATGAGAAAAAATTTAGAGTAGTTTTCAACAATGAGAGGTGTACATACATAAGTTGATATAGCTACATTAGAACGTTTAGATTAAACATCTTATGTTTATTATAATGAATAACAAAAATTTAATAATAAATTTCAAGATGTTTTAAATAGATTTTATAAAGCTATTCCTAATGATAAACAAAGAAAAAGAGAGGATGATGAAAGTAAAAGTAAAACTGAATTTCATGGTGATTTATTTGATTTTGAAGATAAAAGATATTTCATAGATAGTGAAATATTATAATTATAAAGGATATTGAAATTATGCAAAATATAAAAGTTTGATTCTTATTTAGCCTATAGAAAATTAGTAAGAGATTAAAATTTAGATTTTGAATAATCTATTAAAAAGTAAATAGATCTATTAAAATCAAAGAAAAGATAATTAGAAGTTTAATTAGAAGAAGAAAAAAGATGTTTCTATCTATCTATAGATTAATAATACATTTTTAAAATTAAAGAACATACTAAATGTATGACTCCACGATACATTTAATGTTAAAGTAATATTAAATATGATCAATTATAAGGAAATGAGAATCCATCTTTTTTAATATATCCATATGATAAATAGCCTTAATGGCTTTGTTAATATTAGGAAACCTTTAATATTTTTAAAAAGAAAGTTTTATAACTTTAAGCTCCTCTTTATTTTTATAGTTTTTAGGATGCAAATGCTTTAAAAATAACTTCACATCTTATATTAAAATCTATAAAATAATTAGAAGAAATATCCAAAAATAAATTAATAGCTAAAATATTTGAAGACCTAATCAATGCTTTTTTTAATATAGATATACCTGAATTAGATCTTCTTTTTAATTCAGAACTTTTAAATGAAGAAATAATAACCATATTAACTTCTTAAGAAAAGTGTAATTTATCAAATTAACAGGAGTAATATAAACCATTTCCAACACCAGATGATCCAGGAGATGAAACAACAACTAAATTAAAGTTTTATCCAAATTTCAAAACTGAAGAATATGCACTTTATGTAAGACCTGTATTTGAATATTCAATGAGATTTTTATATGAAATTTATTTAAGAATACAAAAGATAACATAATTATAAACTAAAATAACTTACAAAAATAAAGAATATATGATTGGAAATTTGATTATTGAATGTTGTTATAAATATTTAGAAGATGAAATTTCATATGCAGCTTGGCTTACTATTTGCAAATCTATATTTTAAGAATAAGATTCAATTGAATTATCATCATTAATATTTTTAGTGTAAATGTTTCGTAGATTATTTTATTAATATGATGAATGGACGGTTGAATTATTAATTAATTGGTTATATAAAATTTTAGGCGATGATAGTAAAATTCTGAATGAGGATGTGTAATTATCAAATGTATGTGTTTAAGACATTCTAATGAAATTGAAAAAAAATGTAGAATTATAAAATACTAAGATGGCTAGAATACAAACAGTAGATGGATTGATGATTATTCATATCTTTGAATTTTCATAATTATATTGAAAAATAACAATTTATATATTTAACAATAATTTTTAATATTAATTTAATTTGTTAAAAATTCAAAAGTTAATATGATCAAACAATCTAGATTTTCTCCAGTATTCATATAATCATATATTTTAGGTCAATTAATCAAGATATCAAAAATAAAATGATCTCGGTTTTAGCTCATTTTAAATCACTACTTAGATGAATAAACGACAATTATCAGAATTCAGAAAGGAAGTTAGAAATAATATATTAAATCGTGAACCATTTCTTGAACATTAAGATAAACCAAATCTTTATTTAGGAAATTGGGGAAAACCAGAAAGACTTAATCTGTAATAATTTTTTATATTTCAGTGAACCATTAACATCAAGAAGAACACCAAGTAGTAAAATCCCAGGAGGATTAAATTTTGATGAAATATTGTAATTTATTACATATATATCATAGTACTAATAAACGATTAGAAAATTAATCTAGAGCTGTTTCTTTAAGTAAATTATACCAAGTTGAAAAAGCTCCTTTAAAATAAAATAAAGTTGATACTTTTTTTGATAATACATTTACTTAACATTCTAGGATTAATACATTAGGATCTGGATATAAAGAATCTCCATTAAAATCATAATAAAAGTTAGAGAGATTTAAAAGTTGGGATACTAAATTAGATGTTCAATTAAAACTATAAAATAAAGCTATTACAAATAAAGTTCTTGGAGAATAACCATCATTTTATAAATATATTAATGAAACTAAATAAGGATTATTCGATCAAGATTATACTCCTACACTTTAAGTGAGAAATAAAAGCAATCTTAGAAACTAAAAATAATTTTAAGATATTTACAATTTAACTCCAAAATAAAATCAGTCACGCTCACCTTAGTTTACAAATAAAAACATTGAAAAAATTCCATTAACAGATATTGTTAGAATGGCTTCACATTTTTCTTCATTATCCACTTAAGAAATTAAAAGTGTTTCTTCTGGATACTTTTAAGAACTCATTAATTTATAAAATTCTTTATAAAGAATGATTAAACTCGGTACAAATATTTATTGAATTTTCAAATATTTATACTATTCAATTTATAAAAGTTTCATTTCATCATAACTGTTAACTTTTTTATTGTATATCTTAAGATCTAGAAAGCAAAGTATCCTAGCTTTATACCCCATATTACATAAATGGAGTATTTATGTAATATTAGGGAATGAATTACATAGGTAACTATTGAGGAAAAAAATACATCATCTTATATGGCTAAACGGTATTGTAAATTAAAGGAAATGGTCCAAAGCAACCTTGTGAAATGTTTAAGCTTTCTTGTAATTATTCCAACTTTTCAATCTAATCTTATTCAGCTTCTTATTTAACTTAACTTTAATTATTCGAGAGCTCTTCTTTTATTATTTATTCGATTTACTAATCTTGTATCTAATTTTAATCTTATAATTTATCTATTATATTTAATGAATTTTACTAAAATCCTCTTTACTATTTAATTAATCATTTTCATCAAGTGCAACCATTTGTAATTTAACTTTTTCTTTCAATTATTTCACTTTATTTTTATCCTATTTTTTCCTCCTTTTTTCATTTTTTTCTTCGGTATTAGACTAGTTCTTAAATAAATTGTAATAATACTGTAAGTTTTCTTCTAATATTGAGTCTTTCTATAGTTCTTTTTGCTGATCTCTTTTATTTATTGTTTATGTTCTCCATTTAAATTGATTATTATAACTCATAATTTGGTTATGGAACTACATAGTAAGGATTTTCAATATTAAAATAACGCTTACGAATATAAGAATAATATCTATTTTTTATTATGTTTTCCTTAGAATAATAATTAATTAATACAGGCCTTCCTTGAAGTAATTTAGATATTTTACACCATTTAGATCCAAAATTCTTATACCCATCTACTATTATCATATCTTCCTCTTTTGTAAAAGGTTCTTAATTAATGTCTGGATTCAATTTATTTACAAATCTTTCTCTGACTTACTTACTAGTACGATTAGGTATACATTTGGCTATTTATACCCAATTTTTCTTATGTACTTGTACTAATCTCAAGAGTAGCTAATCTTCCTTATTTGTCCATGGTTTACGAATATTATACTTAGAATATACACTTAATTAGTACATTATAAGGTTTTATTCTTTTCCATCTCTAAGCACATTAAGAAGGGTTGCGGTTTTGTAATGCTTAAGCCACTAATAGCCAATTGGTACCATGTATTTTTATGGCTTATTTAAGTTAATTGTCTTCTTTTAAGGACCATGCTCTTCTTGTTTGACTACCATTTTTTTAAATTTCATTGTTGTCACATTTATCACAATGATCTTATTAAGCAGAAGCTTAATTATCTGGTTCAAAAGATTGGACTTGATCCATTTAATTTATTTAATATTAATTCAAAAAAACATTGTATATCCCTTCTGTTCACAAGAATTGTAAGATAAAACAAAAATAGTAATTCAATCCATTCAATTTCTTACTAGATAATAATTAAATAATACACTAAATCAATAATTTTAAAAATAGCTAGGTAAAAGTTTGGTTTTAACTAATGTCAAGTTTAGACCAAACTCCCTCACAAAAGACTTCTTGGTAAATCAATAGAATCATATCTTCATAAACTCAAAATATTCTTCACACTATTTAAAATTTAGCTTATTTTATTTTTATATGATTTTTTTTAATCAATTATTATCATTTATACTTAGTATTCTTTTAGCCATTCTTAATTCAAAGTTATTATGAATATATTATTATTTGTTTAGCAATTAGTGTTGATATTATTGATTATTACCCATAATCAAATCGACAGTTAAACTTTTAATTTCTACTCTCTTTTGTTACTTAATTAACTTTTGTTATTGTTATTTATAATTATTTGTTACATGATTGCAGTATAACTATTAGGTGTAGCGACGTAAGGAATTTAATTTTTAAAACCATATTTATTATCATTTATTATCATGAAATATAAATTATTTCAAGTTGAGTTATAAAACAAACTTTTCACAACTTACATTAGAACAAAGTAAACTATCTTTAAAAAATCTATACATGGTAAGAAATTTAAATTAGATTGTTCCTTATACTTTTTAAAAAAAGCAAAAAGGAAAATCAGTTTTAAATTTTATTTATTATTATGTAAATTTATAAAATAACGTTATTTACATATATTTTATGTTATATAAAATAAAATTTCGATAAAATTCTAATGTATCACTTTTTAGCATTTATTACAATGTTAAAGAGACAAAAATAAACTCAGTGATCATCTATGTGATTAATGAGTATATTTTAATGATTCCATAATAGAATAAAGAATATTAATATATATTATTATATAATAATTAATTTAATGGCTGCTCTTTCAACTTTGAGATTTATTGGTAAGTTCATATTTTCACATTCAAATTACAAAGATCCAAAATATGGTTAACTTTTGCATCCATTATTATGCTTTTTAATAAGTTCATTTAGTTATATGTATGGAAGCATAAGATTGGAGAATAAAAGTTTAGATAGAATTGAAGATGTAATTTAAATTTTAAATTAGTTTCAAGAATCATAAACAACAAGAAACATAATTGCAATAGGATTCATATTTTATGTTATGCTTATAATTTTTGCAAGATTTGGTTAAGCAAAATTTACAATATTTTATGAATTGATGTGGGCTTGCAATTTGAGTTTGTTTAGTTCTGCTTATGCATTTTGGAAGTAAAAATGATTAATATTTAGAAATAAACCATTAATATTGGCTGCCAGCATGATATTAGTATCAATTGATTAAGTTTTGTGGTATGTAGATTTATTAGCATTTTTTTTATTTAAAACATGGCCAATAGGAGTAGCAAAGTATATGAATAAATAAATTTAATAGATATTTGACATGGCCATCAACTACGAAATTGAGGTTATTAACCTCATTTCATCATATATTTTATTTACCAATATGTTTATATTTTTTAAGAAATTAAAAAGGAATTCCAATAACAGCATGGTAAATAAGTATAGGAATGGGTTCAATTCTAACAATAGTTTCTAGGTATTAATAATTATATATTTTTTAGATTATTGACACCTAAATCAATATTATTGAAAGGATAAAAAGAAGAAATATATTTAAATTTAAACTTATCAAGATAATTATGGAAGGATATCCCTTTTAAAATTTTAACAATAGCTGATGATAAACCATGGTATATAGCATTACCTTTTTCAAGTTTGATGTGGAATTCTGGTAATTATATATTAGGATATGAATTACTAAACAGAATTTTAAAATATTTGAATTAATCATAAATATAATGATCTATTAAATTTTTTATTAATTTTTGTAACATTTTTAAAAATCCAGATATTATTTGTCTATTATTATTATGATTTTATTTTGATAAATTGAACCATAAATATTTTAAGATAAATGATGAGTGATTCCGATTCAGATGATTATGAAGTAAATAATTTCATATAATCATTTAATAATAAATAAAGAAAAGAAGGATTTGATCATTTTAATCCTTATAAATAAACTAGTTCTTTAATGGATGATAAATATGGAAAATAATATTTAAGTATATAAGATAAACTTAATCCTAAATATCCATTAATGAATGGAAAAGATTTTGACCATAGAATTGAGAAAAAAAAGATAAATTCTTATTGGACAATTGGTGAAGATGTTCTTTTACTATAATTAGTTGAACGATTTAAAACAGAAGATTGGAAACTTATATCAGATAAAATAAAAACAAAGGATCATATTGAATGTTCAAGAAGGTATACAATGATTAGAGAACCAGATGAATTTGAAGATGAAGAAGAAGAAATAGATTTAACTTGGACACCTAAAGAAGATTCTCTTTTAATATTCTCTTATAGAAAACATAAAGGAAATTGGGTTAAAATTTAATAAAGATTTCCTCATAGAGATAAACCTTCATTATTAAAAAGATGGTCTGAAATTGCTTATATCTAATAATAAACTCCTACTATTTTCTGGGATATTGAAAGAGATACAAGAATTATTTCTAATTTTTTTAATTCTCTCAAGTTTGCTGATATTGCTACTGATCTAAGCATTTAAGAAGAGTCTATTGAAAATAGATTTCATTTCATTATTGCCAAATTAAGTGGTTAACTTGAAAAAAAAGGAGTTAAAGTAGAATTACCAAAAAAGGTTTTAGATTCTGTTTAACTCACTGAAGCCTAAGGATTACTAGCTTTATAAACTAAATAATAAACTTTTGATATTCCTGATGATTCACATTAATAAAATGATAAACATAATATAGATAATGATAAACATAATATAGATAATATTTTAAATGATCAAAAATAATTAGATTCAAATACTGCTATTAATAGTAAAATAGAAAATCAAACTAAATTTGAATTACCTATTTAATAAACATAAATTATAAATCATTTTAATGATTAAATTAAATTGAATGATGAATTAATTACTTAAAATAATTAATAAGACACTTAATTAACACAAGAAGAATAAAAATTAGGAGAACTTAAAGAAAAAAATTTAATAAATGAAACACTTCTTATGATAAAAAAAAGTTTAGAACAATAAAATTAACATTTTGATTCCTTGTTTGATATTAAAGATCTATTATTGTAAAATGTAATATGATTTAAACTTATTCGTTTTGTTCTATTTTTTATATTTATTTAAACTATTTACGATTATATATTTTATATCTTCTCATAATTTTTATTATTGAACTCAATCATTCACTATTATAAAATTATTAAAAATGTGGAATTACACTCCATCCAGTAAAATTTGTTAAATCAAATCACAAATAAAGGTACTAATTATAAAGTATAATAGTCATATGATCATCATTTATAAAGTCTTAGAAATGCAAAATCTATTATAAAAATAAATACTCCTTTTAGACCATATTTTCTATCAGTTACCTCTAGACATTAAAATAAATATGAGTAAGTGCAAATATTATTTATTTATGATTTAGAGGAAAAAAGATATTAATAAAAACAATTCTATACTTATAGAAAAGATTGTTAATATTGACTTAAAATAAGGAGAATTAAATAAGTAAAAAATGAAATAGAAATATAAATTGAATTCAAATAGGTTATACATAAAAAGAAATCAATACAGATTAATAGAAAATGAAAATACCGTAAGTATCAATAATCATGAAAGAAACTTTTTGAAAAGATTAAATCAGCTAAAACTTAGTACAATAAAAAATTATAGTTAAAAAATAGTTCTGAATTTGAATAATTTAGCAGAAATATTTCTTAAAACGCTCGTATTAAATTTTAAAAATTCTTTTTAGGAAGACATTCTAATTCTAATGTTTCAAAATAAATATAATCAAAGTTACTTGAATAGAAATCAAAAGAACTCAAAGCAAGATCGTTTTCTAACTAATATTAGTATTCAGATGAATATAGCTGCACCCCTAATAATCTAATATTTTAATTTTAATTTTGATATTATTAATTTATATTTTATGTCATAATACTAAGGTTAAAATATTTTTCTAATTAACTTTTATATTGAAAAGTTAGAAAAAAAACTTGTCGAAAACTTAAGATTAAATCCATTCCCAAATAAGATGTTTAGAATAGATAAAGTTTATAAAAATTAATAAAATTTAAATTCAAAATTAAAAAGCTAATAATTTCTTAATGCACCATAACCTAAAACTACAATCTTCATTTTCATCATAAAAATTAAGGAGTATATGAATTTTAATTTATATTATCTGTTAATCTGTTAATGAACCTGAAAGAATTGTAGAAATTGAATCAAAAGTATCTAAAGAACAAGAAAATTATTCATTTTTGCCATTATATTTTAATTAAATTTAAAGTTCTAATTATTATAAGGTAATACTTTGCTCTTCTTTTATTGATGATATCTATGAAAGATCTGAATGATTAATTTCACATTAATTCTCAGTTTCTACTTCAGCTTCACTAATATGCTATTCCTATATACATTTATTTGATTATTCTTGTTTTTATTCATTTTTTATTTAAATAGTTTCTTCCACCATTTTGTCCTCAACAATTTTAGCCTCATTTTTATTCATTTAAGTATTAAAAAATTTTAGTTTTTATTTTTCAACTTTCTTCAAAGTTTTAGTAAATTGTTTTTTAGATTAGTTTTTTGATTTAAATTCGATTGCAGTTTTATTAAATTTAATGTATTAAACTCTCTAGAATAATGTTTAAGTTGAATTGAAAATATGTTTTATGGTAATTAATAACTACAAATAAATTTGTATTATATTTATTGTTTTTGGTAGTAGATAGCTTGTATAATTAGAAATTTTACTTGATATTTTACATTATAATTGATATTCCAAAGAATAATGAAGTAATAGTATAAAGTTTATTCTTCCAATCTATTAAGATTAATGTTAATATTCCAACTGTCAAATTTATCATCTATATGGATATCAGAATTAAATACTTGATTAAAGGGGATTATTGAAGTTAGTTAAGGATGTTACATCTTCAAATTAGAATCATTAAATTCAAAGGGTTGATTTTCATATATTTGTAATAGTGAATTCAAAGTAAGTATTGAAACAATGATTCTACTAAATGAGTGAGACATTAATTAAATATTATAAGTATTGAGAACCAATAATACAAGTATTGAGATTTATGTGAATTAATTCAATGAAAAAATAATAAATCATAGAGTTTGTTAACATCAACACGAACCCCCATCAAATTATTATATATTTTCAATAGAATTGAAAATATATATATATATCAAAAATTTATGATTATAAATAGAAAGTATAATATATTCATATATCTTGTGAATGTCTATTCAGATGCTAATAAAGCACAAGGTTCATTATTTGGCCAATAAACATCATCTATTAAAACTATTTAATCTTCATTGGATTAATTTTTTTGCTAAATTTCTATCCATTTACTTAAGGTTTAGGATACTGTTTTACCTGATTTCTCAGGAATTGACCAATTCATAGAAAATGAGGCAGAATTTAAAAAAAGGCTAAAAAGAAAATCTAATAAAAAATCTAAGAATACCAATTTGAAATACAACTAGGAGCAAATGATCCTATTTTCCTATTTAAAGATGTTTTATTCTTTATTGTAACTTAAAATTAATTATAAACATAATCAATATAGTCTTTTTCTGTTGTTGAACAATTATTTAATGTTAAATCTTTAATACATGCAATATTCAAATAACCTTATAAGAATCCAATATCATAAAGTGATTAAATTAAAAATACTGGTGTAGTTATAAAGTTTAGTAAATTTTAAAAATAAAAACACTTCCAGCTTTAATTAGGGTAATTTCTAGCACAATTTTAAAGGGGAACATCAGATTCAGTATTAACTAGATAGTTCATAATTTTTAATGATTATTTAAGCATTTCACTACCATCTATAGATTACATATCAATAAGGATTCCAGAATCTGCAATACACAGAAGAGAAACATAATTTGGTATAATTTAGGAAATATAATGAGACCATTACAAAGCTGCTATTGCCCCAATAGAACATCCTGATAGAATAATTGCTTCTGAATTTTATAATTATGTATTATACTAAGCTATAATACTTTTAATTATAGATTCACCACGAAAATAAATTAATTATTCTTTATATATGATAGGACTTTATCTAAAGCCTTGATGTCCTACAAAATATTAATAAAAATACTGACCAGTCCCATCGCAAGAATTTATATATATGATGTTCCAATCATAAAAATTGATATTTTATCCTTAATTTTAAGATAATAAACCATTTAATTCTATATTTAAAGCTCTATTTAATGAACTTCCATATTATGTCACCTATCTTAATTTCGACTAATTTTACTTAATAATCGCATTTTTAAAATATTCTTCTTCACTGCTACCTAATATTAGACTATAATTAATTAACTTATTCATACTCTCCTCCTTCAAAATGAATCAGAAACTTATTTTTACCATCTTAATCACCTTTTTGAAAATAATAGGACTTAAATTAGTTATTTAAATATTACACCTCGTGATCCATCTAGACATCGTGCTAGATTATCCTTCACATATTCTAAATCAAGTGAATCTACGAAATACAGTAACATTACACCAATGATAAACATTTTTTATTTTAATTAAATTATATACATTACTTTTTCTTTATTATTGTATCTTGAAAATAGCTTAAGAATCATTATTTATCATCAATTATAAAATAATAATTGATTAAATAAAAACAACACTCGTCAATTTTCTATTCTTTTTTCTATTTTTAAATTCTTAACCTTATGTTAAAATTAAGAACAATATTTGAAAATAAAGTAAATTAAGCGTAAATGCTTTTCTTTTCATTAAATAAATTTTCATAGATTATAATTCTGAGTTAAAGACAAAAAAGTATATAATTTCTTAAAAAAAAATTGAATACTAATAAAGTTGAATTATCAAAAATAATTATTAATGATATCATTTATTTATAAAAATCGAACTAAAAACTATAAATTTTTCATATTATTGTATTATAATGTTTTTTTAATAGATTGGATGTAAACTATGATTTAATAATTAAATCTTTATATTGGATCTAAAAATTGCATATAATTAACAAAAAAAGAAATGTTTTCCTTCAACATTTTCGATAAGAATAATATAAAAATAATTTTTTATTTAGAAAACATATTGTTATTTGTATTGATTTGTAATATATATTTTTATATGATTTATTTATTGATTCAAATAATTTTCTTAAACCTTGGAATTAGTAATGTTTTGACAAGATGAGATTGTCTAATTTAATTAATTATAGTAATCTCTAGAGTTGGAAAATAAATGAATATGATTTCTATAAGAGAGGAAAGGAGATTAGAATTACAGAATTAGAGTAACTACATAAATAAATAAAATAAAGTCTAATGATGATAATGTAGTATTAGAAGGTATTGATAATTTAAAAAGTAATAAAACTTTTAATTATGATAAATAAGTGTAGCTAGCTATAACGATTAAATGTGCAATTTTAATGTACATAATTCATCCAATCATCTTAATCTTCTAGCTTCTCTTTCACATTCCATAAGCTCTAGGGTGTCTCCCTTTCTAACTGGACCCATAACATTTCTAATTAATGTTCTTTATTATCCAACCAATTAAACTTTAACTTATGTAATACCACCTCTAGATCCTATACAAATTATTATAAATTTTATTACCTGTTCTACCAATAATTTCAATAACAGTGGCTCTTGTTCCTTCAACTCTTTCTTTAGTGGAATCCATAGTTTTGTTTGTTAATTTTTAATTAAATGATTTTAGATTTAATGAACAAATGCATTCATTATATATATATATACAATAATTATTATATAAGAATTAAATAAGGCACTTAAACAATTAAGAATATCAAAATATTTTCTAAGAAATTTATTCTAATTATAGATCAATTCTTTTATTATTTATGTGACTTTCAGTCTTATATATTGAAATTAAATTTATTAAATAAAATGTCTGAAAGTTCGCTTTCTCCACTTGATTTTTATGAATTAAAACATGTCAAAACTATAAAAGTTAAAACATAAGATGAAAAATTAAAAAAGAAAAGAACCTTGTTGTATTAGAATAAGGAAATGTTAGAAAAAGAGTATCTATAATTAAATCAAAGTTGTGATTGTTCTGAATGTGGAAAAGGCAGTAAATATTTTGAAATGATAAAAAAATAATATCCTTTTATTGAATCAAGGTATGAATTAATAAAATTGAAGATGGTAGAGACGAAAAAGAATATTAAAAAGATTCAAAGCTGTAATTAATGCTATAATATTTATCCTAATCTATAAAATGGAGGCAATAATAAAGTTTAGAAAGAGAATGCATATATTAAAGGCTGTTCGAAATTTGACAACTATAAAAAAACCATAAATAGTTGGTCCAGCCAATATATAACCCTAACCAGTCCTTTAGATTCCATAATAACATCAAGCTTAAAGGTATATACATTTTTCTAATTGAAGAATAAAAACAAACCCTGAGAATGATGATAATTTAATACATATAATCTAAAGTCATGGAAAAGAACCAAGAAGAAGTTAAATATTTTAATATATGACAAAAATGTTAAAAAATTCGAACCATAAATCAGAAATAAATCTCAAACCTCTAAGCAGTTTAAATCGAAAGTCATTACAATTAACTAATATTAAATCTATTACTTAAACATCATTTTCGCCACATACTCACTCTCATTATTAATCCAATTTAATACCATATAGTCATTTTCACAGAGATTCAATCAAAAAAAATAATAAAGATTCTCAAAAAATTAATAATAAAGATCTTGTAAAACTTATAGATTCGATGAAAGTTAAACATAGGATTATTTAGTGTAAAAAATGATTATAAGATAATTTTATAAATAAATAAATTTTAATTCTATGCAACTTATGTTCAATCGTTAAAGTTTCCTAATCTCTTAAAAATTATTTATAAATCTAATATAAAAATAGAGAATTCATATAATCATTTTATTTTGTCAAACATTTTAATTCTTAAAAGCTTATTTTTTATAAATTAAAATAAAAATTTAATATTTAGATTTATAATATTTATATACCAATCTATGATTTAATTACTCCATCAAAAAAGCAAGAAATTGATAATTTTAAAGTAATTTTATAGCCATGTAATTTTAATCCAACTTTCAGAATTTACAAGTCTCTACATAGTCGGTTAGAATTATCAAATGCATTATCAAGCCTTATTTAAAATTGTTTCTAAAAATATTTTATCTGAAATGACTAATTCTAACATTTCTGAATTGAAAAAATGATAACTTGAACACCTTTTTTTCTTTTAATTAAGCTAAAAGCTATTAAATTTGATTATACTAATTTTCTATCTCATTCATTGAGGTTTTATATATAGAATAGAAATAAATCCATCAATTATTATTATATTTTATTCTCAGATAATAATTACACTATTCTTGGCTTTCTATCAAAATAGAAAGTAATATAAAAATTCTTTTGATTATTTATTTTTAAGTTCTTTAAATTTTGGTTATTATAATACAGGAAAAATGATAAAGAGAACATATATATTTTTAAGACATCCATTCAGTCATATTTCTTTATTTATGATATTTTAAGCTTAAATTAGGACCAAATCTTTCTAAAGCATATGTAGTAGACTTCAAATATTCATTAGATTATCTAAATTTTTTAATTCTGTTCTAATTGAATAGGAATGCTGGTGTGTCTATATTTTATTGATTTCTAAATTCTTTTATTAAGCAACAAGTAGATAAAAGCAATCTTACTCTTGATATAAAATTTGTGATGATTATGTATCTAGAAATAGATTTTTATCAAATAGAACTAGTTACTAATCTTATTAAAATGTTAATCATTTACTATTAGAAGCATCATCCTATTGAATATAGATTCTAGAGTTAAGAAATTAAAGACATCTTAATCCATTAATAATTAACGAATTTATTTAGTAAAATGGATAAAGTATGTCAATAAGAAAGAAATCCAATAAAAAATTAACAAAACACAGAACGAAACAAAGAATTACTTTCATATAGAAGAATAAACTCTCCTGGACTTCCTAATTCATCTTTGAGATCAAGTTGTAAAGGACATTAAAAAAGGTTAGAAATTGGATTGATAACTGATCGTAAATTAAGTGAAAGTCCAAATTTTGATAGAATGTTTTCAACTGGAAACTTTAAAATGTTTAAATAGAAAAATAGCGTAATTGAAATTCCACAACCATTATCTCAAATTCCAAAAATGGAACCTTAAATCAAGAGAAATTTAAAGATGATTGAAAAATTAGAATCCGATAAACTTTGTTTAAAAATATATATGTCAGAAGAAGACTCAAATTAATTAATATTTACAGGTATTAGTAAAGAAAAATTATAATCACCAAACTCAAATAAAAAGGCATTAATTAAAAATTTAAGATAGTTATTTTAGAATGGTATAAATGAATAAAATAAATAAATGAAATAGGAATGTTAATAAGAAAAGCATTTAAATCTAAAAGATTAAATATATTATGGTTTATTAAAAAACAATTACAGTAATTCTAGTAAGAGAATCATAACTTAAACCAATGAAAGTAAATCAAATTTAGATAGATCGCTTTCTATTTCAACTATATAAGAATATAAATCTAATACTTCCAGTAAAGTTCACAAAGATTTAGAAATATTGGAAAGAGGATTCAATAAATAAAGAAACAATTAATAATTTAATTCTTTCAATTCAAAATTTTAAAAGTCTTAACCATTAGGCTAATATAATATAACTATAAATTTGAAACAGAATTAAAAAGGTTGTAAGACTTCTTCTGAAATAAAAAAAGGGCCTTCCCCATCTTTCTCATAATAACGAAATTCCTAATAAAAAAGTATAAATAAATAGAAATCAAATGCTAAATCATTACATGTTTGAGTGTAGAATGAGATTAATTTTTCAATTATTAATATAGATTTATAGATAAGTTTAATTAATAATAAATAAGATATGAAAGTTACTTACAATTATATTGTATATGAATCAAAATGAAATCAATCATTTTAGCAATTTAACCATAGAATTGAGTAAGTCTCTATTAAAAATTGTACTTTCTTTCTCATATCTCTAAATCCATTAATGTTACATAATTTAATAAATACTTGGTCTTTTTTTAGGTTCTTTTTAAACCAAAGTTTTAACAAATATTTTACATTCTTCACTCAAATAATTAGGGAATTCAAAATTACTATAAATAATTTTATTCATAGTATCTTCTTTTTTCTTTTCATAAAAAGGTGTCTCTCCTGTACAAAGTTCATAAGCTAAAATACCAATAGCCCATATATCAACAGTATGATCATAATCTCTACCTGCTGCAATTTCTGGAGACATATAATCAACAGTACCACAAAATGATTATCTTACTTAATTAGCAGGATTATATGTTGATAATCCCATATCTGCTATTTTTAATAATGAATGTGTAATTAAAATATTTTCTGGCTTTATATCTCTATGAATGATATTCTTACTATGCATATATCCTATACCTTCAATTATTTATCTAATGTAGCCAGAAGCTATTTATTCTGTAAATTTTTTTTTTGGTTATTTCTTCAATAATTTAAATAATTCACCATCTGTTGCATATTCCAAAATTAATACTACTTTAGACCACTCTTAAAAATATCCATAAAGTTTTAGAATATTTGGATGATCCATATAACCTTATAATTTAATTTCATTTGCTAATTGCTTTTCCATACCATATTTTTATAAAGTAGCTTTTGGAATTACTTTTAATGCAACAATTACTTTTGTTTATTTATCTTAAGCTTGATATACATCACTAAACTTTCCTTTCCCCAAAAATTTACAAATTTAAAAACGCTCGCTTATTGTTGAATAAACAGGAGCTAATATTTAAGCTTATTTTGCTAAGTTCACTGGTTTCTTAATAGGAGATTCACCTTATGATGGAAGACGAGTCTCTTCCTTAATTGCTTCTTCTTCAACTTAAAATACTGGTATTATATGTCGATTTCCTATTTCCTTATTCATTTGACCTATTGTAAAAGTTAATCTTGTTTGCATATTTTTTATGTTGTTATCAATACTTTAACATTTTTCTAAAATATTCTACCAATCTTTATCAATCGATAATACAAATCCTATTTTATCTTAATTTGTCATATATATTATTTTTAATTATGGAAGCTTATAATAAATTTGATTTTGATGGAAATCAAGACTTTTAGCATTATCTTTCAAACATTTTTCCTACTCCTATTAACTAAGAAAAATATAAACGTAATTGGTATAAAAAATACATTGACTCAAATTTTGATGTTAATGATAAATAACAATCTCAAAATTAAGAATAAACTAATAATTAGCAACAATAATAATAATAGTAATAATAACAATAATAGTAACAATAACAATAATAATAATAATAAAAGCAATAATAATAATAATAACAATAATAATAATTTTAAAGATAATAGCCTAAATTACCATTTTAATTAGTGATTGAAGGAGTGCTAAAAGTATTATATTTTCCAGCATTATTGTTCTTATAAAAACCTGAACTACATAAATATGTAAATTTAGGTAGTGTTTTTATATGTTTGATGGCTCTTTACAGAATTAAAGGATTTCCTAAAAAAGGATAATATTAAGAATACTTTGCAAAAAGTCTCAGAATTGAATTTACAACTAACATCTTATATATGATATCATTATTTGCAATAGATAATTTTGTCTTTTAAATGCCTATTGCATTACACTTTTTAGTTGGAGCAGCTGAATTATGGACTTCTTTGGGCTAAGATGAAGGATTTACATTAAGATTTGCCTAAAAAATAGTAAAGAATAGAGAAGAGATATTAATCACAAAATAAAAGATTGAAATATACTTATTTATCTATTCATTGATAGGCATTTTTATTAGAAAGACATCATTATTTTTAAGTGTATTTATACTTTAAAATATTTTATTGAAAACTAAATGCAATGAAAAAATGATGAAAGCTCAATCTAATATTAAGGATTGGTATAAAAAAAATTTAATTGATAATAAAATGATTCCTTAATCTTTTAGGAAAGTCTTAGAATTAATTTGGAATGGATATGAAAAATTAATGACAATTTTTTGAGTGTTTTAATTAAAAAATAAAAATAAAGAAATTTTATTTTGATAAATAAATAATTAAATATAGAATTTGATGGTTTAAAATAAAGGTGTATTTTCATGGTTTCTCTTACTCAATTTTAATCTTTTTTTTAAAAATTATTTCATCGACAATAGAATATTTAAGAGGGTCTTAATCGAATGATTAAAACCATTCAGAAACATCATTTGTTCCTACTCTATAACATGAACCTAATTTAATGCTATAATTGATTAAGTTTCTCCATCTTTCATTACAAGATATTTTATAAATATCACATACAATAATTAAAGTTTACCTACATCTAGATAAACTAACATTCATTCTTCTTGCATCACTAAGAAATCCTACTCCTTTTTTAGGATTTTTTTGATTTTCACTTATAAATTTTGATCTAACACTGGAAAATATTATAACATCTTTTTCTCTCCCTTAAAATCCATCAACAGTTTTAACTTCAACATTTTCTTCACTTAATTTTTTTAATTATTTAGAAATAAGCCAAACTTATTGACTATATGGACTTACAATTCCTAAATTATTCATGTTGAAATTAGGAAATTTATTTTTCATATCTTTATATATTTCTGTAACAACTTTAGCTTCAATTTCATTGCAATAAGAATTTCTCGTAAAATTTTCATAACCTTTAACATGTAAAACAACAACTGGACTATAAGTGTAATAATCATAAAATTTAGGAGTTCCTATCAATCTGTCTAAATATTCATAATCATTTAATTCACTATTATAAAATGTTGTTGAAATGAATTTAGATATTTTTGAATGCATACGATATTAAGTCTAAAATTAATTTATAATTATACTTTTAATAAATGAACATTAGCTCCTTATTTTTATAATCTTTCAAATAAACTTTAATCATATTTGTATTTTCCACAAACAGAACTAAAAATAGTAGCAGGTAATTAATTTGGATCACCAATTAAAATTAATCTTCTGCAACCATATTACAAAGGAATCAATGTAGAAATTTCTACAGCTTAAGCTGCTTCATCTATTATAACTGTATCAAATTTCAATTCAGATTAATTTAAGACATTTGAACCACTTGAAGAGAGAGTTCCAAAAATTATCTTAGCTTAATTTAATATTTCTTTTTTTATTTTATCTTTATCTTGATTTTACATTTCAAATTCCTTTTATTAGACTAAACTTTCTAAAGAAACCTTCTATAAAGTAGGATCAAAATTTTCACCAATTCTAACTATTGGTACATCAGATCTTTAACCATTTTCATCTAATAAACCTTCATCTAATATTTTCCTTATTATTTCATCTACGGATGCATTTGATGGACCACAAACTAAAATCTTATTAGGTATTTTTGTTTAAGAATAATCACTTCTATATATTGGAATAGGTTTTTCTTTACGAAAATCTGTTAATCTATTTGAAAAATAATTTGATATATCTTATTCTACATCATCAAATATATGATCTCTCCAATCATCATAATCTGAAGATTTCCAAGGTTAAGGATATTCTTAATTAAATTCTTACTCTATTTCAATACTAGTTTTTTATATTAAATTTAATTAAGGTTTTTCTTATTTTGATTATAATAATACACTTAAAGTACCAAGTACTGTCTTTGTCTTACCTGTACCTGGTGGCCCTTATATTAAAGTAATTCCATGTGTTTTTAATGTTTGCTATATTGCCTCGTATTGACTTGAATTATATATAGAGTGTAATTTTTAATCTAATTTATATGGAATTGTGAAATAAGAATTCACTTTTGGTTATGATTCTAATGTTAGAAGGATTTTCTTAAGCATTAAATCACCAAATTTTTGAAGAGCCTTATATTCTCTTTCTAATGTTGATAAACCAGTCACTTTTCTTATATAAAAATTCTTTAATTATTTTTATTGTGGATTTTATTGATTTATTACTGAGTTTTCTTTAAAAAGTGAATCAATTGGATTTTCATTTGTTTATACATTTACTCTAATAATATTATCTTAGTTATTTTCAATTAGACCTAATATACAAGTCTCTCCTTTTTTATAAGGATTTCCTGAAATAACTATTAAATCTCTGTAATTTAATTGATCCTTCTATCCAATTAATTAAAAATCTAATTTGATAAATTCATCTTTTTCATGTTTTACTAACTTATATTCTACATCTGGATAAGTCTAATAATATCTAATTATAGATAATACTTCTGTTTGAAATGATTTTACAATATTAGCTTTAACTTCCTCATAAAAAAGAGGTTTCCAAATCTTTTAATATTCATTATCATCACTAAATTATATTGGTACTTTGCATAATTAATCTGAATTAATTTATTCTTCTCCTGGTACTTCTATTTGGTTTAGCTTTGATGATTCTAAAATTTGATTGAAATCTAATTCTAAAATAAAGTGCTAAAAATTATATAAATCCATCTAATGTTAAATTAAATATTTCTTTCTTTATTTAATTTTTTATTAGAAATTTTTAATTAAGAATTAATAATCTTGGAAGCCTAAATTAAGTTAAGATAAATATTTTTTTCTTATTTAACATTTAGTTATAACAGCTTAATATTAAAGTAAAAATTATAGACCATATAATTGGTGACATGTTTCATTCTCTTTGTTAAATTTTTAGAATTACAGCCTAATGAAAAATCATTATATTATAAGGATTAATCATAATAAGATCTGCTAAGAAGAAAAGAGGCTATTTAATAAAAATAATAATATTTTCAAAAAATAATTGATCAAATATAAAATTAAATGAGAGTGTCAATGATGAAATAAAGTGTTGTTCAAAGTAATAGATCTACCTATATTTAAAATCATTAATATTAATTTAAATAAAGTGATATAAAAAAGATTACTGGTTAAAAGATAGTAGATAAAGATATTCTTAATAATTATATCAATATTTTTAAATTTTATAATAACAAATATTTTTCCTTTCATTTCTTAAACAAACTTTTAAAATCTGAATTTGATTTTGGTTTAAAATCTTACACCTCTTCGATTTCAATTTATAGTTCCTTTTTTTTATTCATTTTTTTCTCTCTTTTTTGTATTTCTAATCTTCTACTTTTAAATTCAATGCCATTCAATTCTAAAGCCATCTTTAAATGTTTTTATTTTTCAAATTCAACAAAAGCAAATCCTTTAGGTTTTCCTTATTCATTTTTTGGAATTTCTATTGATATTATGTTCATTCCATCAAAAATTTACCTGACTAATAAATTATAATAATAATTTTACTTTCAATTTCTCTAATTTTAAATGGTAAATTCTTAATAATTATAGAATTATTCTAATAATTTTATTTAATCTTTTCTAAAGAATCTGAAAGTTTAACAAAATATTTTCTTCCATCTATATAAGGATCTTAATTCAATTGTTCTAATCCCTTTAATTTATATTATTCTTCATTGTATTCAATATAAGCATACCCTCTAGGTTTTCCTTAAGAATCCTTAACTATTCTGATTTATTTGACTCCTTCTCCAGCTTTGGCTATTAATTATTATTCTGTAATGCTATATGGTAAATTGTCTATGTAAAGAGTTAATTTATCATCTTAATAAAGTTTAGGAGGTTTAGATATTGCTGCATATAGTTTCTCTCCAGCTACCATTTTATTATTAAGTATGTTAACTGCTTTTTAGGCATCTTCATCATTTGTAAAATCTATATAACCAAAACCTTTTGATACTTAATTCTTATCTTTTACTATTCTACATTCTAATGCACCACAATCAGGGATTAAATTAATTACATCATTTGCTGATAATTCTTTTGGTAAGTGCTTTATAAAAATAGTTTTAGAACTATCAGTAAATACTTTTGGAGCTTTATCTTCTTCATTTTATTCTTTACTTTATTTTCTAATATTTTTCTATCCTTTTTTATCTTCTTCTTATTCTTCCTATATTTCTTCTTCCTTTTATATTTATTCATCGATATCGCTTATTGTTTCAAGAATACTTTATAGTTTTTCTTCTGCTTTATAAACTTCCTCAACACTACCAAATAATATTTCAAAATTAAGTAAATCTTCACATGCTGTTATCTAATCTTCTTAACATAATTCAACAGCTCTTTTTAATAAACCTCTTAATCTATCTCTTTATTATATGTTAATTATTGCCATACCTATTTATGAATAATAATAATCTTTCCAATAACTATTATTATCCCATACTAATTAAACACATTTTTCAAATGCTGCTCTTGAATTTAATTTATTATCAAATAAATAACATTCAACTTTAGCCAATTCATTATAAATCTTAGCTTTTTATTATTCAGAATATGATTTCTTTTCTGTTAATTAATTAAATAATTCTCTTATTGTTGTTTATCTTTCTTCTAATTTATCTGTCAAATTTAGGTATTATCTAGTATATCTATATATAAATTCTAATGAAAATTTAAATAAGTCTTCATCCTAAACATAGTTTTATGTAAATAAGAAATCTTATTCAAATTCTTCATCATCATCTTTATTTTATTATTCTGATGTTCTTAGATATAAAATATAAATTTAAAATGGTTAAACTTAAAGTCTTATTAAATTTTTTAGTTATTTCTGTAAAATATGAGGATTTTATTATTACTTTAAAATTTATATATATTTCTGTTATAGAATTGTCAACAATGATTTACTCAAATGTGAATTTTCAGACAACCAATTTAAGTAAAAATATTTTTCATAAAAATTTATAAATTTCGGAAGTTCAATTAAGTTTTCTTATAATATTTCTTCTAATTAAGAAAAAAATTTTATTATTTCTTACTAATCTTTACTATTGCAAATATTTATAAACTACTATTCTAAATTTTCTAATTATTATATCCTTAAAGTTGTGCTTTAATAAATTTTTTATACTCTTTCTAAATTTTATTTATTGGTTTCCAATTACTCATATTGACTCCAAAAATTATCTAATCCTTACATTGAAATTTTAAATAATCTAGAATATATTTGATTTATTTAATTTTTCACTTATATTCTATAATAAATTATTCATTTATAATACTTTTCTTTTTCATTTCCTCCTTCTAATAATTTATTTTCAAAACATAAATAATCTTTAAAAAAATATTAAGACTCTTGAAAATCAAAGCAAAATTGTATTAACAGTTTTTCAAATAATAATTCTCCTTTTTTTCTTTGAACTTTATTTTTAATTACATAAGCTGCTAATTTTTTTCCTAATTGTAAATCTCTATTTAATAACATTATATACAATATAGATTATCAAGTCCTTTTTAAAATATTTTCAATAAAGTAGAAGCATCAACAAACTATTCTTCCATTTTTGATAATAAATCAATTAAGAAATCTTCATTTATATTATGATGTTCTTAAACCAATAAAATACAATCACTAAGTTTATCATCATTATTATCTGCAGCTTATTTTAATAAACTAAATGCAATTTGTTGATTTCGTATGTTTTCTTTTATGGAATTATACATATCAATAGTTTCTATCATTGAATTAATTTAATTTAATGATTTTTAATAATAAATTCAATATCAACACAAAATTATATTAGATATCAATTTATACAATCAAGAGATTTTGCAATAATACCTTCTATTTTAGTTTAATCTCCAATCACATTTTCAAGATACTCAATTTATCCAGTTTATTTTCTATCTTTTAAAGATCCTTTTATTTAAAACTCTTTTTAATCCGCCTCATTCAAAGTAACTTCAGTAATTTTAATTTATAATTCCACTTGATTTTCTAAAATCTCATTCTATCCTAAATTCTTATGTATATATTCATACTATTCATAAAGGCATTAAAATTTTCATTCCAAACAAAATACTTTTCATTAATTTCATCTTCTGGTATTAATACATTGAAAATATTAAATATTTAAACAATCATATGTGATTTAAATTATTAAACCAATCTCCCTTTTACTAATGAACCTAATAAATTTAAAGAGATATTAACCAGAATGTAATTGCAATAACGTTACTGTATATTCTATATCAATAAACATCTAAGGTTGATCATCAAATGTTTCAAGATATTCAGATACTATGCTGACTTTTTTAACTGCTATTACAATGCTCTAAATTAATAAAATAATTACAGGAATTGAATTATGTATTCTGCATGTAAAAATCATCTTAGGAATAACATTTTAAATTGATTTGGATATATTTTTTAAATGATATGGCATCAAAACAATTGTTGTTTATTCTTTGAAACTGGTTAATTGTAAATTATCCATAATTATTCTTTTAATTAAAATAATTTTATATACTTTATAAGATAACATATTTAGAAAAACAAATGATAAATACAATATATTAATAATAACTTCACAATAATAAATGATATAAATAAGTCTCCATTTTATTTTTAAAAAGATTATACAATCTATGTCATATAAATTTTTAGTAGTGAATATTAATATTAAAATTATTAATAAAAAATACTCATAAATGAAGAGTTCTAATCAACTTTAAATTCTAAGAACTCTAATACCCAAATAATAATTAACAGAAGAAGATGATGATTTACCAAATCCTATGTTAGATTCAATTATCTCATAAAAGTCTCAACAATCTTATCTTATACCTGCAAAAAATATGAAATTAATATTAAATTCAAACCGAAGTGATAAAACAAAAAGTCCTTTTAGAAAGCAGAATTAGGCTTGGAAGATAGGTTCTGAAAGCAAAAAAAGTTCATATTAAAATTAATACAAACAAATAGATATTTTATTCCCATTATTGAAATTAGTTTAGTTAAATTAAAAATAAAATAAAACTGAATGTTTTAATGGAGAAGAAGTGACAATAGATTAAAAAATTTACTTTATAAAAGCAAATGAAATTTTAAATATATTTCAAAAATCTGCTGATGGATATACTTTATCATTAGAGGAAGCAGATGAAGTTCAAGAAAAAGAGATGAAGAAAAGTGTTTCAATTTCAGAAAAAATGATTAAATCTATGAAGGCAATAAAAACCTTTAAGAAAGCTAAAAATAAAATAAAATCATTCATTTTAGTTTCAGATGTGTCAAAATAAACTGATGAATTGATTAAATACAAATAATAAGTTGATAAAATGAATTAATTCTTTAATGATGATAAAATAATTTATAAAAGTGATCATCAATTAGGAGAGTAAATAATCAAGACAAAATAATTATCTCCTTAGAAGGATCAAATTAGTGAAACTCAAAATTGTTTTAAAGAAAAAGAAGAAATTATAATTGAAAATAAAAATAAAAAAGGTTCAAAACGATATTATCAATTAATAGATAATTCTAAAAGAATTTTAAAACAAATAGCATTTATAATTGGAATATTTTTGTTAATTTTCGTAATGGCATACATTAAAACTTTAAATAGTGTAACAATCCATATAGAAGATTTGTGAATAATATTATATGTATAAATATATCTATAAAGCTTGTTAATAAGTAAGAAAGACATAAATTTAAATATTAATAAAATAACATAAATAGTTCGTTAATAATGAATACTCTGAATAGTATGACAAATCCTTATAATATGCCTTAAACACCATATGGTGGGATTTTAGATGCAGATGGATGTAGAATGCTTGCTCGAAAGATTTTCTCAACTTACGATGGTAAAATAATTGAATAATTTTGAATAGTTAGTAACAAAGGATACATAGATGTTGTAGATATAGGATCTATGTTTAGTGATGCATATAGATCTTAAAATATAATAACAAAGCCTAAAGTTAATGAGACTAATGGATTTATGAAAGCAATTAACAGTAAATTAATAATATTAAAATTATCATAGAAACTGCATAGAATAGATTAACTTTGTAGGATGTTGAATAATATTGTTTAAAAAAGTTTTGTGGTACGTCATATTAATTTAAGCAATAATGGACGATGAATAAGTTATAGTTTCTTATTTATTTTAGATAACCTAATTATATTGAAGAGCGTTTAGAAGTGGCTAGAACATTATTCAAAAAACTTGATGCTGATGGTTCAGGTTATATTACAGAAGATGAAGTTTATGAAATTATTAGAGAAACTTATAGATAAATGGGTAATTACTCTATTTAAATTCAGGAATGAAATATGAACCAACAGTTGATGATGTTAGAAGTTGGATACATATGACTGATTCTGATGGAGATGGTAAAGTTACTTTAGAAGATTATGAAAATTTAGTTTTAAAATCTTTGTAATAACAAGCTATTTCTTATAATCTAAGTTGATTTTATTATATATTATTATTATATATTATAATATAATCAATATGGATAATTATGAATAAGTTTTATTTCTTAATCCTACTCAATTATAGTCTGTTCAAATTTAATTTGAAAACATTAATAAATAACTCATTTAGCTTATTTAAAAAGTATTAAAAACTTCATTAATAGAAAAAATATAAAAAAATTTACTCGTTATTATCCAAATTTTTAGACCCTTATGATCATACCAATTAGATTCATTTAAATGATAGAATACATTTTTAAAATATTTTGTTAATGGTTTTAAATAAAATATTTAAGAAAACTA